AATAGGCACTAGCAGGAGGTTAATAGGATGTCTGTCAAGAAGGGGTGGGAAAAAATCGATTCACAAGAGTATCGCAATTTTTTATTTTACAATTTTAAAATCGATTTTCATGTTCAAAAATCGATCATTTTTTTTCAAATTTAAGAATAAACCTTAAAAACTGACTTATATGTGATGTGTATTTTGGTTCCTGGAATAGTCAGCTGACAATTATAATCATTCAACTGTTTCACTGGTGTTAAAAATGCAGACTAAAAATTTAAAAAATTGACAATATCGTAGAACTGCAATTCAAATCGAATTGGTATCCAAAAAAACGTAAAAGAATCGAATCAGGAGAAAAGCATATCATCCCAGCCCTACTGTCAAACGATGACAACATCATCTCTTTTACAGCTGTGTTTGTAGGTTTCAACCATATGTGGTGAGACGCCTCCTCCTCTTGTTTTATTTTGGCTGGACTTCCTGTGTTTCCTTGTTTGCCTGGTCTGGCTTTACTCTTTTCCAGAGCTTCCTCCCCTCCCCCGGTCGCTGAGGCTGAGTGAGACTACACACCTGCTCTACATCTCCAATCAAGGCACTTTAAGAAGCCTGCAGCCCTCAGCCTCAGCGCCTGAGTATTGTCTTCACTTCCCAGTGGTACAGACGCGTCTCCTGGCCTCCTTTCGTGAATTTGTACTAGTAACTCTGCAGTTCCTGATTCATTGTATGTTTACTCATTTCCCTCTCCTCTGTTTTTCCTGCAGTGTCTCCAGCCCACACGCCAGCCAGCCACATTTTTCTCCCCCCTGTTTGCGATGTTGACATGTAGTTACTGTAAGACTGGTTTGTGCTCAAGTTATTAGGGGGTTCATGTTTTCTATGATTGACACTTGATACAGCCTATGGGCATACGAAGGTTGCGTAGCTCACCCAGGGGATACACTGTTTGAGCTGAGCGTCATCACAGCAACTCTAAGCGATTCTCCCATCAAATGAGTACAATGCTAGTGCGCAAGTGGTGGTTCCAGGAAGTGGAGAGAATCCCGGAAATACAGAGAGTTTTTGGCTTCAAATTCGTATACTGGAACAAATTTGTGCACAGTATATACAGCCTATGGTTTGTACAAAGTTTGGTTTACTACCCGACTTCCTATCAACACATTGGTGCCATTCAACTTCCAGCTCAGAGTATAGCATGCTGTGAATCATGTGCATAACACTTAGGCCAGTTTCAGTCAGTCTCCTCAACCGTATTATTCAGGTATATTAGTTAAACTATGAGAATTTTGATTTACTGGGATTTAAGTCAGTTGAATGTGTTTACATGTTTTTTAGAGGTCCAGGTTTAGTCATACTAATGCAATATACCGATTTTTTTGAACAATGTTGCAGTTTCCAACCACTTCTCCCTCATGAACCCACTGGCTCTTTAAATTATACTCAAAGGTTTTTAGTTTGGGAAATCTATTCAACCGAATAGGTCAGCACTGAAATGTCTCACAAATTAAGCTTTAGCATTCCCTTTCGACATATATGTTGTACCAAATAAATTTTCACTGGTCATCTCCCAGTTGACCTACTATGTATCAAGAATAAGCAAAGTGCATTAGCAGGAAGCCAGCAGGATGTAAAACGATGAATACACTCTCACTTTATATTTTCTCACTTTCCTGAAACCTCCTCCTTCTTCTTGCTCAGTGAAATCTCTTGTAATTCCTCATCCTGGAAGCATGATGGTTGAACAGGCAGCTGCGGGTCCGTAAGATAAACTCTCAGCTGATGGAGACTATGGGCCGGGCACTGAGGCACATCAAAGTGCCTGATGCAACGATGGGCTCAGGGAGGAAACCGAGTTCTTACTGTAGTCACTCTCTCACTTCGTGTGTGTGTGTGTGTGTGTGTGTGTGTGTGTGTGTGTGTGTGTGTGTGTGTGTGTGTGTGTGTGTGTGTGTGTTTGTGGATGCAGCCACGCCTCACATGCAATGTGTTTACAGTGATTTTTCAAACAGCACATCTTCACAGCTGGTGGTAAAGACTAAAAATATTTGCTGGCCTAATTCAATAGAGCATTACTGGGACAGGGAGAGAAGTGACAGCTTGCTTCAAAGCTGGTTGTTTTTCTCCTTCTTCTCTTATTTCTCACTTTTATCAGCTGTTTACCGTGCAAATGGAAAAACGGGCGTCAATATCCTCGCAAATCAATACATGCACTTACAAGCTAACTGTCCTCAAACACAACATTTAAACTAATGGACCACTCAGGCATGGCTAACACAGACACACACACACCATGTTTACTCATGAATGGAAACCATAGACTCCACTCCCAACCAACTGAATTATTGAGCGACTGTAAACATGAGGAAAAGATCCCACCGGGAAGTGTGTGTGTTTGTGTCTTAGTGGAGTGTGTGGTAGTAAGGGGTTGCCCCACATACAATCCTCTTCTATAGTACGAGCGGTGAGATGTATTTACACATGTACACACACTAACACATGTTTGCACATGCAAATGCTGCAAAAACTCTCATTAAGTCAAACCCACCTAAGATCACCCACAGTGGAGGCAGAGAGGTTTAATATGGGTGTGACTCTCTTGTCCGTGTCTTCTAATGCAATAATAACTGTTCATTGTGTTTTAATCAACTTTAAATCAACGCTTATTGGACTTCTTACTGTCTTCACACTAAGGTGACCAGATTTCTGTAATAAAATCCGGGGACATCCGGAGCCGGGTGGGGGGGTGGGGGATGGGGTGTTACTACTACTTAGTAGCAGCGCACACCTCCATGTAATAACCCCCTGTAAAAACTGTTGTTTAGGACTGCATGCAACATGCTTACTCATGCTTCCTACCTACTTGGCTACCGTAATAACCATTAGTCTACATGCAACATTTTTGTTCTCATTCATGAAATGCTTAAATCTGGGACATTTCCAGGGACAGCTTTAGCCAGGGACAGGTCACCCAATACACAGGGACTGTATCCGGAAATCGGGGACATCTGGTCACCTTATTCTAAACACCAAGTGCGAGTAAAATCATTTGCGTGACTGAATTACATGTTATGTTAATGCAAAGATGGGATTAGATGCTCCTACTACTGTGACGGTACGAATGACACGAATTGGGCGGGAGCTGAAAATGTCTCAACTTGAGCAGATATTCGCATTGCAACAACCAGTCAGCATGAAAGTTGCCAGGTGATGTATGAAAACAGAGGGTTGTTCACTGGTATCTAAAATGGAGGACAAACTGACCGTGTCGGTGTGTGGGTGCCCCTTTTCTTTCAATTACTGAAACTGGTATAAAAAAGGAGCTCACCTGGAATCAAGTGAGTGAGGAGGTCATATAATCTGGTAAATTGTTAAAAAAAACTTTATCTATCACTTGATCCTGCCAGTTGAATTGGCAGGGATTATGTAAAAGTACCATTGACATGCGAATGAAGCCAGTAAATACTATTCAGTCACATGACTAGATTCACGCAAATTAAGCGAGTATGTGATTTTACTCGCACTTGGTGTAAGCGCCCCGTTATTCTGCCATAATATGGTTATATGGACACTAGAGGTAACATCCATTTACACACAGATCTGTGGGCACTGTGCACATGCTGAAGTGGAGGTGAGGCATAAAGCTCTTTGCACATTTAGTCCATCATTTTTTCAAAACTGTAATTTAATAAAAAACATCATGACCAAAAATTTCCATGCTGAGTCAGATGGGACTAAGCGATTCACAATGGCACCTTAATTACGTTTCTGGTGTCACAGTTCAGTCCTGCAATGATTAAAGTGCCACAGAAATAATGAGCGAGTCCCTCCATTCAGAGAATTGGGGTACCCATTATTGCGGAACACAACAGTGTGACCTTGACAACAACAGATTACTAAAAGTTAGTCTTTAAAAAGTGTGCATTCACATGAAAGTGATGTTGAAGCAACCTTCTCCAGATTCCTGAATTGCTGGTTTACATTGCGACAGAAGGAGTGGCACTTTTTAAAGATGCTTCTCTGTAGCCTGTTTTTCCAAGTTTGCCTTTTTAAAATGCAATTTTCTTTTGCTCCCATGTTGCTCCTATTTGAAGTATTTTTTACATTTATGAAAGAGTCTGAAATTCATCTCAGAGCTTTTATATTAAATTCATACTGTATATAAACAGGACCAGCAGCAACAAGATTGGTGAGAGTCAAACTGTAATTTTGAACACCTGTAACCAGTGTGTGGGTGGAGGGGGGTGTTAGTGGAGCTGCTGAGGAAAAAGTTCTGTTTTTATATTTTCAGCACTAAATATTTATAATTAATGATTTATTTGACTGTCGGAAGTTAACAGGACAAAAAAAAAAATGCAAGGGGGCGCTAAATTTGGCACAAACCAAAAGTTCCTCATAGGAGCTTTAGTGGGGAAAATGTGTTTTCTACCCACAAAGACAGTCCAGAGTCAGACAGTAAATAGTATGGAATGAACACAGGAATAGGCTAAAGGGGACTCCAGTCAGAGTCTTCTTAAGTGCTCTTCTCACGGATTTGAACACACAGAGCCTTAAGACTTAACTTGAACTTGTGGTTTGGTGACTCAACTGCAACAGTGATTTCACGTTGGTAGAAATAGGGGCTATTTTATCTGAAGAAAGCCAAATATTTGCTTAGTCATCCTTTAACATCAAAATAGCATAAAAGTAAGTCTAGGATTAAATGTAGTGTGTTACAAAATGCTGCTGGATCCCTTAAAGATTCATTGTGGGAAAAAGAGTTTAAATTCTGTCTCTGTGTGGGAGAAGGTGCTAGAAATAATTCATACATCCATATGTATGAGTCATGTGGTGAAACAATTCAATATAGTACATCTCCACTGGACCAAGTCTGTGTTATAATATTGAAAAATATGAACTAAGCTTTGTGGCTCTGCTCCCGAGCAAAGTTTCACAAAGTCAACTCTCACTAAGCCCTTGGCAGAGCCAGAGAACGTTTGCATGGAGATAAAAACTTAGAAACAAACATTAAAATCTTTTTTTTAATTTTACTCATCTGGGACTGGGAGTTGGTGGTACTGTACTTTCTCTTTTTTCCTAGGCTTCTTCCTCCTGCTCCTACTAGGGGATCCCGAGGCGTTTCCAGGCCAGATGGGACATTTAATCCCTCAGTGTGTTCTGGGTCTGCCTGAGGAAATCCCTCCAGTTGGATGTGCCTGAAAAAGCTCCACAGTCATCCAGTGGGGGGCATCCTAATCAGACTCCTGAACCATCTTACCCAGCTCCTTTGAATGTAGAGAGAAGCAGCACTGCCGTTTCAGTCAGGAAAGCCTCATTTCATCTGCTTATGTCTGCGATTTTATTCTCTCTGGCTCGGCTCTGAGCACATGGCTTAATTTTCAGGAGAAGGAAGTGTAGCAATCAAGACAACCCTGGGTGTGAAACCCACACATTCCTCACAGGAAAGTTCCTTATCTGGTCCCAGGAAACAGGATATAAATCTTCCCAGACTCGTTTACACTTTCAGGTTAAATAAGTGACCCAACCGGAGGTTGTCTAAACCTCCGACTCTTCACGATTGGTCAATTCGGAGAACAGAGACAGAGTTTTATTACCTTTCAAACTGACTCCATTTGCTGACCATCTAAATAAACATTAACGTCTCAACCCAGATCTCCCATTTGAGATTTAGTGTCTTAAAGTGTGTGAACATACGGACCCTAGGAAAAGGGGGGGACACTGACCTCCAGACCTCGGTCGTAAAACCCTGCTCAACCATACACTGATAAAGACTACATTCCTTTGGTGAAATAATACAAATGACTGATCCTGACATCTTATGCATTCAGCAATGTACTAATCTGTCTAATCATGAAATTTGTGTTAAAATGAGATGTTTCCCGTTTTTCTATGTGCTTCAGAAGCCAAGTTATCTTATCTGACAGAATACATCCTTATTCTTTAGTTCTTTAGACCAACAGCTTTTCAGACTGTTTCATGAACTTTTAAGAGTTAAATTTATTGACTATGAATCCTAAGTTTACTCTAAGTAACAGAAATAGTTTAGAAATGTTTGGTTTATATTTTAGTTATTTATTTAGTATCTTAACCATTAGGTGGTTATAATGTCATTGAATAACCTTAATGTGAGTATTTAGAATCCATTATTAATCATGATGACGTTCATTCACATGTATTTACTCTTTTGTTGTTCACAGTTTCCATGTGTTACTATCTGTTTCATTTCAGAGTAATTTAGCATGTTCAATGTGATACTTAAAACATAATGAGAATGTTTGATGTGATCCTACACTTCATTCATATGTGTTTAGTATCAAATTATTTATCATGAAACCAAGCATTCAATGATATTAATCATAGTGAGTGAGTATCAGATCTGACTCTTTTACCAGCCAAAAGAATAAGTTAGATCAAATAATCAGAGATTCCACGACCCCTCCTCTGTCTCACACACACGCCGGAGCCACTCCCAGTGTGAGAAGATAAAACCAGTGAAGTCGGGTTGCTCAACCTCTTATGCCTTTTTTCTCTTGTGTGCTGACTCTCCTGTCTCTCTTAGGCCCCTTACTCTTGGGCCCTTCTCTTCTGTCCACACCCTTCTGTGGTCCTCCTTTTCTTTGTTCTCTCTTAGAACTTTTTCTTAGTCTTCTAAGTTTTACGCCACGTGTTGATTCACGTTGATTTTCTTTAACATCGTCTTAGTTCAAGTTTTGAAACTTCAACTTTTTGTGCACATAGTAATTCAAGATTAAGCCTTTGATTGATTTTCTTTAATTTCGCGAAGCCATTTTTGAAAGTTTTCTCTGCTCTTCGAGCCTCGTTTTTCTGAGTTTTCTGCGTGATTTCAAAGTCACCTCCGAACGCAATCCAACAGGCCCAGGTCATCCTCTGTGCCAGAGTTTTTGAGTGAGACTAAAGAAGTACCCAAACGAGCATCCACAGGATCCACAGGCGCTGGGCTTTGCTTCGGGCCCGAGTGCTGCAACTCCTGGCTCATCCTTCGGCTGACTTCAGTCGTCTTCTGAGCTGAACCGCTCGAACCGCCAGTAGCCCCGGACCTTCGGAACCTGCTCCATCTTCTCCAAGGACCAGTCTCACTTAAGTATGCAAACCTCCAGAGCTCCAGAGAGGGCTGGTGCTGTCTCATGCGTTCATAACTCAGATATCCACCTATTTCTGGTGATCTTAGATTCCTCCCAATCCACATCCGAGTTTATCTCGACACCAAAGTTAGTGTAGGTTAATATGTTAGCGCATATTCACTCACTATCATTAACTTTAGTGCTCCTAGCCTGACTCAGAATCTTTATTTATTCACCTATTATTATTTTATCTTCATTATCTTATCATCATTTATTGCATGTGTGTTGTACCATCATTTATCCTGTAATAAACAGATCATTATTTTTCTAAGTTCTTGACTGTTAGTGTTCTTCCAGAAGTGGAGTCCCTGAAATTAGAATTTCGACTTAAGATATGAGACTGATTAATTAAGACTGATTAATTAAAACTGACTTGATGTTTGATTTCTGAATTAAACTTTTGTTTTCTTTATTTTCCCACCATTAAGGGTGGGTGGTGCCCCTTTCAACGAGTGCATAAATGTCATAATTTGAGATTATTAATCTTCAGACATTTATTATAAATTCCAATCGCCAAGTATTATTTTGGTGCGGCCTTGTGAGGCTCATTTCAAATCGCTACATATATTTTGGTGCGACCGTATGAGGCTCATTTCAAATCACTACATATATTTTGGAGCCCCTGCGTGAGGCGTTTCAAACAAAACTTCTGGATACTAACAGACAACCTAAAACTTAGCCTTCCAAATTGATGAGAGAAACTTATTTCCAGGCTGTTTTAGACTTAATCACAATCAATGCTATGCTTGCTGAAGTTGCTTGACTAAGTTCTGATGTTTTCCTGATCTATGCATAAAACCTTTATGCTTTGTGTTTCACACACTTTTGTACTACATGCCCGTAGTCTGTGTTTGAGCTGGACAGCGTGAAATGTTGTTCTGAGTAGCAGTGAGACTGACTCTTCTGCTCTGTCTAGACTGTCCAATATTTAAGTGCACGATTGTTGCGTCGCCGTACGCTTGTATTTAAGGCCTTTGGCTGAACCCAGTGTTCGCGATGCTCCGAGCTGTGGTTTCAAGCCCCTGAAGTCTCTGTAGTCTGCTACGAGGTTCTAGTAACTATATGGGATTTAGATTTCCTCCTTTCCCGTCACAGATTAGCTATCTGTCACAGGAAACCACTGTAACAGTGGGAGGTTGTTGTTTGATTGAATTCAGACAAAATTTGTGATCACAAATCGCCGCATTTGTGATTTTAAAGTCTGCAGTTGAATCTGCTGTTGAGGGATTTGTCACTCTGATTCTTGGCTCTATAGTCTGCTACGAAGTTCTAGTAACTATATGGGATTCAGATTTCCTCCTTTCCCCTGACAGATTAACTACCTGTCACAGGAAACCACTGTAACAGTGGGAGGTTGTTGTTTGAATGAATTCAGACAAAATTCGTGATCACAAATCGCCGCATTTGTGATTTTAAAGTCCGCAGTTGAATCTGCTGTTTAAGGATTTGTCACTTCGATTCTTGTTCCTGTAAATGATTCTATTGAACCAATCTGCCTGAGCAGATGGTGTAAAGCTCTATGTTTGAGGGTGCAGACGCAGCCTGCTGTGAAATCTTAACCCTTTGTTGTCAGTGGAGAGACTGACCATTTGGCCTTAAGCAGATAAGGCCCTTCAGGAGGCAGAGCCTAAAGGCCCCTTCCTGCACACTTCCCAACTCCTCACAGCCACAAGAGGCTAGTTGGATGACTGTTTCCTCTTTTCTTCTTCTTCTCCACTTGTGTTGAGCTTGTGCAGTTCTCCCAACTCCATACTGCCCCACATGGTTGCTTTTGGTATTGAGCTAACACTGTTATCTGCCTGCAGTATCAGCCAGCTGTACTGCCTCTCTGTAGTCAGTGTGTAACACTCTACAGACATAATTCAAGTGATTGACTTGGTTGATGAAGTTTGATGTGCTTATTCTAAATCATTGAACACTGATTTTTGATTTGTATCTTTGTTATAAGAGCCTACATAATGCATTGATAAAGTAACTCCTTGAATCAATCACCTGATCTTGTTGTTACTTATCACACCATTGAGCAGTTTTACTGTTCCCTATAATACATGAATGTATTAACCCTCCTCATAAGATTAATTAATTAATGAACAAATTAATTAATATTTGAAATTTCTTTTAACATTCCAGATAGATTTGGTATTCGAACCTTTGGATTTATTGCAATTTGTGAATTAACTTCAGAGTAAATTCCTTAAATTGACAATTTCATTGATCTTTCAAATTCATCCAACTGCATCAGGCAGTTTATTTAAGCTTTGCTGATCTCTGCAACACAGAGACAAATTGAACCCTTTATTCAATGGTTCTGTATCTGATGTTAAATTTAATTTAACATCATTTCACTTTTTTCAATTTTCATTGAAATGAATTTAACTTTATGGTTTTTTCTCTCCATTAGAGATCTACTCAGATAGGCTCTTTCTCTTTATCAAGCACTGATAAATTAAGTCGATTAACCCACTTAATTTGATATTTTGCTTCTTCCTTTCATTTTAAGTCAACTCAAACTCATCAACCAACCAGCTGCACCTCTTTACCAAAACCAAACATGCCTAACACAAAAGAGTCCAGCCAGGGAGACCCCCTGAGGGACATACACACAGTGTTGGCAAACTTGACTAGTCAGTTGATACCTCAATACATGACTAAGATTCAAAAGGCCAAACCCTCCAATCCGGAGGATGCAATGGCTGACTTACTGGAAACAGCCTTAACCACGATACTTCGTGACAAAGAGCTCACTAGATGCATGTCTGTCATGATGTCTTCTCAGCTTGAGTATAAAGACTACTTGCTGGAATGCGCTTTAGCAAAGATAAAGGCGCAAAAAGACGAAAACAGCGCTCTGAAAAGACGCTAGAGGAGACTAAGAAGTCTCTAAGTGTTTTAGAAAAACACAGTGCCAGATGTGAAGCGTCAAAGCTTCCCTCACTGATAAGTCATGAAGAAAATCTTGATCTCAAAGACAAGATTGAAAGACTTAATGAAACCCTTTACAAAAAGGAGAAAGAACTTGATGACACGAATAAGCAGCTTGCTAAGACCACAGAGGATCTGATACAGTCAGAATCCCTACTAGAGCAAGCAACAGAAGATGTAAAAACTTTGAAAGCACTGGTCAAAGTGCGTGCTGAAGCTCTTGAAGTTAAGGCGAAGCAAACTTCTACCTTACAGCACCAGCTCCAGATAGCTCAAAGACAGTTAATTCTTTGTCAAGAACGGCAAGAAAAGACAGACAAAGAACTTGAAGATGCCCAAAGAGAGTTACAATGCTCCCTCTAGTCAGGTCGAGCCCAAAGAGAACGCATGGAGCAAACGTTTCTTGAAGAAATGATAGGTGATCAGCCTCCTGAGAGAGCGCCATCACTTCCTTCCAAACCAACTCTTAAGTATCTCTCTCAGCATCATGACAGGACCCTGCTTGACCCTGAGAGGTCATCCTTAAACCAAGAGTCCTACTCTCCTCCTCATGATGGCTTCTTACCATCTCCCTCAGATAGGGATCTTGACAAAATTGCTCGCAACATAGCACGCTTTGAACCTGAGCACCAAGGTGCTACTGACACCTGCACCTACTTGAAAGACATTGACTTTTCCCTGAGGAAATTTCCATGTGCAACCGTTGATGACAAAATCTACCTTATTAAGGCGACGTCAAGTCGAGAGGTTAGCAGTTTCCTTGAACGACAGCCTTATCATGTCAGAAATAATTATGACTTGCTCTGCCAAGCATTAATTGAAGAGTTTTCTGACTATTTGACCCAGACAGGCCTCTCTGCTGCTCTGTCTATTAAACAAGGGAGATTAGAATCTCCCCAACAGTATTACAACCGCTTATGTGAAGCTTACTTTGGTTTCCGAAATGAACCAGAAATGGAGGAGGACTTGAACTTCAAAACGCTGTTCGTCCAGAACCTCCACCCTACCACCAGTCATCACCTTGGCGTCTTAGCTTGTCCAAACACTTCGACTAGCCGACAGCTTCGTGAACTTGCTGTAAAAGGTTTTGCCAAACAACGACAAACTTTGGCTAAGAAAGCAGAGCCCGTTACTCTCTTGGCTATGGAGACAAAATCACTGCCCGTGGAGCTGAACGAAGCTTCAGACTGTGTATTTTCAGGCTCCGATAAGCCTCCAAATGAGTGGTTAACCAGGCCTCCAAAACCTTTTCGACCTCAACACATTCACAAAGGTCAAAGTTACACACCAAGGCCCGGGTCTGACACAGACCAATGCCAGGTAAACTTTGAGACCAACTGTTGTTATTCAGACTCCCGTCACGGTGGGTTTTATCCCAGACAAAGGAAAAACCATCAACACCGCCAAAGGGGGGTGAATGACTGGCAGAATCAGAGTAAATCACACTCTCAGAAACGACAATCTTATTATCCACCTCAATCGGTTTCATCCACTTCGAAGGTGAATAAACATGACAACTCAGCTAACCACTGAGATTAACACTGCGGAGTCATGAAGGTGTGAGTCCTGCGAAAGCAGAAGTCACCCAGCCAAAGCTGAATGACTCCAATAAGATGTCCAAATGCTGTGGTGATACATTGATGACTGCAATCCCAGTTGCTGCTTTCTTTGTTAGCATTTGTCTCTCCTCTGTCAATATGGTCAGCTTGTCAGCTGTCAAATATCCCATGAACAGATTAAAAGCTGAAATTTCTGTCATTAAGACTCAGATTGACAAATTTCAGACTCAACAGCAGATAATTAGTCAAACCGATAAGAGCATCATCCCCAAGTTTAACAGACAAAGTTTAAGAGAAACTCTGTGCAGTAAACCTTTGATGTTTGTGATTCAGGTTGACTATGCTCATACACAGATGGTTAATATGTCTATAGCAGACATTTCTTTTCCACCTAAGTCTTAACCATTTTTGAAACTGAAATTGAACTTTCAGACTTCTCCAGCAAGCATGAAAAACAGCTATAGCTTTAGATCCGGTTAGCATTCAGACTAAAGAGTGCTTTTCTAAATCTCATTAATACTGAAAATTAGGAGATTTTCTTTCACATTAGTCTACCAATAGTTAACTGAGAAAAGTCTAACACCTAGACGATTTTATTTGATAGCTTAATGCATGCTTGATGTTATCTTAAAGCAGATACTAGTGATTCACATAGTGATAATGAGACGCATCAGTCCTATTTGCATACACCTGCTGCTGCTGCTGCTGCTTCATGGTTGTCTACTCGTCGTCCCGATGCTCCATGGACAGGACCACCGTGACAAAGGGGGGACTGTAGCAATCAAGACAACCCTGGGTGTGAAACCCACACATTCCTCACAGGAAAGTTCCTTATCTGGTCCCAGGAAACAGGATATAAATCTTCCCAGACTCGTTTACACTTTCAGGTTAAATAAGTGACCCAACCGGAGGTTGTCTAAACCTCCGACTCTTCACGATTGGTCAATTCGGAGAACAGAGACAGAGTTTTATTACCTTTCAAACTGACTCCATTTGCTGACCATCTAAATAAACATTAACGTCTCAACCCAGATCTCCCATTTGAGATTTAGTGTCTTAAAGTGTGTGAACATACGGACCCTAGGAAAAGGGGGGGACACTGACCTCCAGACCTCGGTCGTAAAACCCTGCTCAACCATACACTGATAAAGACTACATTCCTTTGGTGAAATAATACAAATGACTGATCCTGACATCTTATGCATTCAGCAATGTACTAATCTGTCTAATCATGAAATTTGTGTTAAAATGAGATGTTTCCCGTTTTTCTATGTGCTTCAGAAGCCAAGTTATCTTATCTGACAGAATACATCCTTATTCTTTAGTTCTTTAGACCAACAGCTTTTCAGACTGTTTCATGAACTTTTAAGAGTTAAATTTATTGACTATGAATCCTAAGTTTACTCTAAGTAACAGAAATAGTTTAGAAATGTTTGGTTTATATTTTAGTTATTTATTTAGTATCTTAACCATTAGGTGGTTATAATGTCATTGAATAACCTTAATGTGAGTATTTAGAATCCATTATTAATCATGATGACGTTCATTCACATGTATTTACTCTTTTGTTGTTCACAGTTTCCATGTGTTACTATCTGTTTCATTTCAGAGTAATTTAGCATGTTCAATGTGATACTTAAAACATAATGAGAATGTTTGATGTGATCCTACACTTCATTCATATGTGTTTAGTATCAAATTATTTATCATGAAACCAAGCATTCAATGATATTAATCATAGTGAGTGAGTATCAGATCTGACTCTTTTACCAGCCAAAAGAATAAGTTAGATCAAATAATCAGAGATTCCACGACCCCTCCTCTGTCTCACACACACGCCGGAGCCACTCCCAGTGTGAGAAGATAAAACCAGTGAAGTCGGGTTGCTCAACCTCTTATGCCTTTTTTCTCTTGTGTGCTGACTCTCCTGTCTCTCTTAGGCCCCTTACTCTTGGGCCCTTCTCTTCTGTCCACACCCTTCTGTGGTCCTCCTTTTCTTTGTTCTCTCTTAGAACTTTTTCTTAGTCTTCTAAGTTTTACGCCACGTGTTGATTCACGTTGATTTTCTTTAACATCGTCTTAGTTCAAGTTTTGAAACTTCAACTTTTTGTGCACATAGTAATTCAAGATTAAGCCTTTGATTGATTTTCTTTAATTTCGCGAAGCCATTTTTGAAAGTTTTCTCTGCTCTTCGAGCCTCGTTTTTCTGAGTTTTCTGCGTGATTTCAAAGTCACCTCCGAACGCAATCCAACAGGCCCAGGTCATCCTCTGTGCCAGAGTTTTTGAGTGAGACTAAAGAAGTACCCAAACGAGCATCCACAGGATCCACAGGCGCTGGGCTTTGCTTCGGGCCCGAGTGCTGCAACTCCTGGCTCATCCTTCGGCTGACTTCAGTCGTCTTCTGAGCTGAACCGCTCGAACCGCCAGTAGCCCCGGACCTTCGGAACCTGCTCCATCTTCTCCAAGGACCAGTCTCACTTAAGTATGCAAACCTCCAGAGCTCCAGAGAGGGCTGGTGCTGTCTCATGCGTTCATAACTCAGATATCCACCTATTTCTGGTGATCTTAGATTCCTCCCAATCCACATCCGAGTTTATCTCGACACCAAAGTTAGTGTAGGTTAATATGTTAGCGCATATTCACTCACTATCATTAACTTTAGTGCTCCTAGCCTGACTCAGAATCTTTATTTATTCACCTATTATTATTTTATCTTCATTATCTTATCATCATTTATTGCATGTGTGTTGTACCATCATTTATCCTGTAATAAACAGATCATTATTTTTCTAAGTTCTTGACTGTTAGTGTTCTTCCAGAAGTGGAGTCCCTGAAATTAGAATTTCGACTTAAGATATGAGACTGATTAATTAAGACTGATTAATTAAAACTGACTTGATGTTTGATTTCTGAATTAAACTTTTGTTTTCTTTATTTTCCCACCATTAAGGGTGGGTGGTGCCCCTTTCAACGAGTGCATAAATGTCATAATTTGAGATTATTAATCTTCAGACATTTATTATAAATTCCAATCGCCAAGTATTATTTTGGTGCGGCCTTGTGAGGCTCATTTCAAATCGCTACATATATTTTGGTGCGACCGTATGAGGCTCATTTCAAATCACTACAGAAGACTATTCAGGTGTGCATGATGTATTTTTTTATTTCATTTCCCTTTTGTTTTCCACCCAATTACACTATTTTTGCTTTATTAGCACCGACAGTAAACCATCCTCAGTAAACATTTGAATTGAGTCCTGTTTTCAGTGTGCTAATCACATTTTTCATGAGGCCTACCAAGCCTTTGTTAATGGATTTTACCAATTAGCACTCCTCAAAGATTGAAAATAGAGGAGCCGAAGATGAGTCTGCTGAATACACACAGCCGTCACAAAAAGTGATGCAGACTGACAGGTATTGTTCAAATCGACAGATTGCCTTAAAAGCAAGAAGGGACTGTTCACATCTCAAATGACAGGAAATGACAAAGCTCTGGCTCTGAAGAACAAAACCCCTCTACTTTCTCTGTCTGGCTCCTTGAGTGCTTGATAAGAGCTAAGAGCTGCGCTGAGACATGAAGGCGTTGTGTGGGCTGCCGGAGAGTGTAGGATAAAAGCATCAAGAGTCCACATGTGACACAAGAGGAGGGAAAATGGAGGGACGGTCACATGCTTCTGGTACACCCAGAATTTTTCGTTTATTTATCTGTCTGTTAGAAGTTGAGATAAAACCTAGAGTGAGTTAAAACCTAACTTTGTTTTAACTCATGCACATTCACAAGATTTCTCACAATGAAAAAAAGTTTCATTTCTAATCAGTCAGCTGCTGCCTGTGGTGTTAAAAATGAAGCTGGAGCAGAAACCAGGCTGAAAACAGCTATTTTCCTTGTGTAAAAACAGGCTTTTTTGTTGGTTTGTTTTTTAAGGGCAACAACAGCCACATCATACAGTAGATGTTTGTTTGGATTTACTCTATCCCATCTATTCCATTGGGACCATGAACTCAAAGGAACATAACAGCAGCAGTTATGAGGACGGAAAATAAATGCTAACGTATGACGGTGAGCTGATGGCCTCTAATGACATCAAAGCTGTGTCAAAAGTAACACCTACAAACTTTAAATCAATCTACAAGCAGCCAAAATAAAGCATTTTGGGCAGAGGCTGCATTATGCTGAAATGAGGGTTTTTACAGATGCCAACTGAAGACTTTTTTTGTGCTGTAAATTCTGCAAAGCTATTCTACATGTGTCCTAAACCGACTTGATGAAAGATAAAAATGTGTGTAAATGTCCTGTTTAATGTGAGATTATTTTCAAAGCCGAGTTTCTCCCAAATCCACTGACAAATACCTGCCCAGCACCAGACAGCAGATTGACCCCATAGGGGGTAGTATTGAAAAAGAAACAGCCGAGGAGTCCGATACTGACAACAACAAAATGAGCTTAAAAAAAAAAAAAAAAAAAAAGACTGAACAGTGCATTTATGAATTTTTGGTGGTGCTGAGAATTACATCAATTTAAATGTTTCCCAGTCTTGCACTTTACCTGCTGGATGTGTGAAAGGTAATGTTTGGGTCCTCTAGAGGAAGTGATCATTGAAGTCTGTGTTTTTAGGAAATAGAATTGTTTCCTCTCTCTACAGTGATTTAGCATCTTGCATGAGCAGATGGCTTTTTTTTTTTACCCCTACAAGACACAACTTTCTGAGAATCCCTCCTCTGCTGCACTGGTCTACACATCTGTTCTATTGCAGGGTAAACTCCTGAGTCACAGAGACAATGTAAAGATATATTTAAACTCCAATTTACAGGTTTTTCTTGATGTACATGAACTATCACAGGTACAGAAACACAGCAGGCTCTGGCCCTTCACTGATCACACTCTAGTTTATTGTGCTCCTCTCTCTGTAGCAAATCAGTGAAAGCAACCCCAGGTGATTCAGCCCCCACGTTTTCCACCTGTTCCAAAGATGACTAATCCACGGCCTCCTCTGCAGTGCCCCCCTCCCCTCCCCTTCCCTCCCCTCCTCTCTTCTCTTCTCCTCTGAATAGACTCTGCAGTCACTGCTGCGCTGGCCTTAAACAGCCCTGAAAGCCGCTGCAGGTGGACAGACTGAGACAATCATAGGTTAATTCACAGCAGCAAAGACAACAGAGGAGCAAGTCTGCACCATAAGCAGTAGCTTCTTATGGAGATGTAGCTCAAATAATAGAAACAGAATATAAACCAGCTTGATTGGTGTTTTTTTCTAATAACGATGTGAATTGAAGGGGTCTGCTTCAGCTAAAGTAATCTGCAAGGGTTTATGCAGATGCAGGGACCTTCTTTTTGAAGCTTCCTTCATGAATTTTATTTAACATCTATGAAATTAACTGAAATTTATGTTGATGCATTTTCATATTTCAGTGTCTGTGATCGATGCAGGTGAGAAGGTAGGTGTCAGCTGTTTTTACAATTTACACATAGAATAGTCTAAATGAAGGACTAAAGGTCCTTACACACAGGGGCCGACGCAAATATAGAACGAGAAATTACGAAATATTCTGAGGCGATTTTGACATGCTTGAAGATACAAATCAAGCCTGATGCGATTTTGCAACTTTCCGGGGGAAAAAGACGCGTCCCGAGGAAGACTTTCCCGGGGGAAAGTCCCACCCTCTTGCCTCTGATTGGCTAGAAAAGCTGGAAACGTCATCACAGGCTCAAGCCAAATGGTCAGCACTTATAGCCAATCAGAGGTGATAAGATAAGCACATGAAACTTTGGTAACACACGTTAGCTTACGTTAGCATAGATGAAAGTTTAAACAAAGACGTTTAGCAAACTGTTAAAGCACACAAACCATCGTCATATGAGAGATCTGACGCTATGACTCTCCACAAGCTGTCCTTCAGGTTGTTATCTTTGTAATGTTTGTGTCTTTTATCAAAATGCACTCTGTTTCTGACACGTAAACAATCAGCCGGTCGGCCATGTTGGATATACCTGTGAATCAGACGTCGCAACAACACACAATCTGATTGGTCAGAAGTGGACACACAGTATGCGAAACCTTCAAAAAAATTGACCCTGATCCCGAAAATTAAATGCTGCAATATCATAGGACAGGAAAATGTTGCTGATGTGAACGCTTGTATTGACAGGATACGGGTTCGAAAAAAAATATTGATGTCCGAAATAATCGCACGACAAAAACAGTCCCGGTGTGAAAGGACCTGAATTTGGCTCTCAGAAGTTGGCAGGATGAGATTTTTTTGTCAAGAAAAGCAAAGCCAAACTGATACAAACAGAAGTTCCTTACAGGAGCTTTAATACTTGGATTAAGACATCAAATCAGAGGGTAGTTTCCCTTCACATCTTTATATTTCATGCTTTTTTTTCTTTTACATTCAAACCATAGACTGTATATACTATGGACAACTTGGCTCTGCCCTCCGTCATTAAAGAATATGAAGCCGAATTACTCTTGATATTTCCGGGATTTTCTCCATTCCGGAACCACCACTTGGGCAGTAGAATTGTACGCATTCAGAGGGAGAGTCACCGATAGTTGCTGTGAAGACGCTCGGCTCAAAAAGCATATCCCCCAGGGTGAGCTGCACAATCTTTGTACACCCATAGGCCGTATCAAGTTTCAATCATAGAAAACATGAACCCCCTAATAACTTTTAAAAATTGCAGCTGTACAGAAAAAAGAGGACTTGAGCACAAACCAGTCTTACAGTAAGTACATGTCAACATCACAAACAAGAGGGGAGAAAAATTTATATTCTGTGTAATTAATTTCTCAAGTTCGTCCACAGCTCCTTAGGGATTGCTGGAGGCGGGATTTATGACCTATACTGCAGCCTGTTCACCAGAGGGTGCTGTTCTCATTGTGGCTTCACCCAGCGAGGAGGCAGACTGCGTCCATTCTATATACAGTCTATGATTCGAACTTACAAAAATTTAGCTGTTCGCTGTATCACTTTGATACGACTGCAGTCTAATGTAGGCAGAAATATCATTTATATACAAATAGCATGATTTAATGTAGTCGTTTTAGCTCCTTTTTACACCCACTTATATTTGGCTCTTTTGTTTGTGATGGAGTTGTCTTTACACATATTACATCTCACATCATCTCAAAATGATCAGTGTTGAACTATGTCCCTATTATCAGCAGCCATCTGTGGGAGGTAGTGCAGGAGGAACACAGGCGGTGCGGTTTGTAGCTCTGCCTGAGAGAAACAATTTTAAGGACAATCAGGTGAATCAGTCTGATAGGGGAACAATAGGAGCCTGCGGCTAACAGAGTCTAAATCCCAGACCTCTCCTCTCTCTTCACTGCTGAACACAATCAGACTGCAGCTCTGCAGGAGAAAGTTTATTAAATCCACTTCCCCTGTGATGGACACTGAACTGTTATTAGTGGATGGACAGGGGGTAAACTTAGCGGTCACTTTGCGGTGAAACAATATGAGATAGAGATGCCACCGTGCAGCAGGAAATCTTTTCCAGGAGGACAGACGGGATCTGTCAGCAGGGAGCAAAACCCCAATGAGATGGATAAAAGAAATATCTAATTGGAGGAGCTTTAAAAAGCTCAGCCACCTCGGGTAGGAGTATTTTTAGGTTATTATATTGGCCTGTAATTTTTACTGGAGATAGGCAGGGTCCATTTGGGAGGAGGGGTGGGGGATCACATGCAACAAAGGGCTGGTAGAAGCCAACGTATCTGCATAAGAGGCTGGACCTAACCAGTGAGTTAAACCACTGCCCCCTTCATGAAACCTGACTCTTGATGATTATAATGCAAAGTTTTGAGAAATCCAAATGGAAATGTCAACCTCTTACAACACAGATTCTCCACAGGGTTCAAACCAGGCAAGCGCAGTAAGACCATACTCAGCAAACCAGTTTCTGGTGGTTTTAGCACTGTGGGCAGGTGCCGGATCCTGCTGGAAAAGGAAATCAGAATCCCCATAAAGATCTCTATAATCTCCTGGTAGACTAGTGTTGATTCTGGACTTGATAAAACACAGTAGTCCAACAGCAGCAATAGCACCTCAAATCATCACTGACTATAGAAACTTCAAGCACATTGGATACTGTGCCTCTCCAAGCTTCCTCCAGACTCCGGGACCTTGATTTCAAAGCACGGAATGGGGGGACTGATGTAAACTTTTTGATGTATTGTGCAGGTTTTGCTTGCCACTCATTTGGCAGAGTCCACAAGTTCTTTTGGATAACAAGACTGCACAGTAGGAGAGGAATGAAGTTTGATAGGACAGAGAGGGTGCTGAGATAGCAGCGAGTTTGGAAGCAGGTTAATTTGAGGCAACGATGTTTGAGTTGGAGCTGCAGCCTGATGATCAGAGCTGAGTCTCATGGGGATGCTACAGACAGTCTGCTGCTGTGGACCTGCCTGACTCCAGCTGCATCACCTGATTGTCGGCCTCAGGCCCTGAGCTCCTTCTTCTCTTAGGTCCCTCTGGACTGTTGCTGCAGACATGAACATCAGCCTCACCGACATTAATAACATAAAGCTAGAGATCACTACTATTAGGCCTGCTGACTGTAATCACATTAAATTAATTTAACATAGTTCATAATTACTTATATCCTGATCCTGTGAACTAAACTCATATTCTCCCATTATTGGTTCTGTAAACGGGACTCTGTATGAGCTGCTGTTGTTGTTGCTGTTCTGTCTCTCTCTCTTTCTCCCTCCCTATCTTTCTCTGTGTATTCCCCCCCAACTCAGCAGCAGCAGGTGTCCGTCTAGCATGAGTCTGGTCCTGCTTAAGGTTTCTGCCTGTTAAAGGAAGGTTTTTCATTTTGGATGGGATGGGTCGAATCTTTCCCATCTTAAGCTTGGGTCTTTGTAATACACCAGTGAGTGTGGTCTAGATCTGCTCTTTTTTGGAAATTGTCTTGGAATAGAGACTGTTGTGATCTACAATAAAAATTGATTGATTGATGGAGAAAGAGCACGTAGTGTGGGGAGACATAAAACTGTACCCTACAATGTCAAAACCAAATACAAACATGATCCAGAAATGCCAGAGGCTTTGCTAGGTTGGAGTCCATTCAAGATTGACTGAGGCAAAGTGGAAAACTGCCCTGTGGTCTGACAAATCCAGCATTTGTGGTGGTTTTAAGATGCGTAGGTTTTTATGAGTCACTTTTACATCTGGGAAAGCACCATTTGTAAAGATCGAGATACAAACGTTTTAAAGCAACAAATGCTACCATCCAGACAATGCCCTTACAATTTCTGTGTGTATTACAACTACATGGCTCTGTAGTAGAACGGTTCAGATGGTGAACTGGCCTGCCTGAAGCTCTAACTGCCTCATTATGAATTAAAAATATGACAAAGAAGACCCCAGTGTTTTTCAGCTAAACCGCTTTATCAGGCAAAAATGGGATGACCATTCAAGTGGTCTCCTTGGACTCAAACCACCAACATCTGATCTGTTGTCTTTGCACCACCTTCAAACCACCAAATTCTATTATTTTTAAATAGGCGATTAAACAGGATTAAAGAGGCAAAAAGCAGGAAGCGAAGTATCAAGAGTCAGTGAAAAGGGAAAAACAACATGATCACAAATCAATACAGCATTTATTTATTTCAGAAACTTTAATACTGTGATCACTGCAAATGTCTTTTCATACCTTTACATTTACAAAGACAATGGATCTGGAATGTAAACAGTACTTGTAGTTCTGTGGTTGAAATAGTGTGCTTTATCTGCAGTCAGATCTGCGGATCACTTCTATGTTCAGTTTGCACCTCAGACAGAAGGAAACTGGACTGATCAGTCCACAGCAGCAGCTGAAGCTGTGACACAGAGCTGTGTGAAACCCTCATCCCCTGCTCCAATCACTAACACCATGAGCTGTGCTTGACTGAAAAACCAGCACATGAACTAAATCCAGCTTTCACCTGATTCTCGAGAAGATGAAGGGTTCGGATTATTTGAATTAAGTCAAGCACCTTCCTCTTGTTTTTTTCAGCAACTAAACCGGCAGCAAAACTATGGAGCAACACCAAGACACAGTTGCACAGGAATGGATCAGGCCACCCTTCTTATCCAAAACCTGTTGACACAATCCTTTTTATAAAACACTGTGCAAAGTTTCCTCAAAATAAAAGATCTTTACAAAATGGGACGTTTAAACGTCGGAGCAATCATGTTTCCCTTCCACAGAACACCAAAAAAAACAAAAGCTGGAGAAGAAAAATGAAACTATCTGCGTATCTGTACAAGGAGTTGACATTCACACTGAAAATAACTGGACTCACGTGTGACTTTATGTCTTCGTGTTCATCTAACATCCAACTTGATGCACACTTTTAAAGATGCGAGCAAAACATCTGCACTGCACAGTTTGTCATTTGGCCATACTTCATTTAAGATACAAAAATCTAGAGCACTTTCAATATACAATAAAATATGAAACATTTCCTCTTGGTTATTTCTGTGGATCTACAAACTCCATGTTAGTGGCTAACATGTACACAGATTTGGACTCTTATTTTGTGTTTATTTTGGAGGTTTTCACATTATTGGATGACTACTTGAGTGCATTTCACTACTGGCCAACTTCATAAACTGTTCAAACAATGAAATCATGTCACAAAGCAACAAACCCAAGCTTTTTCACGATGCACTGAGAGTGGTTACCGCCCGATTTATCAGAGATTCTTAAAACAGAACCACCACTTAACATTATTAATACACGTTCACTCATCTCCCTGCAGGACTTAAGGGATGAATGTCACCTTTAAGTTAACATAATAGAATTTTTAGCCTTTTGTTTATTCTCTTTACATTCAGACCGGGCGCTGTTTTGTGTCACACGCTGTAGAGTCGTAGCTGGATCAGTTTCAACATGAAAGTTGTATTTCTTCCATCAGAGGGGATTTAAGGCTTTCACCACATTAATGAAAAACATTATTGTCATGCACGCTCATGTTTGCGACCTGACTTAAGCCCAGCACTTTTGTCTTGTTAAAGCTCCTGTGAGGAACTTTTTAGCTCCTGTTTAGTCCCTAAGTCGTCCCACTGTATTCTTCATCTTTAACCTACTCCAAGGCAGTGAAATAATTAAGAAATCCTCTCTGTGATGGTATTGTTTGCTTTTGCAGGTCAAAAAGAGGCACCAGTATCAGGATTTCAATAGAAAATATTCATATCAGTCTGTCAAACTCCTCACAGGAGCTTTAAACACCAACAACTTTGTGATACTCTTCTTCTACGCTCTTTTTCAGGGGAAAGCTGCACTGAGAGATATACTGCATGTAACTGAATGCAAAGGCACACTCACATATGGACACATTTCCATGCACATCACGCACACACTCACACACACACACACTCTGGTCCCTGTGTCTGGAGGCTGAGCAGCCGTGATTGTGTTCGGTAAAAATATTCATACGGAGCAGAAAAAGGCTGAAACCTCACAGCAGGTTCAAACTTTCATGAGGCTGAGTCGACAACTTTAAATGTGAAGTCGGGCTGGAACGAGAAGTAGTGTGATATGAGTGTGTGACAGTGTGTTACCAGGTGTGTTTATTTGTCAGGATGATGATGATGCTGATGAAGAGCCTTTCTCTTTCATCTGCTCCCCAGGTGCTGTTTCAAAGGCACATCCCTGCTCTGCCTGGGAGTAATGACCAAAAGAAGTGACTGTAGGCACAGCTGGATAGACTGATGTACATTCACACAATGACAGCACACACACCGCCACTGGAGCAGCAGCAGCTTCGGTTTTATAATTTCTATTTCAATATCATCCATAAATAGTCATTTTCTGTTGAGTTACTTCCTCTAAATATCCTGTTTTTACTAATAATACTGAACCTGAGGAAACGATAGAAGTTGAAATGTAAGCACACACACACACATACACACGTATGAGTACACCTAAGGTCTGCTCCCTTTATCAAAATCCAACCTCTGATTGTCTCTCAAAGCTGGCATTTTGTTTGTTCCTTTCTTTTTCTGAGTTTTGTTTGGCCTCCTGAGTCGACGTCAGATGGAGGCGTTGGAAAAAATACAGAGTGACTGGCAGCACATTTAATAATCATGACATTTCCACTGGTCATCACTAGAGGGCACTGTAAGCAATACGACAGCAGGCTCGGGCACCACAAAGTACAACAGAATACAGAAGAAAAAAGCAATATAGTCAGTCTTTAGCCAGAATGAAGAAAGAAAGCCATTTAAATAATATAGCTAGTGAGCTTTTTCTTGAGGAACTAAACACTGATGTCAGTTGTACTGTACGAAGAGAACAACTTATTTATTGGAATTATAATACAAGGAAATAAATTAACCTGGAAAAAAACGTCCCTTCTCTACTGTCCGTCCTGGAAATGTCTCTGTCATTGGCTCTCTGTATTATCCAATCAGTGCTCTTCTTCCTTGATCCACATGTTGTTCCCTGCTTCAGTGTGCGCTCTCTCAAACTTCTTTTTCCCGCATCGAGCTTCCCCTCTTCTCTCTCTCTCGAGAGAGCTGAAACTGCTCCCTATTGCTTGTAAGACACGTACAATCTAGATGGACCAAAGCACTCTGGAGATCTCCCTTTATGGCATCGCATGCCGATGGCTTATAAATTTATTCCTCCTTTTTTTATTTTCAGGTATAAGTTTGTGTTGTAGAGATAGGCAGGGTGCTGTAATCCACATCTGAGTGTCACTGAGGAGAAAGAAATGACAAAACAAAGAAAATCACTGTACAAATCCAGGTTCCCCTCCTGTTCAGAGGCAGATGAACTGCTCTCATGTTAGTGGTTTTTAGCTGCTGCAACCCTTCAGGTGTGTCCGAGGATTCTCTCTTAGAGATGTGGCTTCAGATTTGTTTTGTGTTTGTTTTTATTAGAGCAAACTCCAGGCGGAGGTGGGTCATTGTTTGTCTGTCTTTGTGGTGTTTTGAAGGAGAAATGACGCCTCTTCTGGCTTCTGCTCAGCCGAGTTTGGCACAAAAGATTCCTTCACAAAAAGATCAGGCAAAAAGGAAAAGGAGGGAAAAAAAAGGCCGGATATTTTCCTGTAGGTTTTCCACAAAAAAAGATTAAAAGAGAAAAACATTCCGTAGGGGGCATTAAAGTGATCGAATCAGGAGAAAAGGGAAAGCTGGCGTCTTGAGGGGGTTCCTCTTTTCCAGCAACTTGAAAATGTAGTTTTGGTACAAGAAGTTGGAAAAAAACTGAGCAATGCTGCCCAGGTCCCTTTGGAGTGTACAAGTGGATTTGTCCAAATCTGATGCTTGTTCTTCTTGAGACTCATCCTGAGAAGTTTCGCAGAGGGTCGACAGAATTACCTGCTTGATGTAAGGAGCTAATAATAAAGCCCAGAGGGTTCAGCATCAGGCTACTCTCCATCTTTCTTGTCTCTCTTCAGTGTTGCCGTCCCTCTGCTTCCCCCATCCAGACTGTGTGTGTAGTTTAATGCGATTGTGGTTGTGCGTGAGTGGGTTTATATGTGCGGGTCAGATTCAGTTCATGTCAATGGTGTTGAAGACCCACTCTGTGAACTTCTTGAGCTTGGCGGCGGAGGTCTGAGACTCCTCCTGCAGTCTCTGGTTGTCCTCCCAGAGCCTCTTGATCTGAGCCTGAAGCCTCACTTTTTCCTCGCGCTCCTGTGAAACAAAGTTGAGCACAAAGAGAGAAGTTATTAGACGAAAAGTAATGGAATGAGTGTCAGAAATCCACCACATTACCATTTAATTAAGTCAGTATCTGTTCGTGTTGACATAAACCTCCCAGGCCTGCAGACAGTGACTCACAGCCAGATTCAACCTGTAGGAAGAATATCAGTTGGTGGCATTTTGAGTCAGCCAAAAGCCCGACTTGTGTGCCTGACAAGTCTTGAAGAAAACACTGAAAAAGCAGGGAGTCTCGGCCCATGCTGTCAATCAGCTGAAAGCTGCTGGCTCGAGGCTGGGATAAGGAGGTGACAGTGAGGTATATTATTTTTGCAGGTGTCAAGCTGATGCACCGCTGTGTTCGAAATGAGAAATTCAGACACTCTCCAGTATTTCACAGACCACAGAGAACTTACGGAGAGTTGCGTAAGAAATAAATAGCACCTGGACAGCAGCTATTTGGGGGAAAATCTCTCTCCTCTGCCTCACTAATGTTCAGATATCTTCACCTTGAACTACCAAATCTAAAAATACTCAAAGAGGCAGAGGAAACAGCATAACAGGGGCTTTTTTTCCTGTCTCTGCTGCTAAATAATGAGACAAAGCTGCTGCAAACCCTCACTAAAACATATAACATCCAATATGAGATGAATATTGAAAGATATGGTGAAGAATAACCTGGACAATCTTTCTCACCGATGTTTTACATCCTCTGGTTTCTGTCCAGTCCTTCATATCCTCCAGTGACTTGGCATTTTCACTCTAAAGTTGTCTAAACCAGTTTTTTCTCAGTTTGATCTTGTGCTTAAATCCTACATCGGGAGACTTCAAGGAGTGAAATAACGTCCCTCTAAATTCCTTACAATTTATTTTCAAGTCTAAACTTATTCCTCTCTCAAGCAAACACATTCAGAGCCCTAGAAGCTTTTCCACTTCTGCATTTTTAATCTGCAAGTATTTCTCAATGCTTCAGAGTAAATATGGAGAAAGACAGATACTAATATTCTTTTGCTGTCTAGGAGAGAGGCTATAAGAGTCAGGCAGAGAAAAATAGGCATGGTGTGTGGAGGTACAAGGGAAACCCTCAGAGTTCCTTTAAAAAGCTCCACTCCTTCAAAGTGACTCCACAGAAAACTGGTCTGAGTGATTACAGTGAGATCTGAGTCTACAGGTAACAATGATATAAGCTACAGAGTGGAACCAAAACAACAGCAATGGCAGCACATAACTGCTGACTGTGTGCTTTCATTTCAAGACAGATGTATATTCATTTCACAGACGCTGTATGTAAATCATTTTCCATCCTTTCTAAAATTTGAATACAGGAAAGAGGCTTGAGATTTATCGGTGAGTATAACACTAAGTGAAGGTTCTCCTTATACAGCAGGAAAAGTCTATCACTGTGCAGAGATGGAGTCGTTCCACTCCAGAGGGAAGTACCTTCTTCAGGTCCTCCTGGAGCATCTTCACCATGGCCTCCAGCTTTGTCACCTTCCTCTCCAGCCCTATGTGACCCTCACTGCGGACAAGAGCGAAGCACACAGCATTGTTAGGCTTTGTAAACACACTACAAAGAGGGTGAAAATAATATTCACTTGTAATAATCCGCAACCAATCAAACATGAACCCAAGGACATGAATAAAGAGTATAAATAAAACACAGAGAAAAGCAGGAGAGCCACAGTGGAAAGGATTGATCTTTCAGCTGTGGTGGTTGTGGACTTTCTTCAACTCTTCTCTTTGTGTTTGTGTTTGTGTGTGTGTGTGTGTGTGTGTGTGAGATGTTACCTGGATGAAGGCCGTGACAGAGGAGCAGGCTGCAGCTCTATGTGGGGCTGCTGGGGGCTGGAGGCGCCACTGCTTCTGTGGTTTGCATCTCCAAACACGTAGCTTCTCTGGACTAGAGGAGGGAAACGGACACAGATATAAACAAAGCTGAATCAGCAGGTAGATGCAGAATAAAATATGAAAGCAGTGCCCTGGCAAACACCAGAGAAATGCAAAACATCCTTTAACTTTGGAACATGTAAATTAATGTTATAATACCCAGGTAGGGTGAGGGGTGCTGAGGCAGCTTTTTAGCTTAGTTGGAGGGTCAATTCAAGTTTGTCAGTAAATTTCCACTTCCACTTCCAGAGACAATAATCACATTAGAAGTTCTTAGTGATACCGTAGTGTGTGCTTCTTTCAGTCTCAAAGGTATTGGCCACATCCACCAGGTGTGTCCACTCCAGAGGGCTGTCCCTGCCTGAGGACGGGAGGGGCATCAGCTCCTGAGGGAGGGGCCCGCGATGACGCTCCACCAGGTCCACCAATGAGGTGTCAGAGGCAGAAAGGTCACCTGCAAACCAAAGTTATATTCAATCTGTGACCAATCCTGTGCATATTTTCAGTCAGAAGGGGGCAGTAGATCTTCATCTCTAGAGCTTCATCTACGTCTGATTAATCACATGACCAGAGAGAGAAACAAACATGTCACAGTGTGGCTGTGTAAACCTTTTTTGAATGATTCTAAAAAAGCTACCTTCAGAAAGTATTCCACCAACTGAGAGGTGCTCCTAATAACATATCTGAATATGCATGCATGACATCTGTACTTCAAACACCTCCAATTTTCAGCCTCCCACTCACCGTGCAGTTTGACTCCCAGCTTGTACGAAGGCCGTCGCAGAGGAACACCCCGGGTGGTGGGTGAGCGTGGGAGGGTAGAGCAGCTGAAGAGAGAATCGGCACCGAGAGTGGGATCGGTCACAGTGTCGCCCAGAGAAGGTAGGCGCTGACCGCGGTAGATGCTCTCGTCCGACAGGGTGCGATGGAGTGAGCGACGGTGGCTCAGAGGGGGATGACTCGGCGGGGATTTCTGCCCATGCTGTATAAAAGTTACGAGAAAGATGGAGACGTGTTTTACTTAAACATGAATGAAAAAAAGATCCACAGGTGAACACAAAAACAGAGATGACTTTCTCTGAACTCTGTAGCCTGTATCAACAAGTTTATTTTCTTCAACTTCCCCTCTGTTATCGCCCCGATTCACTCCATGAAATCTGTGTTCTGCTGACTTGTTTAAGTGCATTTTCATTCACAGGGAGCTTTGCATTGACTGTTTTTGTGAACTAGCCACAACTACTAGCCACAACAGTGTTAAATCATGTTTTTTTGTTTGTTTGTTTGTTTTACATCAGAATCATTTGTGTGTAACAGCCCAGGCTGGATCATATAGGATCTAAATGACAATAACTGCATTTAACTGTCTTTCATTAGTTCACTCCATTCATCACACGGCTGTACTGAAGTATAACGTGTCCATAAAGAGGTTCTTGGTCTGAAGATTCATAAACGTGCCTGCAGTCGTGTCTTCTCCTTGTGTCTGCGTGGGGCTGGAGGGCTGTCTGGAGCGCTGTGTCTCTTTACATCCTCCTCCATGGTGGACTTGGCGTGAGACTGAGGCGAGTGCATGTCCCGGAGAGAGGGCCTGGCTGCAGGTGTGGGTACAACTTCAACTCCACCTTCTCCTGGGGACTTCCTGAAACACACGAGGACAAAGATGAACAATTACCATGATGATAGTCTAATACTAAACTGTTAAATAACAAAGACAGATTTGGCAGTGGGGCTTGTTATTGCCAAAACATTCTTATTTAAAGCCCATGAGTGTAATATCCTCTTCCACCACAAGGGGGTAATCAAGTAGCGTGCATATTTTTATTCAAACAAGACATTAATGGGAAAACACAGTGGGAGGACAAGTAATGGGATCAAATACAGGCAGCTTTAGTAGAAATACTACCATTACAAAGCTGCTGAGGCCTGATTTTGTCAACACAGAATACTGTACATACAGGGAGGTAGAGTGTGATATAACACTGCAAGTCTAACATTTACAAAGATGTTATATATCGAGCTCTACTGGGATTTTGATAGTAGCATAATCTACATCCATGCTTTGTGGTAATAGGTCGATTACATCATTCTGGAGTCCTAAACTACAGCAACTACCATCTTCTTCAAGCACTTGAGTTAAAATTGTACAAAAGCACATAAACCAGCTTCCACTAGGACTTAACTGCAGGAGAAATGATGGCCCTTGTTTTAAGGACCACCTATTACACCTTTGAGCAAAGCTGCTGCAACTCCACAAACTCTGGCTGCACCACTAATACCATTTCACTTCAATTTGTGCAACCCTGTGCAATAAAAATCCACTCCCAGGCAAAGAGCTGGTAATTAAAGACACTTTAACGTTGCTACACTGTCTTCCCCCCCTCCTCTTTTTTGGTCTTACTTGCGGGTGTCTCCGAAGTCGACAGAGTTTATCGTGGAACCAGGTTTCCTCCAGCCAATCAGGAACTTGGACTGAGCTCCCTGGCGGGGGTAGAAGGTCTTGGGCCCGGGGGACGCAGTGGACTGGGATGAAGGCGAGGTGGCTGAGGAGGAGGACTCATCTCTTGGGGAACTGTGGCCTGAATGCCTGACAGAGAGAAGAGGGCACACAGCAGAATTTAGGGGGTTTTCTCTTCATGTTCATGGGCTGACAATAAAACAGGCATCAGAGTCCTGATAAGGATTCAACCATGAGGCAGTAACACTCTTTTTTAATCTTACTAACCAGTTTGCCCCTGAAGAAATCAATATTTGACCACTAATTAGAGATTACTGATAATCATTTTTTATTGTCTGCTAGGCTTACCAGAGGGCATAAATGATTAAATTAAAGATGGAAAACTGTATTCAAGTATCACCTGGGGTCAAACAAACTCTTTTCAGACGCCCTCCTGCCATCAGAACTAGAACAAAATACAAATATAGCTTGAATGCCGCACAGGTGATGCCCAGGTCATGAACTGTTGAGATCAGAAAGAGCATGACACTGGAGTTTTCCCCTCTGCAGACACCAGTACAGCTATGAGGACTTGGACACGTGTTCCACATTTCCTGAGGCCTAATGCGGAAAGATAAGAGGGAAGTAAAATTACTCCCATGCTTGATTCCAGGAAAATCTCATTGAAAGGGAGGTGGTCTAGTGAGTGTTCTCCATGGGCGAAGTTCATTGGTTTAAGTGATGAGAATTGGAAACATACTATCGGGGTCAGGTAACAGTCAAAGAGGGACGGGGGAGATTTCATTCAGATACCAGATTTGTACTTCATTCATTAAACTTTGCACTTTCACTGCTGAATAACCTCCTCACTCTGTTTTTGTGTGTGCTTATTTGACACTGTAGTTTTATGCAGTTGGTTCTGTGGTTGTGTCTAGCTTTAAGCTGCTTGTCAGACCAAGGCTGAATATTAAAGCCAAATATGTCTGTACTGTGTAATGCACGGTGGCAGAATGGAGGAGTCAAGTTTTTCTTTTCTTTTCTTCTTCTCTTATTTGCCATCAGAAGTAGAGACTGACTTGTAATAGGTAAAAAATTGTGGCACCAGAGCTGGAGGGATAGAACAGCTTTTTGTGTGTGGAGCTCCAGCTGTGGGGTAAAAGCAATGTAAAAATCAGACACTGGGTCACCAGTACTTTAGTGCTGAGGAGATCAGTGTCCACAGGTGTAAGGATGTAGTTGAAGTTAGGGTAACCAGAACAAATATACAAGTATTTATTTATTTAAGACAGGACACTGATCATGCATCAGATGTTAAATGATATTTTACATTTAACAGTCAACAGTTTTTCAAGATGAGAGTTTGCAGAAGGTCTGTGCTCGATTTGTGTTTGTGGGACCTCAAGATCAAGTTTTATGGTCTGGTGATTTTTTTTTGGGTTCAACAGAGAACATTTTAGGCAAAGTTCCCCAAATGTTTGGCTCCTGACCTCTAAAAAAACCCTCAAAATCTTCTCTTGTTCAGGCACCACAAGTTGCTTATGTTTTGGAGATGTCACCCAGTTGCATGATTTTCAGACTTTTGTTTTTGAATCATAAAAGGTCTAAATGAATCCTTTTCCAAAATAAAAAAGGAGAAAAATCTCAATTTTATGCAAATATATCCACAGTTGGTTTGTAACCCTTCGCTTTAAATATTTAGATGGAATTTTACATGCACACTTGCTTTATATCCCCATGATATGAAAATAGACACTCATTTTTTTAATTCAGTGAGTTCAGTCCGTCCAGTAAACATGAGATAATGTTTACTTGTCCTGTTGTCAGTGGTAAATAAAGTTTTTCATTTCTCAAATTACCAGGCCTCTCCCTCATGATGCACAGGACCTACAAGCGAAGAACTTGGGGTTGCTGCTATATTTTCTTCTTCAAGCTGGTTTAGACATTCATTCAAACTCTATGTGAATAATGCATTAACTCCTAGAGATGTTTAAATAAACAACAAAGTCACACAGACAGACCTGGAGTGTGATCCTTGGTCGCTCAGACTGTAGGTGCTGCTGTCTCTAACCAGGAGGTGAGTAGGTGGGGTTCTACCTGTCCCGTCCATACTCCTCTCTGCTGGAGGTCCGGGGGACTCAGCTGCAGCAGGCGACCTCTCCAGCATCCTGCGGCCTCCCTCTGTGGGGCTGTGCCATGGAGACACTGATCGGTCCCTGTTCTCCCTGCTTCCACTGGGGGCCAGCAGGGAGGTGGTGCTGCCATGATGAGAATGAGGGTGGTTGTGATGAGGAGCACCGTAAGAGCTGGTGTCGATGCCGCTGTCAGCCGACGCCCCCTGGAGGTAGCCCCCTCCTCCAAGGCCGTTGGGCTCTGACTCACCCTGGTCACCACTGGAGCCTCCGCCTGCACCCATTTCGTACCATTTGTCGCTGTCGCTGTGGCCCCCACTGGAGGCTGTGCTGGAGAGGGTGTTACTGCTGGAGTGTCCAGAGTAAGGGCCGTCAGACTGCTGGAGCAAACAGGAAGTGGCACAGTCAGGTTATGGAACAGATGCAGCTGCAGTGAGTGATTCACTCTTTCAGAGCTCCAAAAGTTAAAAAAAATGTATATAATAAAATAATAGTGTAAGACAGATGTGAAATCTGACCTGGCTTCCTTTCTTCGGAGACAGATGGATGACCTGCTCCTGCCTCTGGATCCGGGGAGCCCCGGAGTAGCCCTGACCAGACTTTGAAACTGGTGCTTCTGCAATAAAGAGAGCAATAAACACAGCTGGAATTGGTGACAAACACATGCACTGAGACAGAGGCTGCCTGCCTGCGGCACAAACAGATGACTTGTTGATGATTCAACAGAGAAGTTGTTCTCGTCTAATCTGTGCTCTCTTATGTGTATTTTGCAGCTCCAGCACTCATGCTTCCAGGAGACTTACAAAGCTGACAGTTGCTTTTTACTCTGCCTCTGTCGTGTCCATAAACAATAAACCTGGATCACTTGTCATCTCAAACCAACACCATTCAAACACAAAGTTGTCCCCAGACTTGTCCCTGCTGGCTCTGTTTGTTCAGGGCAGGCTGTGATGCGTGAGGTGATGCGTTTCGTGTCCTGAAGAGAAACTTGGGGTATAAATGGGGCTGTTGTGTAATCCTTATGCAACAGGACATACTAAGTAGGCAGCTAATGACCCCAGCAACATGAGAGGAAAAGGTAAGGGAGGTATCATCACATCTGCTGGTGTGAATCTTGTAATATAGTGAACTCTTCCTTATCTTACTTAGAATATTCATGACTCTGCAGAGTTTTCTCAGAGCGGCCCACAGGGCTTGCTGCGCTAATTAGACATGGTTGTATGAGTGCATGTTTGCTGGTTTGAGTACCGCTGTCTATAAAGTATATGCAAGTACACGTGTGTGTGTGTAACATGTTGTTGGGATGAGTGTACCAGATGTGCCTGAACTTTGTTTTTATTATCATTTTATGCAGCTCTGATATTTCATAACTAAGTGCATACCGCGATTGGGGATTAGACCCAAAAAAAACTTGAATTAAATTTTTTCTGGCCAGTTCATATTCCCCCGCAATGGCACCTTTATACCGTGCAATCCTTTCCGGCTGTTGCTATGGCGACTGTGTCGTGGGAAAGCGGGCAGCCAGTTGAGTGCAAGCAGGACAGACAGCAGGCATGGATGGTGGTGGACGCCACCGCCAGCAAAGGCCAACCCGAATCCCGCAGCCAGGTGCACCTACTAGCCGCCGCCACCGCCCACTAGCTATATCATGACATGAGGGGACGTTTCTCACTTATCTGTGCACTGTCGCAGCGAGAGGCACCAACACCCCTCTTCCCCCCCAGCCAGCTGTGGAGGGGGTGCTTTTTTTTTGTATCTTATTTTTTATTTTCTGGTTACATTGTCCATACCAGTGGTCATACCAGGGGATCCATTTAAGTTTGTTTGTTTTTTTTGACACTGGAGCAGAATGGCTGAGAGAACCTCTAGCGGGCTACTGATCATGATGCTGAAGCCCACATCAGCAGTGACGATGATGCTGCCGGCGGGGTCTGACAAGTAAGTTCAGATCTTTCCCTGGGGGGCAGTGGTGAACTCGCCCTTCTCCGTTTCTGACAGTGAACTTTAATCCCTGCATTATTCTGGCAGCTTTTCTTTGTTTACATTCCTGTTGGCTTTGTTGTGCAGAAGAAAGAAAGTCATGACAAATTTTCTGCACCTCACCAGCCACTGCATGAATTCATCTTAAAGAAGATACTGGACATCAAAAGAGAGTGGAGTAAACGTTGAGTTAAATGGCGGCTGCAGGGGAGTTAAAGGCTACATTGAGCACTTACAGTCCTATTTGTGAAACAAAAAGTAAGAGCAAAAGTGAGTCTCCTGTCCTCTGCGTGACTCATGTTATTTCTGGACAGCACACAGCGGCCACATCATCATGGCTGAGGACTAGAGGGTCAAGGGGGTAAAAAAAAAAAAAAGGGAGGGGGAAGGAAAGGACAGAACTTTAAACCACAGAGACAGCAGAGCAGACTGTGCAGAACTGGACACTTGGCTGACACAGGCTAAGCTGGCCCAGCATGCATTGTTCCACCCTGACCAATAAAGACTTAAGCGCTGTAAACAACCACGAAATGAGAGAGTTGGGTTTTATTCTCTGTGATTGTGGTGGTTAAGAACAGGTTGAGGGCACGGCAGAGAGCAGGCTGGTAAACATTTAACCAAAGCAATATCCTGCTGGAAATCAGGGCAGTGGCAGAGGAGCGTTTAGTTTTTGCGGTTTTTCTGAATCTGAGCTGGAAAACAAGAAGAAAACTCCAGAAAAACAACATTGCATTTGAGGATACTTGTAATTAAATGAAAACCAATGTACAGAAGAATCAAAAAGATGAATGAGAGGCAAACATGAGCAGCCGTGGTGAAAGGGGAAAAAACTGAAGGGATGGAGGGGAGGAAAGGTCAGTCAATCCGATTCTCTCTTTTTTTATTAAACTTTATAGAGTAGAGAGAAAAGTGACTGTTTGTCTCATTATCTTTCCACCTCTTTGTCTGTTTACAGAGACATTAAGATCTTCTCTGTGAAGAGGCAGGGGAGGAAGAGGGGGAGAGAGGGGAGGAGAAGTGCTGTTCAGAAGAAGAAGTGTGGAAGCTGTCAGAGTTTGTACCTTAGCTGTGAAAAAAGTGTCACCAGCAGCTGAGGAGGCACACACAAACACGCTGCACACTTTGGGATAGCTGTCAGTTTAAAAGGTTGTACAGTATGTGTAAATATGGATGGTTCCTTTCCTGGTTTGGCCCTTTTTTGGACACTTTTTTAGGAGTCAGGTGCCCCATACCTTCCCCCAGCACCTTTCTGCATTACCGAAGATTGTTGTTTTCACTCTGTGTCTCAATTCACCTGTTGATCCTCTTTCAGCTCCTCCCCCATCATCCATCCTCGACCAATTGGGAGTGGACTTCCCGCTGGACGCTCCCTCTCCTGCCACCTCCCGTCTCTCCCCAGACATGGGAGAGTGGCGACTGCCTGCAAACCTGGCAAATGAGCACACAGACACAAAAAAATGAACATTTTATTCAGCTTTTAAATCGTCCAAATGTGTTTTCCCTGATAAAAAATGCAGAGCTAGAAATGACACAATGGAAAGAGTTTGAAGCACAATGATTTTTTTTCCCACAGGCTGCAGTGGGTGGAAAAAGACAGTCTGTCAAGACCATTATCAAAGACAAAGACACACAAATGCTATCACCTCACTCTCCTACACCAGCGTCACACACTGTTACAACTGTCAGATGAAGCTAATCTGAAGCCAGGCTCTGCTGCATTATAATACAATAAATTCAACATGAAAGTGACTAATCAGTTTTTATTTGGATGGAATGAATAAATCACTAACGTCAAACAAGGACTCCAGCTAAAAAATATTACAGGACTGGTAAGAAAAAACTGATAAATGCACTTAAAACAGCTTAATACATTTATACTATAAATACCATTTCGCTGTTACGCTGATGATACACAGATCTGTTTATGAGTCAAACCAAAGAGCCTCAATCAACAGTACCTTTCAAGATCATTGTGCTGTTGTCAAAAAGTGACAATGTCTTAATATTAAGCCCTAGCTCTCATGATGTGAGGATTTTACCATGCACTTTTGACTTTTTCTGGTCAATATTAAATGCTTTTCAAATTTACCATGAAGAATCTCATCATCATCATCTTTGACTTGCATTATTTTAAATCATGCCACCAAGCTTCCCCTCCCCCTATTGTCCAGTTGATACAGTTAGGGTTAAAAAAAGACGTAATTTGTTCTGTAAAGATCGCAAACTTTTCCTATATACTCAATAAGCTCTAACCGTCACTGTTAAAATATGAATGAAACCAGAACAAATTCAGGTGAGAATATCCATAACTTTCCAACCAGATAAAACACTCTTCTAAAATCTATTTGGTGTAATGGTTGGAATGAATTGATCATTTCAAGGGTGAAAGAAGGACCAAAATGACAACTGTATTGGTGTTTCAAGCAATTTTCAAGCATCTGTTTAAATTGAAAAATAATCATAATTTTAAAATATTTCCCGTATGATGCCATAAATACATCAATTTATGGGCTCTGTTGATTTAAGAAGTCAGCTTAGATATATTTTAAAAGGAGTAAATCTAAAACTCTCTAGAAAGGGTTAAAAGGTAACTTAATGCATGCGTAGGTACTTCAATTATGCAGCTGACGATGTCGAAGACTGATGGTAATAGATAGCAGCCAAGGCAGTCATGTGATTAAATTTGACTGCCTAATGTTTTGGCCGGTGATCATCTTGTGTGTACTTTCCCCATCTGTGAATGCAATTTTGAAATAAAATCTGGTCAAAATACTGATACTAAACATTGTTACATTGCACGTAAAAAAAAAACTCACATTGAACCACCTGTGACCACGAAGAGTTTATCACTGTCTCTTGCAGTTCACTTATCCTCAGGCTGCTTTTAGTATCTTGTGAAAACTTGTTTCTGAATAGAGGCTTTCTTATATCTGTAAAGTTTGTTGCTGCTTATTTCACACATTCATTGTATCTGTGTGTCCTTGCACCCTGGTAAGTGTATTTTATTTCAAAAGTGCAACATAAAAAGTTACTAACTTGAGAATTGCATGAGGAACATTTCCAATCCAACACAATACGAGTGCCTAATGCAGCGAAAACATTTCTCTGTCAAACAAAGGACATACAGGCTTTCTGATACAATTCATTGTAGCTTGCACAAAAGAAATGCTCTGAAACAACGGCTCCCACAGACTAACATAATCCCTCATCCCCAGACTCCTTACTGCTCAGGCATGGACTTCTGTCTCCAGTGAGCCGAGCCTCCGGAGGCGTCGCTGGAACATGACAGGTTGCTTGGCGAGCTGCGATTGTGAGGCGAACGACCCAACGCCAGGGAGGAGGCCAGGCTATAGCTCTCGCTGCCCGGGGACATCCTGGTTTACACACAAACACATTCACACACAGGAACTGTAAGAATTAAGAGGCATGTGTGAGTGAGGGAAATAAAGGAGGATGAAATAAACACAGCAAAGCCTTGTAGGTGCAAATTGTTCTAAGCTCTTCCTGCAGAGGAAATGCCATTGATTACTACATTGTTAGTGCAGTTCCCACACAGTCTGGGTGAAAAAAATAAGATGAATATTTAGAGAAGTCTTCCTAAAAATCCTCCCCGGTCCCAAAGCTGCCTTTTGTGTGCTTTGTAGATAAACTTACACCATTTACAGCAGTCCCAGCTCAAACGCATACTTAAAACTACAATAGCTATCCAACAATTAAAGCTTTTATTTGGAAATGACACTACAAGACACCCTCCCCCACATCCCAACAATCTACTCCACTGACCCACATTTCAAAAGCTGGTGAACTCTGACCTTTTTGGGTCAAGGGGTCGTCCATCGCTGCTGACACTGCGTGGGATGACGGCGCCCCTCTCCAGCCTCTCAGCTGACAGGGTCTTTCCGACCGAGCTGCCCAGGCTGATGGCTCGGTTTGGTTGGTGGGGCTGTGGTGAGGCAGTCAGCGACTGCTGAGGGCTGCTGGATGTCCTCTGCCACTTGTTGTTGTTGCTCCTGAAGGGGAACTTGTACTCAAAGGAGCCGCTGTCACTGCTGCTGCCCTTATAATCAGACACTGGCATCCTATAGAGCTCTGAGCAGCCCCTATGGTGAAAGAAAAGGTACAAGGCATGAGAGTTCAGAGTACTGAAATGAAAAAGGTTTGTTTGTTTTAACCGAGCTGAATTTGATTTCATCTGTAGGACAGGCTCAGCTGTTTTTGCATGTTATTGAAACTGTAGGGGGCCCAACAAAGATCCTTGAGGTACACCTGTCACACATTTCAGACTGATCACTGTTAAGCTTTAGTTGTGTGACTTTTATAGTTTCCAAAGACACTAATGAATCAAAAAAACAAGTGCTTTTGAATTTGCATTCCTCTGATAAGGTGTAACGTTATCTGGGTTCAGCTGCACCACTGATTTTCTTATATGAAAAAATGGTGGTTTTGTTGACTGACTCTTCTCAACCAAATTAATTTCACAATAAACACTTCCACAGCAGATGGTAAGAGAACACAACACATGTATCATCCAAACCAACCTGCGCGGGGTGGCGTCATCATGTGGTGGGATGATGACAACACGCACAGACACTGAGGTCCGCAGGAGGTCAATCATCTGCTCATGTGTCAGCGTTGCCACGGCAACTTTGCAGATTTCGACCAATCTGCTTCCCTGTCGCAATCCTGCCTGCCAGGCGAAACCGTACGGCTCCACCTGTGTGAGGAGAAGTTTGACTGAATCACAGCTGCAGCTGAGAAATGACTCTTTTACTAGACGGTAATATCCAAGAATGTGTGGAGGAGGATAAAGTGTGTAAATGTGGATATACTGGTATGATCTATGTAGTTTTTTCACAGCAAAGTAAGGCTGAGGAGCAGAACACAAAGTCAGCATGAAGAGGTAGACTGAAGCCTGTATCTGCTGTTTTAATCTGGATCATTTCAAATACTGAAATAACTAGACTGTTGTGGAGTTCAGTGACTCAAAGTCAAATACCTCAGCCACGATGCCCTCATAGTTCACATGGAAGCCGAGCTGCCCCAGGCCATTTCGACGTAGCGTCATCTCTGACGTCTCACAGCCTTTAGTCAGGAACTGGACAGAGGAAGGGCAGAGAGGTGAGCCAAGGACCGTTCAAAGATTAAGTGGCAGGAGTAATCAGAAGAGAGAAGATGAAAAAGGTACACAGAGGGTCAGAAGGTGACCAGAGCAATGTGACCATAGACATGGAGAGATGGTGAGAGCAGGGAAAAAGAAGAATCAGGCCTGACATGCATTTTCATCCTGAAATGGTTTTTTTAGCTGAGAACCAGAACAACTTATGGGATTATCTGCATATGTGAGGGTCTGCATAAGTTAAGTCTATATGTACACAAATCTCTCAGGGATCACTTAGGGTACTTAAAAGAAGAAGCTGGAACACATGAATATGTAGGAGTACTGTAGTGTGAGGGGTTCACCTTTAACTTCATGTGTGTACTCATCAACAGTTGACAGAATGAAAGCAGGCGTCTCTTGCTGTGACGCTTCAGGCTGTGTTCACGTAGAGACGCATCAAAAACACCTCTACATGTCATATTTTTAGTAAAAAAAAAAGTGGCTCTAAAAAGTTAGGCGGGGCAGGGGGGTACAGGAAAGCAGTCAGACGTTTTAATCACCGGCGGTGAGGAAGATAAATAAAGAACTGGTAAAAGTTTAAGGGGGATCACCTGTCACATTAGAAAGGACTCCCACCAACTAATAAAAGATTATAAAAAAAAATTTCCTCCTTCCTGACAACTTCTCATCATGGTTGGTTTAATCTTACTCCTCTGTCTTTCCCTCGAGTGATGCGCTCAGTGACTTCAGGGCACCTTCCATCTCCCCCGTCTGTACGAGGGCGTCTATAGAAGTCAAACTCACAAGGTAGTGTGAATAAATCATACCGCAGACGTGCACCTGATAGGAATTGTTATGATGCTCTCTGATGCTTCAGGAAGTGTGCGTGGGTGAGGAAGAGAGTACAAGAAAGAAACGAAATGGAAAAAAGCAGGAGGTGAAGAGAGAGGAGAGACAGTGAGAGAGAGAGAGAGGGAGAAGAGATACAAAGAGGGGAAGAGAGGAGAGTTCCAAACAAGCGAAGGGCCCAAGGCCACTTCTCTTCCTCTCGCTGGCACTTAAGGAGTCCAAACGATTGAAGATTAACGCCAGATGCATAAAATGCAACATGAAAGTGATACATCTCTGAATCTTGGACCGAATCATCATCATGATGTGCTTGTGTGTTCATTATGTGCCCGTGTGCAAATCAAAGGCAGTGGACTCGATCCAGGTTACATGATAAAAACCATCAAACCCACACACACACACACACACACACACACGCGCACACACACACACACACACACACACATACACACAGTTTGAAGGCTGGGAGAGGCTGGGGAAATGAATCTATTCTAAAGCGCTGATGATTACATAAGAAAACACTTTTTTTCCTCACCAGTTGCCATGGAAACAGCTAAGGAAGAGCTAGCACCACTTGGCTGTATGTGTAGATATGTGAGCTATTAAGGAGTATGTTGTCCAGAGGTGTTTATGAAACTCCCTCAATAAGCTGAGGAGGAGTAATGAGACAGCGTCTCTGGCATGTAGATGGAGAGAAAGAGTGTTGTCATTCTGGCAGACTGACAGCCGACAGTTCGTAGTGAGTGGGACTGGGTGGGTGTGGGCTGTTGATCATTTTGATCTATTGATCTGCCGTCTCCACGGAGCCTCCAAACAACAACATCAATTAGTCTAGTTCCATCTTGCTGAATTAATAGTGGGACCAAAAGGATTCGACTCACTGATTAACCCCTGCATGTCACTTTCTTGGCAAACACTTGACTTGGGCCAGAAAAGTTATTCTGATTTCATCCAGCTGTGTCAGGCACACACGTTTGAGTCAATACTGAAAATTCAGGTCCCAGCAGTTCTGAAATGATCTAAATGTGAGTCATCCTGTGTAAAGGGAGCTTATGTCATGTGTTTCTGAGTGTGTGTTCTCACCTCCAGTCGTTTGACCACCTCTTTGAAGTCCTCGGTGTTGTTGCTGATACTCCTCAGAGACACATTCTCGCCCCTCTCGTAGAAAATCCGCAAAGATGCCGGGCTGCTCAGAGTCCAGCCAATCACATCCTTGGTGGCACAATTGAACACCACAGCTTTGGCCTCCCGATCCAACAGGATCAGGAAGTCATTAGAGATGGTCAAAAGAGCCTCCAGTTCCCCTCCAGTCCCATGATCCTCAACGTAAACCGGCCAGGTCACCCCCCCCAAGCTGCGCAGCTCCGCCCCCGTGTACGGCTTACTCTTTTCTTTCTTTTTGTGCGCCAGTGAGATGAAGGGGAACTTCCCAGAGGGGTCTATGGGTGTGCTGGTTGTGTGGCGCTCGGCTAGGTCCCGCAGGTACTCCTGGCGAGTGCGGGTGGCCATGGCACGGAACTTGTGTGACTTGTGGGCGGCGTTTTCTGCATTGATGACTTTCGCTAAGAGGAAGTCCCGGAACACTGAGGACTTTGGGAACGTCACGCCTTCTGGGATTGGGGGTCCAAAAGAGGGCATGTCTTTGGAGCGAGTGACGGACACACTACAAGGGCAAAACAGCAGAGAAAGAGAAATCAATGGTAAGCAAGTTGAGACCTAGTACTTTGCCAACTTAAGGATGGGTGCTTCACTCAGACCTCATCGACCCTGTGTTTTCGATTTGATCCTCTACTACACAGTAAATCTCCCCACAATGTCACATCACATACAAGCTTGAAGTACTTATGTCATTAAGATTTAGAGGCAGGGGAAAGAGTTGCCAGACTCGGCAGCAGAGTTTATCTTTGATAAAAAGCCTCATGCTGTTTGCTCAGTCAAGTATGAGAAGAAAAAGGCACGACTCCTGACTGGTAGATCATCTGTCAAGGCAAAACAGAAAAAAAAGACAATGACTCTCATCTGTTCTCCTCTTGAAAATACTCATTTGAGTCTTCTGCTTCAATAAGTTGCTCTGCTTTAACAGCCCCCTAAAAATTCTGATTTGCCTTTCTCAAGATTGCAGTGAACACTTGCTGGTTACGTCTTTATCTTCTCTGTTTTTCTACCTCTGCTCTCCTCATCCCCTCATTCCTTTCATTAATCCCCTGGAATGGCCATTTGAGGCTCTTCACCCTGTCTGGTATGTCAGGAACTCAGCTTTACAGCCATGGAGAGAAAGAAGAGTCGTGGAGGAGGATGAGGGGAGAGCGCTGCTCCAAATATCATGCCCAAAAAGCCCTGAAAACCCTGAGTGAGGGAAAAGGAAAATGTGGCTGAGGAAGGAAGGCTGTGTGGGAGACTCAGCGAGGATTATAGCTTACTGGAAAAGAAACAGAATTTTCCTCTGATGCGTGAGACAAACAGACTTACAACCTGGTCTGTTGAAAGTCAAAGTCTGAGGCAGCTGGCAAAAAAGCCAAACACTGTCCTTAAATGGCTTTTTATATGGTTATTTTATCTTAACGTGGACCACCTGTCCACGTCACAGACCGCCTTAGGTGATAATTACCAGCTGACAAAAGCGGCCCTGGAAGTCATGGCCCTCTGTCCCACACGCTTCCCTGCTGACATGCATGTTGACTCTGGGATTAATCACTTTGTCTAATAAGCAACTAAAGTCAATAATATGTCACCCACATATTTCTAAACATACCTCAGAGACATCACCAGGGACATGTGGTGTTCAATTACACTAACCATCAAATTGTTGACACCTCATTTCCCACCTTTCCTTGTGAGTGACGCACAGAGGTAAGAAAAGAAACCTTTTTCCTGGCCTTGGAGAGTGAAAAAAACAACAACAGAATAACCCTGACAAATGAAAGCTGGTAATACCCTCAGTAGTTGCTTGTATTTCAAAATGCTACATGCATACCCTGTTCAGCCTATGAACTCTCAAGGACATGACAGCAAACATGGAAGAAAGTGTTGTGTGTGCACATGTGGAGCTGCAAAGTCATAAAGACTCACAAACATCAACATCCTTGTAGCTCTTGTGGAAGGATATTGTACCATGTTTATTTCACTTCTTTTATCTTTTTCACAAACACCTCATTTTCCTCCTAAACCTTCACATCAATGAACTCTGAATGGCTGTATTTTGTAGGGATGGGAGTTGAGTTACCAACTCTGGCAGGACATACTGGCTTGCTGTAAAATCCACTTGCTCCATGAGAGTGGTAGCCTTCCTCTCTGTACATTTCTGCAACATTTCAATCTCACAGAGTGTATTTTAAGAAGTTGTCCTGATCTTTGCAAATCACTGTCAATTCTGTTGTTGCTAATTATGCTAATATGAGGATGCCATATTTGTTATGAACAGTTAGCTAGTCAGCTACAATTATAATCTGCAAGTCCAGCTATAAGACAAACTTCTCCGGCAGATAAGAGAAGAAAATAAAACTCATTTATCAGTCAGGACCACTTTCATCAAAAGAATTATTTGCATGCAGTAGTTATATTTGGAGGTATGGCTCTGCTCTGACAACTTCTTGTCCTTCCACGTAAGCACACGGAAGGGCAAAATCAGGATTTCAGGGAGAGCAGCAGCAAAAACCCAGAACAGAGTAGACATCTCTGACAATGCATTTGACACCGGTAAGATCAGACACAGCAAAAAAGGAGGAACTGGGGTGGAAGTGGGTTGTAAAGCAGAGGAGGCAACATAAACAGACAGGAAAACCTGTATAGAGGAAGTGATTAAGATTTATCAATATTAGTATTAGTATTAACCAAATCTTTTGAATTCTGAGTCTTTGTTTTCTTTCATCTGCTGTTTAACCTGCCCTGACTAACACAGCTGTTCTATCACAGTGGGCCTGGTGTTGAGTTAATAATGATTTTTTATGCTTTTGTTTTATCGGGGCTAGAGTGTTGCAGTTCTCCTTTCACCAGTCTCAGCAACACTTCTTTGAACCACCCACAAGCAGCTAAAAACGCTGCCGCTACGCTTCTAACAAAATCCTCCTGAAAAGTTTCACGTCACACCAATCTTCATGTCTTTGCACTTGCCTCTGATTAGATTCAGAATAACTCTGATGACTGTGTTTGAAGAGTTGAATGGTGAAGAACCTGCTGATGTTCAAGAGCTGCTTAGGCTGTGTTAAGTCCAGCAGGACTCTGAGGGGTTTGCTTTAAGACCCATACCAATAAAAATCGTGTTTTTCTTGTTTTTTACAAGTTCATATAGCATTTTTTTTTGAAGCTACAGAACATATCATGAGACCAATAAGTGTATTTTTTAATTACTTCTGTATTCAAATCACTGTAAATCTCTAACAGACCAAAACAGCAGGTTCAGACACAGTGAGATTTCCTTGGTCACAATTCCAAGCTCCGTCCCTGGAGCCCCGCTATGTAGGCCAGACTCAGAAAAAACTAAGAGGACAATCGCGGAACAAGCGTGTGCATTAGCGGATTGCAATGCTCGTAAAAAAGTTAATACTGATAGCTTTTATCATGTCCCTAAAGACATTTGTGTCCAAGAGCTGAATAGCTCCTATGATACCTGCTTCTTCAATTACACCGGCAATGTTAGGCTACAAGCTAGCATGAAGAGGAGTGTGCAGAGCAGCGCCGTCCCTGCCCACAACTCAGAGGTGAATTGCTTATGAGCTACTGGAGCTCTGCAGAAGAAAAACTCTTGAGAATGACTCAGGTAATGTAATTATGGCTTAAAATTTCATAATCACAAGACCAATGATAACACTTTAAGTAGTAATAAAAAAAAATAAATAAAAAAATAAAAACGGATCAGAGTGGGAACCTAACGAGACTGTGCATTTAAGGTTGTTGTATCTGAATTTCTAGGTCTTCTTTTAAAGATAATTATCGACTCTGTGGGCATTTAAAAAAAAATCAGGTGAGGACCCATTTGTGCCTTTATTGTAACCTTGTTTTATGGAATTTGGTTTATTAATTTTTTTATCTTTTATTCTGAAACTAATTACTCTTTGTCCTTGAAAGGTACTTTATGAAAATCAATTACTTTTCACGTACGACCTTATCATCAAAGTGCGCTATACAGGAATAGTGGAATAAAATATTAAATATTTCCTTGTATTGACAAAGAATGACTATTTTGCTTACAACTGAAAAGCTTTTTGGTTGCTATTTAAAGCTCAGTGCACTGAATACTTCAGGCAGTGAACACAAATAGAGGTTGTGTTGCTTTAACATAAACTATAATTTGGATTATTTGATACCTTTCAAACACATCTTGACTTGCAGAAATTTGTTATAAACGTATAATGGGGGGAAAAGCAGGTGTCAGTGGGAGCAAAAGTGTGATTTTACAAATGTTTGATGCACTTGAAGTTCATTTCCATCTTTGAAGAGAGAGCTCTCCCTCCTAATTATTCAGAGTGTATGTGCATCTGGTGCTCAATACACTACAGCTTTAACTCCAAAAACAGTTGGGCCGTGGTGTAAAAATGTTGATTAAAAAGAGAGCGTCTCCAAAAGTGTTTGGATCGGGACAACAAAACAAAAAAAAAAGCACTGTGATGCTAAAAAAAAAAATCACATTGAAGAACATCTCCCAACTAATGTGGTTACATTGCTTACAGGTTATTGACACGGCTCTAAGTGTCTCTCTGTGAGAGACTGTGTGAGCAAATAGTTCAACAATTTCAGATTAATGCTCTTGGTCTAAAATAAAAGAACTTGGGGATTTTGTCATCTACCAAGACTGGATGGCTCTGACCTAAGGCCTCAGGTGAAAACTGGCATGATTCTGTAGTGGATATCACTGCATAGGCTCAGCGTCACTTTATGAGCATATATGGGTGTTCTTGGGGAAAAGAAAGTTGATGTCACTGCACTATTTCCATTTGAATAAAAGGTTTGAATAACTTTCAAATTACCAAATTCTGCTTTTAATAACATTTTACATGCATATCAGGCTGTAGCCACAAGTGTAAAAGTATTGAAGTGAGGAGTTTAACCCTAACAATAACACTGCTGCATATTTAACAAAGTGACTACTCCCAAGGTAATATCTGCTACTTTTCCTGTGGATAACCAATGAATCATGCCCAGTGTTTCAGAGAGGAGCAGCTAAAGTGGTTCGAAACAGGCTGAATGGCTGATTAAAATAAAATGTGACCTTTTATTCTTATTCCTTTACATCACAAAAAACATCACTCACTACATTACAGTGGAGCTCTAAAAGCTCTTGTGCTGATCTCAAACACCTGTGTGAGTCAGTCAACCAAAGTCCTATGACTCATACAGGACAGTGGGGAATGACAGAGGGGAGAAAAGCAGATGTATTAAGAGCAAAAGAGAAAAAGATGAATGAGTAAAAAGAGGGAGCGGATGGGAAAAGAGTTGACAAAGGCTAAGGGAGAGAGGGAAAAGGAGAATATAGTGCGTTGCGGATTGCAGGGCTGAGTGGCTGCTGTGTGATCCACATGGCAGCAGGTTTGGCAGTGGAAATGAAAGAGCCCATTCCTGTGGTTTCAGTGATTTGTGGTCTTATAAATATCCAGTGTGTGGGCAGCTCCGTTTTCCCAGCATCTACGACCTGCTGCCCACTGAGCCGGGGCAAGAAAAAGAACATGTCAATAGCTATTGGAGTGGGTGGCTCTGAGGTGTACTGTAGGTGTGTGCGCGGATGTAAGAGAGGTACATGTAACTTGTTTTTGTCTATTTGTTACATCAAATCCTCGGAGAAGGAACCGTTTGAGTTCTGCGGTGTCTTAGGTTGTGTTCTGGTTATATCCTGCTACACAGGGCACATGTAAGGATGTTTTATAGACAGAAATAAAATATAAGGGAATTAACCTCCTATGATACCGACTGTAAACAGAAACAAGATGAATAAATTGACAAAGATTTAGGATGGAAATTCCAGCCACTGTTCATTTTTCTATCAAGCTACCACCCACAGACTCTCTGATCGAGTGTAATAGGATTTTGTTTTCTATTTTCGTGATGAGAGCAACACTTGTAATGTACAGTAGAATTCACAGAGAGGAATAAATTGCACCTCTGGAATGTTACAGGATATGTCAGAGGACAACATGTTGAAACAGACGAACATCAGCCTGTGCAAAAAGTGTGAATTAAAAAGATAACAGCACTAAGAGACAGTTCAAAACACATTAGCAAACACTTCACACAGATGCTACCCATGAGTAGCTCTTTAGTTTGAACTGTAGTAGTTTGGACGAGACCTTCCTTATTTGAGGTTTTTAGGTAACTGTGATGAAAAGCCATCTATATTTAGCTTTATTATATTCTCACAGGTCAACAAGAGTCCATTAAGCTAACATTAACACACCCTGGTTTACCACAAATCCTGAGATATAAAGAGATAAATCTTTTGCCCCCACAGAGTTCGACTAAACTGAACTTGCACCAAAAATCCAACTGAACACGACGTCTTCACTCTCAGCTTAGCAGCTGGAAGCAGATAAACATCATCTTACGATCGCACATTTGCAGAAGTCTCATTAGTCATCTTGGTTTCTTATCCTTGGTTTATAAGAAATTAGAAAATAAACTGAATGTTGGCAGTTTGAGGCTTCACTTTCTCCAAACCAACAGCATGGTTTGCATGTTTCCCTTGACGAGGTTATATTCAGGCTTTAAATCCTTTCAGAACCAGCTGTTGAAAGACTGAGCAGCTTTGACTTCTCTTTCTTAGCATGGCTTTATCCCTGTCCACTTCAGCATTTTCTATTAACCTTTTCATTCATCTCTGTGCTGGCTCCGCTGTGTTCGAATTAAAGTATTTGCCAATAAAAATCTCCACCTGTTAGCTGACTACTCACTGCTTAACTTCTCTGTGGAAAATACGAACATATCCTGGATCCCAACAGATCACATAAGACCACTCTCCTTTTAAGACCGATTTTTGGGAAGAATTAGAATTTTATAAACCAGATCTTGAAAAATTTAATTATTCACATTTAAACTGATTGAAATATGATTGCATGAGTAAATAAGGAAGTTATGGTATGAATGAAGTATCAGATGAATGACAGGTCAGTGAACTGGTGTTTCTTTGCTGTTTTGCAAGAACATACTCAAATATATTTCTTGGCTGTTTGACAGTTATGGCCATCGTTATATTCAGTTCATCCACTTTACCGTAATGATAGATATATCATGCTATACATTATAACAGAGCTACTGTTGTCTACTTTCAGGAATTTTTTGAATTGCGCTTAGAGTTCAGGAGTTACGGTACAGAGAAGCTTCTGTTTGATCTGGTGATGCAGACACTAAAGCTGGTCATTCTTCTCTGTGATTGGATGGATTCCTGCAGCTGTCCTGAGTGCTACTGTAATGCCTTGAATATGAGTGCAGCGCTCTAGTTCTCAGCTTTCTATTGGTTTTTGAATTTTCCAGCTCTATAAACTGTTGAGGAGTTATGGAAATGAGAAGTAGGCTTGACAAATCCTGTCACCAGTGGTAATAGGTTGGTGATTACAAGGTTAATTTCTCTGCAAAACAGATAGATGTTCTCTTCTCATCCTGGTTTTAACCAAATTTGTTTACTGTCTCTCCAAGTTTCATCCCCCTGATATCGTTGCAGTAAATCACTGTTGACACGAGCCATTGGGGGGGGGAATCACCAGTGGCCCCACAATACAATATTATCACAATACTTGGGCCACGATACGACGTTATTGCGATTTTTAACATTTTGCAATACAGTGAGTATTGTGAGTCATTGCAATTTATACAATTTTTTTCAACTGTTAAGCAAATTTAGCATTTGTCTTTCTTTTTGTTTGTCTTATTAACACAGTATTTTATTTTCATGTAGCACATCTTGCAAACCTTATGTATATTTATATATATTTGTTGTACTAATTTTCTCCTGCTCTATGATGTCACCTCTGCCAACTTCACTGGACAAATAGTTGATTTTATTTTTCCATTATCATGGATTTGACTTGAAAAATCGACACTTTGTTAATGAGACGATACGATATATCACCAGACAAAATATTGCAATACTATGCTGTATCGGATTTTTCTTCCACCCCTACAAGCTATGCGAGGCACACTTCCTTCATAGATAGGCTGCGATGTCTGTTGTGTCTAATAATAGATGTTAAGCCATCAAACACTCAATATTTGCACTTTTCTTAGAAGTACTTTGAGGAAACAATTCTTTTACCAAGGTCAATAATACCACAGTGAATACTGTCACCATTCCTCTGTTTTGCTACATAGGTTATACATATTGAGGAATCTGTATTGAAAGCCCAAAAATCAGTCAAAAACTCCTCATTGTAGCTTTAATACTTGTGAAAAAATAAAATAAAATGTCCTTTAAGAAGCTGTGGCAGCTCCAAAAGAACTCAGGGAACCACATCTTTTTATTCCACGTCAGATTTCAAAGAGCAGTGTTGTGCACTTCATTTCTCTGCCCTGAGTGTGTGAACATCCTCTAGAGTCTCAGTAAACACTCCGAAGCTTCAAAGCGTCCTTACTTAATACATCATCTGACTCACAGTCAAATTCCCTGTGGTGTCTGTGAATCGTAATTCACTTTCTGAAACCTAATGTTTCACCTCTACTCTGTGTGGAAATTTAGTTTTCACCTCAGAAAACTTCATTCACATTTGTGAATCACAGCAGATGTGTGTACATAGTATTTGCTCCACATTCATCCTTTTTCTGGGCTCTTTGTTCATGTGTTGTAACTCAGTAACGAATGAGCCCCATGGGGGACAATTAAGGCCTTACACAATGCACCAAGACGGCAATTAAAACAGACATTTGTAGGAGAGGAAGGGAGAGTCATAGAGAGCAAGATAAGAGAGAGTGACAGAAAAAATAGATAACAAGACAGAGGCGGGAATAAATAGAGAGCTAGATGCCCGCTGAAACTCAACAGTTAGCAACAGGCAGAGGAAAAAAGGCAAAATGTTCATTATTCTTGAAAATGGGTCCATGATAACACTTTGTGTTTCACAGTACACTTTTCCGACAACGTGGTTATAAATCGTGAGACATGGAGAGGCCTCTCAGAGCTCCCAGCCTACTCTGTGATGGAGTGATGGAGCAGCAAAGGCAATAAGAGAGATAGATGTACAACTTCTGGTGGGACGAGATGAGAGCATTATTGTTTGAAGAGTGTGGGAAAAATGATTTATGAGGAAAACTAAGAGGCACACTTTATGTAAAACTAAGTGGAAAATTATTTATCTAGACTTTTTTTTTTTTTTTTTCCAATCTACTGCGTTGGCTTGGGTTTGAGATGACACATTATGAACAGCCCACTGCTGAACAAAAACAGTTTCTCAATAAACTGTTCAGAGACAGGAACATTTCCAAACCCATCAGGTGTAAAATAGCTTCATTAACAGACCCCTTTTGTTCTGTTCTCACATAAATATACACACTATCCTGCCAAATCTGCGGATTACAGTTTTAGCTTTTTCTTCAGCCAGAAATACTTCACCTCCTCTGTAAGTTAACTGGAGTGACAATTCACGTTTGTAACGTAGAGGTGTAGAAAAGACATTTAGACAACATCCATCAAAGCAGCAATGACTGAGTGAGAACAACCTACAACAACAAGAAAGGGTACAGTTGGAGTGTGAAGTATGGCTTACCTGTAGGAGCTGTTTTCAGAGCAGGGGTTATGAGCTCGCACGATCACAAAGACATGCTGGAAGTGGGAGCGGATGTTTTTAGGGGTGAAAGGAAGAGCCCCTGGTTCCTGGAACACGATGGTGACGATGTCATTCCCAATATGACGCTTTCGCAGTAACTAGAGAAACAAAATAACAAGCATTAGATATTAAGTTCATTCACATTATGAATTGAACAGAACAATTATATCTACATATAAGGACAGAGTATTAAGACAACATTGTGAAAATTTTGTCATTTAATTGGAAATTTACAAGATATTGTAGAGAATAGAGTCAGAATGTAGAGGAATGAATATGGCTGTAAATCTATGAGAAAATAAGTCATTAGTTTTGTCTCTGGCTTAAATCTAACTGTGAAAAGGAAAATCAAAAGAGCGGCCAGCTGCCTGCACTGGTTTGACAACGTGAAGCATCTTTGTGAGTTACAATTTAAGTTCTATCAATAACTGAATACTGATTCTGTTTGCATAGAAGCAGTCATTGAAAGAAACTGAGTCTACTCTGAAAATAGTCAGCCTGTGCACTCTTCCTCAACCTTTTAAATATCACTTTAAAAGAAGTTAAATGTTCCTTATTTTCCTCATACAACTTCTTTCTTATAAAGTTGCAAATTTTCTGTCTGAAAGATTACTTTTAAAGGTACAGGACAAGAGATAAGAGGTATCACTTTGTCCACAGAGGGGCAAAACAACAGAGCCGCAACCATAGACTGTATATAAGATGGACACCGTGGTTCCGCCTTCCGCCTGTATGCGGATTTGAAGCCAAAAAGCTCTCGGTAATTCCGGGTTTTTCTCCACTTTCTTGAAACCAGAGCTGTGCAGTAGCGTTGTGCGCATTCGGCCGCGCAGTCGCCGAGAGTCCCTGTGATGACGCTCGGCTCAAACAGCGTATTCCCCCGGAAGAGCTACGCAATCCCTGAACGCCCATAGGCTGTACCAGGTGTCAATCATAGAAAACATGAACCCCCTAATAACTTTTAAAAACGGAGCTGTACAGAAAAAAAAGGACTTGGGCACAAACCAGTCTTACTGTAACTACATGTCAACATCACAAGCAGGGGGGAGAAAAAATTATGTTCTGTGTAATAAATTTCTAAAGTTTGTCCACAGTCCCATAAGCTTTGCTGGCGGAGGCTGATTTATGAGCTGTACTGCAGCCCACCATCAGAGAGTGCTGTTCTCGGAGTGGCTTCACCCAGCGAGGAGGCAGACTCTGTCCAATTTATATACAGTCTATGGCCGAAACAAACCAAAAGTTCCTCACAGGAGCTTTAAAAATTTATTCTCGGAAATGTACGTCTTTAATCCTGTAATATGATTATTTTATACTCTAAAATCTCAAGAGTTTTGTTCTTAATATGGCCCTAATCCTCTACTGTAACATAACAATGTTTAAGGGTACTCTTAATGTTGACACTGGGGAGTTTTAAAGAAACTAAAGGCTTTATCTAAAGGAAACTACCACATGAGCATAGTGGCTAATGTGCTCGTGTAATCTGCTCAGTGTATGTTGTAATAATCTGAAAGACATTCCCTACTTGTTGTTTTCTGCATAATTTTTTACAAATATAAAGCATAAAGTTTGCTCGTGGGGACCAGCAATTTTCTTTGTAGCTCACCTGTTGCTTGTTGTTGGGTGTGTAGGGCAGCATAGTGGACACATGGAACATAATCTCATAGTCCTTGTAAGTGGTGTATAAGGAGTGGGTGCCTGTCGAGTCAGCTGAGGAGAAACAAACATATGTAAACCTCTGATGCACTGGGGCACAAGAAAAAGTTGAAGGCTGGACAGGTTTGATGGTCAAATTTAGAGGTACATATAAAGGTTAAGTGTTGGTAACAGTGTAAGAGCAATAAATCCATCTTTAACTCACAGACGAGCAACAGTCCTGAACAATCACCTTTTTCTTCCTCTAATGCTGATCTGGCAGCTTGTTAGTCCCTGAACTCTTAACAGGCTCTGGCCCTAAAGAGAGCCACTACACGTTAACAACCACCTCCGCAGTTTATTGATGCTCTCTACTCTGAGGATAAAACAGTCACAAGGTGTTTAAAAGGCTCTATTTCATGTGGGCAGGTTACCTCAGTTAATTGCACTACAGGGAGTCCTTTGCACGGCTGTATCTAATTTATTAGAGGCTCCTGAAGGTTTTTTCTACATGTACAGAAAAATATGACGAGGAGGGCTTCAGTCAAAGAGCATTATGGGGTATGACTTGAGGGATTAAAAGGTAAGCATGTAGTCAAACAAGAGCTCAGAAAGCAGACAAACTAAGGACTTCAACCTTTTCCTTAGAGACGCACAGTATGAATAAACTGACACACTTGAAATTAAAGCACCTTAAGATTATAAGACATTGCAAAGAGGGGACGACAGAGGGTATAAGATGCTTAGACTGAGGGGGGGAAAGAAAACATTTTGAAGACTGAAAAACTAGTAAAAACCATTGGTTGAAAAGTTTGATCCTTTTTCTTTTAAAACCAGTTTCAGTGATTTCTTTTGCTCCTCACGTTTCACTTTCTTGTGTTTATTTCTTGTGTTCCTGATTGTAGATAAGGTGACAAGGAATTATTTGATGTTTTCTGTGCCCATACGACAGGGTGGCCAATTCACTTCCATGAAAGACTGAAAGATCTGTGTCTCTAAGCAACAGCAATTATTGAGGCTGCATGCTTCCCTAGAAGAGAATGTTCCAGAATACTTTGGTCTCCTAAGGGGGTCAAATCTGGGAGGAAGCAGAAACATACACTTGTACTTTTTACACTTTTTATTCATTTATGACATTGTTTGAATCTCTAGACTGGCACTGTTTGCTGCAGTGATACTGCGACACTAGAGACAGTATAAAACATAGGCGTGATCTCAGTGATGCCACCCATTCGTTTTTGAACAAGGGCAACAAATCTGACTGTCATTCTTGATATCAAGGCACTTCTGAACCAGAGACAACCTCTCGGTACAGGAAAAAACAGGACTGTTTCTTAATGATCAAATCCTCTTCACATCTAAGACAGTTTGGCATCTCATCGCACATCATGACAAGCTTCATGACAATGTCAGTTTCCTTTTCTAGCTGCACCTAGCACCTGCCCACAGTGCCAAAACTACAATCAAAGAGACCGTGGCCAGCAAACAGGCCTGACCTGGACCCACTGAAAAAACATGGAGGATTTGTAAGGTTTGTTAAAATGTGATGGAGCTGAGAGCTTCAACCAAAACTTCTGTAACTCATCAGCAAGATCATCGTCATGTCACTTTGCACTGATACAGGAGTTCATGGTAAAGGAGCTGCATCCAGTGACTAAACATATGAGTGAACATCTCAAAGTTCTGACATTATTATAATTTAAATCTTTGTTTTGATTGATCTCAGGAAGTATTTCAGTGAGTGGAGATGCTGGTTTTCATGAGCTGCAGGTCAAAATAAAAAAAAGACTTAAAATGTTGAACTTGTCTTGTCATATATAAAAGAATAAATCTAAGTTTTCCTTTAACATGCAAGTGTACTTTTTCACCATTTTCTGACTCGCTAAGATTCATACATTAAGCAGGTCGTGACTTTTTAAAGGAGTGAAGCCCACCTATCAATCAAGAGCCACGACTCAGTGCGTCTTAATCACCCCTATCACTGCTCAAACTAGTTTCACTCTCAGTGTCTCCATCTGAACCTTTTTGTGAGAGCACATACTCTTGGTGTCCAGCTGAGCCCGGTACTTAGTGAAGCCTTTGAGTCGGACTCTCTCCCCGAGCAAATGAAGGAACTCCTCCATCGCAGGCCCAGCGGACTCGTTATTATACATCTCCTCCTCACTGCTCTGGCCCGCCATGCAGTACATCACCCCCACTTTCCTCTGGAAACTCAGCTGGGGAGAGGATTGTAACACAGACAAGGAGACACAGAGGTATATTACTGATTAGAAACCATGTCAGAGTCACCATGTTGGCATTTTAGGAATAAGCACCTCAGGTTGTTCTGCGGTGATCGCGATGCCATTTTCCTAAGAAATCATGCTGACATTTTCGGAGGTTGAGTTTTTGATGATTGCAGCTGGGAACATGAGTGTCAAAGAGCTTATTTTGTATTTTTCTTCCTTTTTAAGGTCAAGGTGTCTGAGTGGGTGTACGTGCGTGTGTGCGTGCGTGCGTGCGTATATAGGAGGGAGTTTCCCCACATAAATCCCTCATGATCGTCCGTGGGAGTGGAAAGATAAAAAGAGCAAATACAAGACTGTTGAAATAAATAATACTGCTTCACAATGAGGCAACCCCCTTTTGGAAGAGCAACACCTACACATTAAATGATTCATAATCACACAAAATGAAAATAATATGCTGTTCATACTACAGGATAATGTCTTGGGAGTGTGTGTCTTTAGTTCAACCACTGATGCTGAACGGCTGATATTTTGATGATAACACCGTAGAAGTCTGAGTGATTCAAGATGTTTATAAATGGACTAAAAAGATTCACCAATTGATTAATCCAAGGCCAGCGCAACCTTCTGACTCCTTACCCCTTGCTCATCCAGCTTCATCAGCTGATCCGTGACCTTGGGCGTGTTGAGAGCCAGACGCAGGCAGTGGACATTGAGCTCAGGTACCAGGTATTCCAACACTTCCTTGAGGGGCAGGCCTCTGGTCAGACCGTGTTTGGATGTGGAGGGGACAGCATCCTCCAAGATGGAGCCTCTCAGGGTGTTCAGCTGGTAAGGACAAAGGCAGAGAAGAGACTCAAGAATCAAGAGGGGAATGTTTTCTTTTTGAGCAAGTAACCAAACAAACCAAAGACTTCAGATATATTTAAATTACATACAAACTAAACCTTCTTCTGAATGTATCCCTCCTGTACTGTACAATATTACATCAGATTTAATTTTGCTGTGGTGTTTTTATAGCAGCTGTGTGCGACTTCCATGATGAATTTAGATCAAACAGACAGAAATCTTAAAAAATACCCACTCCAGGAGAATCTAAAAATGTGACTGAAAACAGCAAAAAAAAAAAAGAGAGTCTCACAGTAACAGCCTATGTTTATTTGCTTCTACTTCTCCCAGGTTTGTGTTTAAGTCAAATTAACATTCTTCTGTTATTACTGCATTTACAACATTTATTTCCCCAACTGCCAATAAACTTTCTCACTTTGGTCTTTTTTTTGCAGAACAGCTGAGGAAACAAAGAGATGCAGTATTTATCTGACGCAGAATTATGCTAAGACAAAGCAAGTTGTGGTCATTTAAATTCAAAACAAATTCAGAAATCAAAAACGCAGATTTGTATTCACAGCTCTCATGTCTTAAACACACCTAATGGGTAACTTCATGCCACTTTTGATACCTACATTTGAGCGTTAAATCAGGACTTCTTTGGTGGTTTGTAAGGTTAACATTAGACCAGTGCCTTACTACAGGAACAGTTCGAGAAATGAAAACATTTAATGATATTTAGCAGTTAGATTCCAGCCCCCCCCCTCAAACTAACTCAGCAACTTTCAGGATAAGAAGCTCCTTACATACGTCAAGTGTCACCAATTAAAGACAGTTATTGAATAGATCTAATTTGGTTCTTTTGTGCACAGCAAACACTTTCTTCTTCTTCTTCTTCTACATCTTTGTCTTCATTTCGCAAAATGTTAGCTGTTCAGTGCTACTGCAGAGACATGGTGGTACAAAACTAGAGCCTGAATGGAAGAGGACCCACTTCTATGTGAATTAAACAGATTTCGAGGTAGTTAAGCTCTGGTTTAAACATGCTTATGAGTATTATATCATTTCTAACAAGTCTGTTCTGCTAAATTCTTCACTCTGTGTTTTTGAGGATGAGGTTGAAATAAAACAGAGAACAGGACAGACTATCCTCTATTCATGTGAAGATGTTGATTTGGGGAAAAATTTCAAAGTTGTCCTTTAATTTTCTACCAAAGCTGTGTGTTTAAGACAACCAAAAAATCCAGCAGAGCCAAATTCATTCCTTTTATTCCTTCCACGCTTCATAAAGCAAAAAGTTTCACCGCAACTCATTTTCCTGCCTTTAGTAACAGCAACCAAAACCAGTTTTAGAAAAGATTGATGTTTTCTGCTCGTAGAATTCTTTCTCTGGTTCATTTAAGGGCATCTTTAGCAGAGTACTCTCCCATTCTGCTTTGTGCATGCAATGTGTTTGTTTGTGTGTTCGTTTTTCAAAATCCCCTTATTACTGGCATCTACCAAACTAAAAACTAGCTGCCCAGCCATCAGCAGGACACTACTACTGTAAGTCTATGTTTGGAAACCCAGCCAGCCTCTGATGAGGCCATTCAATTCAATTTTCAGCATAAAAGGTTTTTTTTTTCTTTTTCAAATGGATAATAATGGCCATCACTGCATCACGGACTCAGGTTGGGTCATGGAATATTTTTTTTTTTCTACAAAATCTAGGCTACCAAATACATTCTCTGTCAGTGCAGGGAAAAACAAATGTTGGAGGACAATCTAGCTACATGAGAGAAAAAAATTAAGATTCTGCTCTTCAGAACAAGAAGGGTGTCCAATGTCTATAAATAAATCAAAAGGAGCCTAGAAGGACCAGAACTTCCATTTCTATCATAAAGAAACAAACACAGTCAGATGTCCTCAGTGGTCCCAAAGCTATGGTGGACACTTAGCCTGAGCATGTGTGTTTGTCGACTAACGCTGGTGGAAACACCTTCAAGGTTAAATATGCTGTGGAGAGGCACTCAAACTCAAGAGAGGCCATGAGCCTGTCCTCAGTGGACACTGGACTTCTCTCTCCAACAACAGTCCATGCTATCCACTCCTACACAGATATACACATGTATCCATACCTTCCCGGCTCCCTGCTCTTAAAATAGCAATTAAAGAGGAGGGAGTGAGGCAAGAAAATGGGAGAGAATAGTGGAAAACAGAGCACGGAGGGTTGTGCGTCATCCCAAGAGATTGGAAAGGGCTATTACTCATGGTGCGCTTGAATACAAGAGCAATGCTTCTCCTCCTCTACTCAAATACCTTTGGCGCTATTTTAGTCTCGCTTAGCTGCGAAATGGCACGGCTCAGTCCTTCACAGATGAAGGCTGACAAAGATGGTAGGTGGGCGTTCGGCTCGGAGAATGAGGACATGGATCTGTTGCTTTAGTCTGTCTATAGGAAGAGATGGCAGCACAGCTAAAGGGATTCAGAAAGATTCACAATCACTTTAAGATGCAGATTACGAGGAGACAACCGGGTGAAAACATCACAAAGTGAATCTCGCATCCAGTAATTTACAGCGATGTTAAGGCACACAGGCGATAGCATCAAAGTGCTAGAGCTACATCTGACAACATCGAGATGAAGCTCCCCCCAGCTGGGATTTATAATAGGAGAGTCTGAGCATGAATCCTATATGCTTACTCCTACACAGTGTGACCTCATCAGAGCTTTTCAGTGGCATCACTCTGCACACAGAGCACTAAATACAGAGGCTTTGTCCACATTAGCATTTAAAGCTATCTCAGGAAAAACTATAAAAACAGAACATCCTGATGAATGAGGAAAATAAAGGTGATAAATTCAGTTTGGATGTAAAAAGGATGCCAAAATGTTAAACCTTAATATAGTGCTGGTAGGAATCAAACAATATCAGAAACTATTTCAGTACAACAGCAACAACAATTTAACGCCTGGGCCACCCTAAGCCCTCTACTAGAAATAGTGCTTGTTCAGGAAAACAGACTATTATTAAAAACAAACCTGATAAATAACATTCTGGTTCTGTTTTTATTTTTAGAGTTTTATATATACAGGTCAATAATCGTGGAAAAGTACATTTTATTCAATCAAAAAGTAAGTTTTAATAGATTCTTATATTTGTGGCATCTAAACAGAAAAATGTCAAATCTATTTTCATGTTAATTTTGGTATTTTTGGTTCATAATGCTTAAATTTAGAAAAAGAGTAATCAAATTTCTGATTTCCATAAGCCTGACTGATGACTCGAGATCTCTTCATGCTTCATGATACTTTCTACTATAAAAGTAATACAAACTTCTCTCTCTCTCAAGCATGTCCTTGTGTTGAAATGCACTAAAAATTAAAGCAGTTTCAAAGGGATATTCCGGCATAAAATTAAGTCATGGTCTAACACACTGTAACACTGAGTTAGACACCCCCACTGCTTGTTCTGTGGAGAGAGCCCTGACGAGTCGATCACAGAGTGCAGCGGATCATTTCCATAAAGTAATAATCATCATAATCATCATTTTGCACTTCAGATGCGGTAGGTCTTCTGCCTTAGCATCTCGGTCTGATTGCATTTCTATTCAGAACTAATCATAAATTTTCCACTGCACTCGGTAAACGACTCGTCAGGGCTCCCCCACAAACAAGCAGCTGCTGGAGGAGAGTGGGTGAGTTGTGTTTGGTCTCTTTGCTAAAGAAATCAGGCAAGCTAAAAAGTTGTTTGATGGCTAGTACTATGGCTCGGACCCTATATGTACTGTTGATGATGTTAGGTGCTGTTCTGAGCATTATTTGTGGCTATAGAGTGGCTTTTTGGTTGAGGTTTGCGCATGAAGACGTAGATCGCTGTGTATTACTATCGTGCGGTCATGACTAAAGTTGGTATAACTAGAGAAGCAAGCGGTCGGCAACATTCATCTCTCAAGGGGGTGTCTAACTTTGTGTTACTGTTTGTTTGACCATAACTTAATTTTACACCGGAATTTCCCTGTAAAGTCATACAGGTCCATATGTCTGGTTTAATTTACCTCACTGGTTCTGAAGATGACTCTGAAGTTGTACTGCTGGCCGTGCTCCTTGTGTTCTTCCAACTTCTCCCTCCTCAGACTCACGGCCACCGGGCCCAGGTTCTCATCTACCCCCAGGTAGTTCCAATGTTCTGAATATTTAATGGAACCGTGATCCCAGGAAGGGGACAGGAATTGAGGAATGAAGTAGGAGACATGAAGGGAAGATGGTCAATAAGAGGCCAGCACTGCCAAGAGGAGATAGTGAGTGATCAGTGAGATGGGAAAACAGCTTCTGGGATGACCCTTCTTTGCTCACCTCTGAGGTAGAAGTATTTTCTGTAATAGTATGCACCAAGGTCGACATGCTCCACTATGTATCTTTTGGACCTGTCTGAATGTTGGCTCGGCCCATCCTTGGCAGCCTCCAACACAGCCACACCAGCGTTGGTAAAATGAGTTGTCAGCGTGGCGTCTAAGGGGCCTTCTTCTGTACTGCCTGAAGAACTGCTGGAGCCTCCACCACTGCCAATGCTGCCCTGCTGGAGGATTTAGGACAAGGAAAGTAAAGCAAGTAAAATAAAAACCACTGAAAGAGGAGATTCGTTAAACCTTGGCTTCATGGATAAATCTCAGACTGCAGATGTTAAAGAGTTTTCATTTGGAAAAGAAAAAAAAACCTACCTGTTTGACAGGTGAGATGTTCCTCTCACCCTCGCCGCCAATCTCATTTCTGAAGCAAGGGCAGCTGAGAACCAGGTCGTTGCTCTTGTCATCACCAGGGTCCAGAGCAGGGTTGCTGCTGTGCCCCGTCCCGTCCTTACTCAGCTCCTCTTGAGAGCCGCAGGGTGATCCATAAATCCCACTCTGATTTGAAGCGAGGGAGGATGTGGCTGAAGCGGACGCAGCAGCAGCAGCTGAGGCACCTGTTGTGGTGTTCTTACGTTTGGACCCAGAATGCCGGCTGTGGACCGCCTCATTGAGGTCAAAGAGAAGGGACTGGACATCAAAGTGAGCAAAGCCTTTTTGGCAGACCCAGGGTTTGGGAGGTGGGCCACTCTCATCCCCTTTTCCCCCATCCTCGGCATCCGAGCCCGCCCTCGATGTGTCACCATCAACCTTCACACTGCGCAGCTTGCGGAAAATAGACTCCCCTCCTGTCTCTGACTTGGACCTCCTCTTCAAGTGCTTCTCACGCTCCTTCAGTCGACTTGCAGGACTGCCTCTGACGGGGCCTAGAGGTCCATCTGGCAGGTCTAGAGCAGCCTGTTTTATTGGTGCCACAGTGAGCAGCTCTGATAGCCTCTCTGGGACTGGACTCCGATGATCAGGGGCCTCAGCAGACTGGTAGCCCTTCAGCATGTCAAAGAAGCTCTCTCCAGACACTCCATGTTTGTCTATGGAGGAAGTGCTGCCGTACTCGCGGTGCATGGGTGTCCACCCTGAGAAGGACCAGCCCTCGTTGCCGTCTCCATCCAGCTCACTGATAGTGATGTCACTGTTGCTGCGCTGGCGGATTCTTCTCATGCCTTTGCGAGGTGATCCCAGATAACCATCCGGCGACAGGAAGCGGTTGTCCTTCCCTTTGCTCTGCATCTTATTCTTTAGCGTGTTGTGGATGTTGCGCAGCATAGATGAGTCCTGTGGGCTTATCAGGTGGCCCAGCTTGGCTGACAGATTGCTGTGGGCTGTGACGGCTGACACCCCTCCTCCTCCACTGCCACCACTACCACTACCACCACTTCCTCCCCCTCCTCCCCCTCCTCCTCCTCCTCCTCCTCCACTTCTTTCCCCGAGACCAAGTCTCTCTCTATCTCCACTCCCTGAACCCGAGGAGCTGGTGGTATTGGTAGAACTGGGTGAGTCTGTTTCCACAGTGATATGCCAAACACCTCCTCCTCCTCCATCTTTCCTGGGAGGCCAATCAGCCACACGAGCCCGGACGCCCATTTTGGGGACACCTGGGTTGGTGCCGGTGGTGGAGGAGGAGGAAATGTGGGCGCTTTCACTGCGGGGAGGAGGTGCCCCTCCATTAGGCAGCCGTAAGCGGCGGGTGTAAAACTCATCAGAGGCTGGCACTGAGCCCCCCACAGAGCGCTCTGTCTGAGAACGCTTCAGACTGGTCATCCTGGAGGAAGGACGGGATGTTGGGGAGGGGAGACGGGAAGGGAAGGCGGGGACGGGTTCTTCAAGGGTTTAGATTAGGATCAACATAATTCCCTCGGAAAGAAGTGATGACTCTCACAGGCACATTTGGTGCTGGAGGGATAGCAAAGAGGAAAAAAGGTGAACAGGATTCAAGGTTCAAATGCAACAAACATGTTCAAGTTGAATTGTCGAACACACTCCAGCTTATGAAAGGCAAAGATGGCTGCCTAACCTTTGAAAAAAACTAATTCTATGAGTAAAACAGGTCAAATGAAACAGAAAATAAGCTCTAAATCCTGGCATTTGTCTTGAAAAAATTGAGCCACTCTGTACCTTTGCTGAAGCCTGAAGAAAAGAAATGTGATGAAGGTGAACTATTGCCACTGAAGTCTCTAAAAAGCAGTCTGTATTGCAGCTGGGCCAGATGGAGTCATCTCAGCAACTAAGAAAAACAGGACAGGTAAAAAAGAGAGGGAGAGGAAATGAGAGGAGGAAGAGCAGCAAAATCAAGTCAGGGGAGAACTGTTATTACGACAAAATTCAGTCTTCATTTTATAAACTCAAAAGGAAAAATCACAAACAGTGGGACACAATTTTCTGTTTATCCCTGTGACAAACAAGCAAAACCAACAGGAGAAAAGAGGCTGCAATTAAGAGTTGATCAAGAATAGTCAGCTCAAATTTGAGAGAAACTATCCTGTTTTACTGCCAGGTATTTGGTTTTTAGATCAATACTTTAATGCTCACCAAGAGTTTGCCAAAATAACTCACAAGATCTGTTTACAAGTCATTGAATCAAACTGCCTGTGGTCACTGAAACTACAGCAGTAATGTGATCGAGCTTTGGCTTCAGCAAACTAAGTTTACAGAGAGAGATTTGACTGAAATGGAGGCATTCAAAAGTAGAGAGGCATTCAGGGAGAAAGGCTGCATTTAAAAGAGGCTGTTGAGTTGAATTCAAGATCCCAGGGACGACTGTTTAGGGAAAATATGTTCATTTTTCTTTTGAGGAGTCTCCCGCTGCAGAAAACGTGACCTTTTTTTGTTAACATTTTTATTTGAATTTCTTTTTACGGTGACGTGAATGCTGAATAAGTCAAGTTAAAATACAAAACAAGAAGAACTTGGCCGCATTTAGCAAACTAGACTTGGAAGAAATGACCATAATGTTAATAAGTGTGCTGAAATTAGTGTACAATAGGTCTGCACGATTAATCGATTTTAAATCGTAATCTGATTATTTGATTATGACAATGTTAAAATTGATTTTGTTCTCTATCATGTCTTGTGCCTTCATGCCACCATAGGCTTCCCCCTCCTGCGGGAGAGCTCCCCAGTTCCCACACACCAAACAAACACAGCGTTTGCAAAAGAAGGCCATAATTTTGTGGCTAAGTAGGGCAAGAGCAAGTCAGTCATGTGGAACTGGTACGGCTTCACAGTTTTAGATAAAGAGCAAACCACTCCCTGCTGCAAAGTCTGTCTGAAGGCAGTATCAATCCGTCCAAACGGAAATGAATTCAGGAGTAAACGCAAAAGGAGTTAACGCATCTCCCAAACCCTGCATTACCCTGTGCAAGTCATGGCGTTACTTTTTGAAAACGAGTCAGAGAGTGCAAAAATCCGTAAACGACTACTATTTCATCTCCATGTGGATCCCTATCTGCATCTCTCACACACAGCGTAACTCTTTTATGGCAGCTGTGCCTGTCTAGCCAAACAAACCTTATACACATGCTCTGTACTCCTCTTCTGTCTCATCGTTATCAATGGTTTTGTTTTGAGAAATGATAGAAAAACTTTTATTTTTACAGTGAAGTTTGGTGAAGTCACTGAATAAAAAAATGGAGTCTAAATCTAAAATTGGGTTTTCAGAGAAAAAAAAATCAGGATTTAATTTTTGGCCCAAATCGTGCAGCCCTATTGTACAATAACCAGAATCTACAAATCATTTTGTTTTAGTCGAGTGTTTAAATGAGGCTTCTCTGTTTACATCGTGTAAGATCCCTGTCAAGGGAGAAAGACATCCTGCAGCATCAACAAAAAAACAGATATCTGCCTTACATGTGCTTTTTTGTCTTTAGCGAGTAGCAGCAAAGGGTTAGAGGTTCATACAAAGCTCATCATGCATCACAGGAGCTTCTTGTTCTCTTAGGTCACAATCAAAAACTTTGCACATGTAAAGACTGTTTGAACAACCCCTAAAGGGGCTTAGGGTATTGATGAAATACAGAAGAATAAGCTCAAATGTAGAGTTAGTGAACAGCTGATGAGAGTCATTAAGTCAGTCAAAAAGTCAGTGGTAGCTAATACAGAAAAGAAGAAAGAGAGGCAGAAAGACTTGGATGTATTAAAGTTGTGTTTGCTGTCTTATTTGTCTGCAGTATCACCATGGAGATAAGGGCTCGTTCAGGGCATGCTGCTTTAAGAGTGTTAATGTGTGAGAGGAAGAATTGGAGCAAGCACAGACCTGGCTCTAAGCGGTTTCTTAAAGCTCAGTATTGTACTGTGGTTTTTTCAAACCTTAAGCAGAGCTGCCCGTCATGTCAGGGCTGCAGGTTTGGTTTTCTTGTACAGTAAAGATGTCAGTGTGGATCAATACAATGCATTTGAGAGGATGCTTTTTGCCACGGACCATTTCAGACAAATCTGAGGGGCTTTGTTTAAGGACACTATTCAGGACACTGCAGTCCAAAGCACTATATCCATGTTTGTCAGTTGTTCAGACGGTCTGTTTGAGCAGCATGACACCCTGCACTGTGCTCTGATTTGGCTTTAGAGACTCAAGTGTTTGAAGTTTATCAGGCAAACACTCCAAAGTAGAATCTACATGAGGCCAGGTAGTGGAGAGTGTATGTGTTTCTGACTAGGAAATTTCCGTCTGCATCACACACACGTACTGTAAAGGGGTTGTGTTGGGGGAAGAGTTTTTGATATGTTAAAGAGGTCTTCCAGTTTTCTGCCTGTTAGTATTCAGAGGTCTATGATAAAAAGGAGGGGTACTGTGAATTTTCCTCAAAGCTCTTTCAACTATGTGCGCTGCTGTGTCAAGTTGTATGTTAGAGGAAGTGATATAGAAAAACCCTATGTGGGTGAACATAAAATTTTGGTTTGTTGTCTAAAAGATGACATGAAATACACGACAGCCAGAGCGTGACTAAAGATAAACCCCCACAAAAGGTTTACTCCAGGTCTGCAAATTTACTCAAGCTTTTCATCACCACTTGCAGGTATTCAAAATCTGTCAAAACTGAAAACTAGTAAGCAAACAAGGTTAGATCAGAGATTCAAAATTATCTTTGTTGCCCCTTTGATAACACTTCAATTCACATAATACCCAAACACAGATACAGGGCTTCATAAACCACACTATCCTAAATAAACCACACTTAAGAGTGAGGGTGGCCGAGGCTAAAGATTTGCTCATTGATCAATCCAAACTCAGCAGCCAAGCATATGTGTAATCCAAAATAACACACACCAGGAATAGGAAACCAGAGCGTAGGGCTGCACGATTTTGGTCAAAAATAAAATCCCGATTTTGTGTGTCTCGATCCGTCCCTGCAAAGCTCAGACATGCATACAGCAGCAGATCAGGTGAAAGATGCTGCAGCTACACCAACATGAGTGTCACTCTATCGAGGATGTGACAATTTCAATACAAACGTGGTAAAGAGCTCCCTGAAATTTGCACAACAAAGGAGAAGTTTCCCACGTTGGGTACTTAGGGGATGTGTATTTTGGACTCTACATCTGTGTTTTCTAATTCTAAACCTATAAATATTTTTATTTCAATGCTTGTATTTGCTTGATGTCAAATTTCTTCATGTCAGTGCTTTGTTAGTAACTCTGTAATAGTGTTGTAGTGTTGTGTCGTTCACAAACGATTCGTTCAAAAGAACTGAATCTTTTAAGTGAACGTACTGAACCGAATCACTTCCTTAAGTGATTCGTTCGTTTCTCACTTCAGTTAAGATGTTAGCCACACAACTGCTATAGCACGCGGCACTGCCAGGCAAGCAGCCAGCGAACAAGGCACTGTATGCACCTATGCCTGAATCACTTGGTAAATGAATTACGCATTGAACTAAACTCTCTGGATTCATTTTTGCCAAACAAAACTACCTTTTTTTATTTTTCACTGCTAAATTGCCACCACAACAACTTGAATACAATGAGACACAGCATGTAACAAGTAGTGCATTAAACCCGCAGCATCCTATCATGACTTATAATCAAGTTCTTTTTTACAAACCTGTTTGCCAAAGCAACAAAGCCACAACACTCTCATCTCCTGGTCCCAGAAGCTATGAATTGAACTGAATCCTGAACCGTTCAGCTGTGTATCAGTTCAGGAGGTCAGAGTCACAGGCTCCCCCCTCCAAGCTCTGAATGATTCAGTGATTCGGTGAACAAATCTTTTGAACGAATCTTTTTAGTGAACTGATTTTAATGATTCAGTACATCTAAAAGAACTGCCTTGCCCATCACTACTCTGTAAAGCTCTTGAATTGCCTTTTTATGCTTTTTTAAAGGTGCTTAATAAATAAACTTGCATTTCTTCACTGAACTCCAGACTGTTCCTAAAAGCTGTAATAATGAGCATGAAGTGGCATGTAGGACACACGAGTGAGGACTTTTAGGGGCTGGAAATCAAGGTACTTCGTATGTGCACAATGAGTAAAAAGCTGCTTCACCTCTGATAACTCTCACATTAGATCAGGCATTGAGAGGTCCAGTGTTGTTTTCGTCAGGCAGGACGAAAACTTAAATGACGACGTCAGACCCCTTTTTTCCTTGACGAAAATGAGACTAAGACGAACGTCACCAAAGCTCTGTAAAGACTAAAATGTGACGAAAATTATATTCATTTTCGTCAGACGAGAACGAGACGAGACTAAATTGTTATTAGGTGGACGAACAAAGTTTCAAAACATGCTTTTTTTTGTCCTAACAGTCACGCCCCCATCACACACGCACCAAAAGCCTCGCTCGCGCACAGCTGCGCGCACACACTCATTCACATACACAGAGCGGCAGGTGGACGAGGCGCGCACACACACACACACCGTGGCGGCAGGCACAGCAGCGGTGCCCGGTGGCCGAAAAAAGAGGGATGATTTTTGGTCATACTTCAGATACAGTTCAAGTGACAATAAAATAAAAGTGACAATAAAACACGGGACGGGGAGACGAGACAGACGACAGTTGTGGAGCCACAGCTTCCTCATGCTTCAAACTGTCGGGAAAGAACACCACGAACCTCAAAAGGCACCTTTACGTCGACTAAAACTAGACGAAAACCTTTTGAGTTTTCGTCGGACTAAAACTAGACGAAAACTATCAAGGATAGAAATGACTAAAATGGGACTAAAACGAAGAAGCGTTTCGTCAAAATGACTAAGACTAAAACTAAATCTAAAATGCCTGCCAAAAACAACACTGGAGAGGTCATTAGGGGAAGTACAGAAAATAAACCAGGGTATGTCAGTGGCCAAATATAGGCATATTTCATGGTTGTGCTCACAACCAAACTCATCACTCAAAGCAGCTGCTAAACGCTGCAGATTTCTGACAATCATTCACAGTTAAAATCATCTTTCTCAATTCCTCTTACAGTCGAAAATGCGGCACCACTGATAACAGCCCATCTTGCACAAGTGGAGTCCTCATCCTCGACATCCAATCAGGAGGCTCATCATCACAGATGTGCATAACATCACAGACTGATGACTCTGACTCTGAAGCTGTTCACAAGTGGCTTCTTGCATCAGTAAAAGACAATTTTACTCTTTCAAAATGAATCAAGCCAAAGAAAATATCAAAATATACAGTCATTTTTCCAGTTTTTCTTCTGAAAAAGCTCAAGCAGGATGCTAGTAGTCACAAAGTCACAACACTGGATTGTCCTCCACTAAGAGCCAAAGACGCCTCTGCAGCACACACTCCAAAAGTGTACCCCACATAACAACCTGCTGCAGAGTGCCTTCCCTTTTCCTCTGAGAGCTGAGCACTGCTCCCTAATGAGAGATGGAGAGAATGTGAAAAACAGAGAGAGAGTGACGGGGAGAGGATTGTGCTGTATGTTGGGTTGCTGGAGAGAGAAGATTGAAACAAACGAAGGTGGCCAGGCATGGCTCGGTGCAGTCGCAAAGGGCCAATTACTCTGAAAGATGCTCAGTAACCTTTAACAGTGTCTAAATGAGGTCGATTCTTCAGGTAAATATGTAGCAACGTGTCTCAATGCAGCAAAGTGCTGCCAAGGTTGTCTGCAAATTCACTTGACTATACACTGTCAACAAAGGAAATTATTAACATCTCTGAGGTAACTGGGGCTGAGACTAAATGACTGCCTTTCACTGACCATGAAAACAGCCTCCAACATTAAATCCTAAAGACACAAACACAAAACAAGACTTGGTTTTGACCTCCTGCTTTCTGCACCATCCTCATGCCACCACCATACACCGTATAAACAAGGATGCAGTTTCAGTGATGTCATCTGAAACAGCTAATTATAGCCCAGCAATGGCGGTTGCAATACTAGAAAAGCCAATTCCATGTCAAACTTGGTGGATCTAGCGAGACGGCAAGAGGTAGAATTGAGGTTAGCCTTCAGCTACTGGTAAACAGTAGGGCTGCCCTGATTATTCGTTTGTTGTTGATGGTTCTGTATTTTTCTATGTAAAATGCCGCTGTCAGAGTGAAGTTTGTGTGTTTACAGTAATTTATTTTTGATACCATTTTTATTTTAATACTATTTTATAAAGCAATTTTTTATTAAAGGTTGAAATAAACTACAGTCTTAATTGTCTTCTTTTTTTAGTAAGCACACACTGTTAAACATTTTCATATAAAGATTATTTAATGGTAGTAAAACAGCAGCTGCATGCTGGTGCGATAATCTGCAATATAAATATATATATATAATTTAACCTTTATTTAACCAGGTTGGTCCCATTGAGATTAAAAACCCAAATATAAAAATTTTAAATATACGATCCGATAAATTGCAAAAATAGTGGTGTCGATTATCAGATTAATTGTTTGTGGCAGCCCTAGTAAACAGCAATGTGTCCAGTGTCACCAAAGTAATGATCAAAAACTAGAAGGTAAAAACAGGATTTTACTGCTTTATTGCTGGTAAAATTGTAAACAACAGCACCACTTTGGTTTAAAATTTCTGGGTGATACAGTCTGTTGTTGTCGTTGTCAAGCAGCACAGGTGTGCCGGTATGGGCACAGTGACTGTGAATCTGCTCCAATACACAATGACTCAGACACCTGAAAATGACAGAGCAGACAGGCTCTGTTACTAACTGACCGACTGCAAGAGCTTAAAGCTGAACAATGAAAGGGGACACTGTCTTAAAAGGATGGGGCACCAAATTTCAGCAGGGGTTCTGCATAGATGCCACTCTTTAGCATGCAGCATCTCCCTCCGTTGTAGAATACTGTAAATGTGAGCAGGTTTGTATCTTTTAGAAAATTACAGAGTGAATCAGTGCTCTGCATTCATCAATCAGCCTGCATTGTGTTTGAAGAATGGTTTGTTCTGAGTCTGTGTTTAGCGAGGAGCCTCCCTGTGCAATCACAGAGCTATTGTTGAATTACAAAATGACTAAAGGCAGGAGACCAAAAAATGATCAAGTTTGAAAGAAGAAACAAATATCTACTAACTAATGTCAATTCTGCTGTCTGTCTCTGACACTATACACCTGTTTCTGCAGACAGACATCATTACCACACAGACTGGTGAGTCAGGTCAAGTCAAGGCTTGTTTTTTATTAACACACAAAGTCTCTCAGGAACAGCCCGAGCCTCATGAGGATTCAAGGAGGAGCAGGAGCCTCTTTAAGGTGAATTTCAAATATCGCCCACCTTGTTGGGTGAAAATAGGCGTGTGTGGTAAAATGGCAATGAGAAAAACTGACACAAACTTAGACAGCGTGTCCTCTCAAACACCTGCTGCCAACAGGCTGCCAGGCGTAGGTGTGACTGCCAAAGTGAGAGATCAGTTGAAAGTGTGTGTGTGTGTGTGTGTGTGTGTGTGTGTGTGTGTGTGTGTGTGTGTGTGTGTGTGTTTTTTAGTCAGTGTTAAGCCACTGCAGGTACCACAAAAAGCCTTGGGACCTAAAACACATGGAAAAGATCCAGATGATGACTCAGGCAGTCAACAGTGCGCACCAACAAGTGTCTCTCTCAGTCTCACGCAGTAATACACCCAAACAAAGGACACAGAAGATGAGAAAATGTTGTGCCACATTACTTGTTTCTCACTCAAGTCATCCTTCCCAAGCTCTGAGGCATCAGTCTGTCATCAGCTAGTTTATTTGTATCAGTGATGACGGAAAAGCCGAAAACAGAGCAGTCATTTTCAGATTTTTTAAAAATAAAACACATGGAGAAAAGTGTTAAAGTGTAAATGAGAGTTTCAAATGTTCACACATTTATCACCAGTGACAGCTCTGCACCAACAACATTCCCACAACAAGTGAAATGAAATGCAGGTGTTTCAATATGTCAGAGTATATCAGTGGTGTCCCACTGTTATCAAATGCTTCTGAGCCATTTGAAAGCCAAACAAGCTTTTCATCTCAGCTTATCTCAGCTTAAATGACGAAACGACAGGCCAACACACAGGCGGGAGATAAGTTGAGGGGAAAAAAACAAATCAAACATTATTCTCTTTGAAAGCTGCCAGGCAGCAGGAAGTCCAATGTGTAAGAGTTTCAGCTCACAGCCTTTCAAAGTTAAAATGGTAATTGTGTGGAAAGATAAACGTGCTTCGTGTCTTTTCTTCCTCTGCACAGCTTGGAAGTGGGGTGGGGTCTCCTCTCCGGCTCACTGAAATGTAAAAAGGGGCTTTTTGGGCGCTCTGAAGTCTGCCGTTGTTGCCTTTTTCTCTGGAGTGTGAAATTGCGAAGGCGTTTTACAGCACACACTCCCCTATCTCCAGCTATCACAGAACGACAATACAGGCGGTGGGAGGAGATGAGCATAGAGATTTGACCAAGCAATAAGAGAGTCTGCGTGTGAGTGTGTGTGTGTGTGTGTGTGTGTGTCTGTGTGTGTGTGTGGGTGGGTGGGTGGTTGGTTGTAACAATAGTCACTGTAATAGGCTGTCACTGCAATACTGGAACACATGAATTATGCTCTTATTCAAGGTACATGAAAAGTAGGGCTAGCTGATGCAATTAAGGAGGAACTGAGGGTTTTCCAGTAATAACTGAAGGAGTCTTAGCGTGCTGAATTGATCCATATACATTTAAAATGCTGCAGTGTAGAATTTTCATAATAAACCTCTGGGATGATGTTTATATACGCGCCCTGCTGGTAGATCTTTGAAAGACCCACCCATCCAAACTTTCCCTGGCCTTAAAACATTTATCAGTGCATGACAATATAACATATAATAGGGAGTAAATGTTCTTACAGCTACCTGCAGATGTTTTTAATAAAGGAATAACGTTTCAGTAGTTTTTTTCATCATTGGTACACCTCAACTATGAGAGACAACATGAGAAAAAAAAAATCCAGAATATCACGTTGTCTGATTTTTAACGTATTTATTTGTAAATCATGGTGAAAAACAAGTATTTGGTCAATAACAAAAGTTCATCTCAATACTTTGTTTTATACCCTTTGTTGGCAACAACAGAGGTCAAACGTTTTCTGTAAGTCTTCACAAGGTTTTCACACACTGATGCTGGTATTTTGGCCCATTCCTCCATGCAGATCTCTTCTAGAGCAGTGATGTTTTGGGGCTGTTGCTGGGCAACACAGACTTTCAACTCCCTCCAAAGATTTTCTATGGGGTTGAGATCTGGAGACTGGCTAGGCCACTCCAGGACCTTGTCATGCTTCTTATGAGGCCACTCCTTTGTTGCCCAGGCAGTGTGTTTGGGATCATTGTCATGCTGAAAGACCCAGCCACGTCTCGTCTTCAAGGCCCTTTACACGGATCAGCCGTCTTGGTCCCTTTGCAGAAAAACAGCCCCAAAGCACGATGTTCCCACCCCCATGCTTCACAGTAGGTATGGTGTTCTTGGGATGCAACTTGGCATTCTTTCTCCTCCAAACACGACAAGTTGAGTTTTGACCAAAAAGTTCTATTTTGGTTTCATCTGACCATATGACATTCTCCCAATCCTCTTCTGGATCATCCAAATGATCTCGAGCAAACTTTAGACAGGCCTCCACATGTACTGGCTTAAGCAGGGGAACACGTCTGGCAGTGCAGGATTTGAGTCCCTGGTGGCGTAGTGTGTTACTGATGGTGGCCTTTGTTACTTTGGTCCCAGCTCTCTGCAGGTTATTCATTAGGTCCCCCCCGTGTGGCTCTGGGATTTTTGCTCACCATTCTTGTGATCATTTGACCCCACGGGTTGAGATCTTGCATGGAGCCCCAGATCGAGGGAGATTATCAGTGGTCTTGTAGATCTTCCATTTTCTAATAATATAATTGCTCCCACAGTTGATTTCTTTACACCAAGCTGCTTACCTATTGCATATTCAGTCTTCCCAGCCTGGTGCAGGTCTACAATTTTGTTTCTGGTGTCCTTCGACAGCTCTTTGGTCTTGGCCATAGTGGAGTTTGGAGTCTGACTATTTGAGGTTGTGACAGGTGTCTTTTATATTGATAATGAGTTCAAACAGGTGCCATTGATACAGGTAACAAGTGGAGGAGGGAGGAGCCTCTTAAAGAAGAAGTTACAGGTCTGTGAGAGCCAGAAATCTTGCTTGTTTGTAGGTGACCAAATACTTATTTTACCAAGAAATTTACCAAAAAATTCATTAAAAATCCTACAATGTGATTTCCTGGATTCTTTCCCCCCATTCGGCCTCTCATAGTTGAAGTGTACATATGATGAAAATTACAGGCCTTTTTGCCCCACTGTATATCCAGCAAACCACCGGATGTTGATTAACGTGGACGCTCTTCAATCTTCCTGTCTCCAGCCAGTCTCCAGTGGGTTGGGCGAATCCAAAATGGTAAAACCAGGGGGTGTCCTGAGGAGCGCTGTTACCTGTGAAACAGGGGTGCTCTGAAAACACCCCCATTAGCACTTGGTACGTTCCTCCTGATGAAATTAACTATAGACTGTAAATTGACAGAGGAAAAAAATCGAGTCAACCAATCAGAATGTTGGTCGACTCAATATTGAACAATAAGTCGACCAGTTGACTAGGACTTTACTGCCAGGTACATTAGTATCTGTGGGGGGTATTAAAGATCGCACTTTCAATGAAATGAATCGATATCAAAAATTTAAATACAAAAACGATCTGAATCGGAAAACATATTTTTTGAACCCAGCCCTAGTTTCATGACTACAAAGCTGTGTAAAAAGTATCACCCTTAGGCTGTGTATCACAGGAAAACCAGCCAAAACAAAGTGTCTGAATAATGCTGAAATAAGGCTTTTCACTCCAGTTCAGGATAAGTGAGGAGTTTTTGAGCTAAAAAACATGCAGAGATACTCTGTAGGTTTTTCAGATTGAGGAGAGCAAGAAAAAAATGAGTAAAATAGGTCTCCGCTCATATTGAAACTTATTACATATACAGGTAATGTAGTGATCCTAATTTGAGGGTTATCTTGAGTTTGAGTCTTGAAGACACCAGAGAGTTGAATAGTCATACTTCAGAGTAAAGTTTATGCCCTTCAGCTGATACAGCATATCTTTGGAGCAGTGAGTCAAACTACACGATCTGTGTATGGAGAAGCTGAGTTTGTTTTGCAGTTTTTTTCAATAACTCTATTTTCCAAAGACATCTCCTGCTCTTTAAACTTGAGTAAGTACTGAATACATAATATTCACCTTGAAAAACATTCATTGTTTTACTGCTCTGAAACAGGTACTAACCCTGGAGGGGGACTGAAAGCTGAGCTTCCACTTTCCAACATTAACAAGCTTATTCCTGGTAGTCTAGTTTGTATTTGGGCTAGGACTTCTAAAGCATTAATTATTTACATAGTTTTCAGATGAGCTGAATGATACACAAAGGTCTTCAAAAGGCCTTCAAAACAAACCTTAGGAGTAGAGAACTACAGTTAAACACAAGATAATAATGCATGGAGAGATAATAATGAATGGATGGATGGCTGGATGGATGGATGGATGGATGGATGGATGGATGGATGGATGGATGGGTGGGTGGATGGATGAATGGATGGACAAATGGATGAACAACTGGACAGATGGATGGCTAATGTAAACAAAGCTAGCATAAACAGCCTTTGGTCCTCCTTGCAGGTTGCTCTGGTTGAGGGTTAATATGTCTGTTTAACCAGAATGTGCCATACTGTCACAGTCACAGATACCACCTACCATCTACGCTTGTTTACTGATAGAAAAGCATTAGCGACCATTAACCATGATGGCCATTGCCTAAATAAGATGCACCAAAAACTGATGCAAGTAAGATGCACACAGCTGCAGTCAGATTGTTAAAAGTCTATGTTTATGTCTATGTTGTTGTTTCACCCTCTTTTTTAAGCAGCAATTTCCAACTGCAGATATTTTTAGACTGACTCACAAAACCATAACATCTAATTACTTTACTCGTGACTCACAACTACATGACACCACTGACTCTTATATTGATTTCATTGTAACTTAGATCTGCTGTGTTATTCTCGGTTTATTTTAACCAACGTTTTATCAATTTTAAACACTCTTATCAGGCCTTGGTGTGAGGAAAAAGAATAGCAGATGTCCTTGGGGTGTAGATGTTTCCATCTTTTGTAAAACACAAAGCACCTAAAAGCAAAAAGAAGGAGAGATAAATGTAGATAAATGGTATCAACTTGTGTTGTTTTGTGTCTGTGCATGCATATGTGCATTATAAATGTATAAAATGCATAAAAAGCTGCTTGTTTATTTTTAATTTTGTAATCATAGTTTTCTTTATTTGAGGCCCAATCCTGTGTCTTATTTGTTGGGTCAAAAGCCCAAAAGGTGTTGAGGAACTTCTTCAGTACATTTCTATATGTTGCTATTTGTTAATATACCTATCAAAGATAAAAAGAGAATTAGATTACACTCTCTTGCAGATATTAGTGTTAAATCTTTATTAAAACTGTTTCAGGGGATGTTTTCACTAAAACGCTCTTGCGTCTTGTCTTTTAGTCTCTATGAGATATTCATAAGTAAGGCTGCACGATATAGGAAAAAACTAACATTGCGATTTTTTTCAACCCTGCAATATATATTGCAATATTAAAAAATACAGGAATTTTTACCAGATGACCTGAATAGCATTTAATCTAATGCTGCACCGCTGCAGTCTTGAGGACAGTTAATCTGCTCTGATCTTACCTCTTTTTGTGAATGTTTGTAGAATGGCTTCTGTCTTTCTCAGAGATATTTTTAGCTTTTATTGTGCTGGGACGTTATAGTAGCGACAGATAATCACAGAAAACTTGTTTTGGTCGACATCATCCTTCTTTTAACCGAAATAATTCCAGATAACTGACTTTTCTTTTCTTTTTGGCAACAAATCATCTTCTGTGGTTTTCTTTTGATTGTTGCTCAGTTTGCGATCGTTGTTGTTGTTAGAGGTGTTGTGCCGAGAAACGCATGTCCTCCGAGAATTGCATGCACCTCGCAAAACGTGCACCGCTTATAGTAGAGTGGTCCACGGAAATATACATCTTAAAACCCATGCAATTCTTATTTGTTGGGCTTATGAGTAAAGTTCAGAAAGTAATTCTCAGCGGACACACGTTTCTCGGCTCAACACCAGCAGTGCCAGCGACTCACTCCATGTGCAGACTATGTGCAGGGGTGTGGTTTCCTCCTCTCTGATTTTGATTGACAGTAGTCTGATTGGCAACTGAGTAAAGGACAAAGGTGATTGGTGGATCGCTGCACAGCACATGCAGAGTCACATGCAGTGTATCTCAGTCAGTTACCCTTGAAATTAACCAAGTTCATTCGCCTCCGACATCGCAGGCTGTGCGATGTGACTATTGCACATACATACATTGCAATGACGATGCTCAAACGATATATCGTGCAGCTCTATTCATAAGTATCCCATGTCAGTGAAAAACCAGCCCAAACACCTTTTCTCTGTCCCTCTGGATTCACAGCTGTGATGATGCCTCTTTCTATGGGGACCAGAACAGATAGGAGTGGTAGGAAATGGAGGGGAATAGAGGAGAGGACAGAGGTTTGAAGCAGCAAGAGAGATGGGGAGGGAGGATAAGTGCCACTTAGTTTTTCAGGTTCAGGGTGTGCAACAATGACACAAATAGCTGTGGCCTTCAACCGCTACACCCCCTGAGTGCAGCATGTATGTGCGTGTGCTTGTTTAGCTGGTTTCACACAGCAAATCCGACCAAAGGGCTGGGAAACGAGTCGGTATACTATAAAAGATATAGATAGCGAGAAAAGAGGGTGAACCACAATGACACGTTTACCTGCTTCTTTTGTGAGGAAGGAGGTTCAATCAACACCACAAACCCTGATTTAACAGCACAATCACTGTTCTCAGGGGTCGTATTTCTCCTTTCCTTTACCTCCTGATTGTTCGACAAACACAGTAAAGACATAAGAAGCTGTCAGACAGAGCGAAAAAGATACCTGCCTCTTCATTTTAGCACTACCTTTGTCAAGCTGGCAATGCTCGGCTGTCATTAAAGTGAAGAGTTTTGTTGTTGTGCTGGTTTGCGCATTACTCACAGTGTTCCTGTTGTTTTTGAAAAGCCACTCTTAGCTCAGGAAAGAAAACTTTAAAGCTGCGTCGATGCAAATCCAAAGAAACGTGAAATCTCTCTACTTTTCTGGTTTGAAGCCATTCACACAGAGCAGCTGTATCTGGGTCGCGTGAGCTCTTATGAATCAGGGTTGTACGGCAGATCGCCCTTTGTGACTGTAAAATTTATTATTCATGGCGAGCAGAAGGGATCTTTAGTTAAATGGTTGGCTGGTTGCTAGAGATGTGAGTGGTTTTCCCGGTGGGGCTGGGCTGTTATTTATACATCATTGAGAGTGATGTAACTAGGGGTGTGTCGTATCATACAGTGTACGATAATATCAGTGTACATTTTTTGGTTAAATAAATTTGTCATATCATGGGATTTACACTGTAGGGACGCAATGATGTATGGCATTCCCTACTACATACACAACAGCAATAGAGGGGAGCATCAACTTTTCCCTCAAATAAAGATCTAGTACCAAAAAGGGAGCTACCTTTGTGGTGTGGATGTGGTTTGGCTAACACAGCTAATAAATTTTACCACCTAAAGCTGAAACAAACGGCCAATTATCAGCAGGCGTGATGAGGACATGAAAGCAGCTACTGGTGTTCAGAGTAAAAGTAAACAAATGGCTTAACAGAGCATTGTTGCTGTAGCACTCACTGCCCTCTGCACAATTAAAAAAGAGAGACGCTGTTTTCGGACGTTGCCGAAGCGGTCACTTATTGTGAGGACAAATACATGAAGCCAATTCAGGCTGTCAGACAAAGGCTTTAAACACCTAATAAAAGAATCGTCTGTACAACAGACGTGGTCGAGCCAAACCTCCAAACCCTCTATCAGCCCAACAGTCCATTACATAGGCTACAACTGGAAGCTGCACAACTCCTGTCTTGAAACCAGCTACTTTCCAGAGGATTGCGAGTGGACTAAGGGAGTTTCTTGAGTCATGAAATCTACAAGAAGACAAACAGATGTGTGTAACAACAAACAACTTGGTTAATGTTGTAAATGTTGTTAAACATTGTAATCGTACGTTTGAGGACATATCTAAAAATAAAAACAGGAAAAAGTTATTTTTTGGGAGGTCATTCACTCCTGTCCTGTTAATGTATGGCAAATCTGAATTTATTTTCGTAATTTAACCTCTTTTTAACACTAATAATAAAAATGCTGTTGCTCAGAAGCAGCAGTGACCAATAATATGTTGTTCTATATTTTTTTTTTCATATCGTCATAAATATCGTTATCGCAAATTGCCTTGAAATACTGTGATATCATTTTGAGGCTATACCACCCACCCCTAGATGTAACTATGTTATCTCACATTATTCTTTATTTTAAAGCTTCTCATATAATAACATTTAAAGAGATCATGTCCAGCTATCCATGAGAACAGCAGATGGCTGCAAAATGGACCGATGAGGCAAACCGCTGAGTGCATGGCCTCCATTGTGTGTGTGCATTAAGGATGTCAAACCCTTCCTGCGCTCAAAAACACACAATTTAATGTCAAAGATCATACACCGTTTACTTCAAATCAGGTCAAAATTTGTGCAACATATACAGCACTGAGCTGAATTTGCATAAAAAAGGAGCTTTTGTAAACCAATGTTTTTGGCTGGGCAACTTTATAATTAATCTGACAAGAGTGTTATTAATGAAGTCAAATTAACAAACATCCAAAAACCACTACTGCTGCTCCACTCATCCAATCTGAATGAAGCTGCAGGGAGGACGCATCATTCCTAACACCTTCATGCTTCCTGCTTCATTTTCTAAACAAGCAGAATTTATTTCGATTTTAGAAAAATCTGCGGCGCTTCAAAAAGGTTGGGTGAGTTTCTCTTTACTAATGCGCATCGGTGAATGACAGCTGTTTGCCTGGATTATGCCTGTCACGCTTTCGCTTTAAGTTAACACACCTCGTCCCGCTCTAGCGTCATCCACACATCCTGTCTTAAATCCCACTTGACAAAATCAGCATCAAAATACTAATTAGGCTTATCTGGGAGAAAGTCATTTGAATCACCGCATGGTGGGCCTGACACACGACAACGCAGAGGAGTTTCACGCTGAAATACTTCTGCATTGGCTGACATTTACTGCCATAACACATGCTGTCACACCTTGTTCACTCCCTTGTGTCTCCATAGGACAATAAATAAGTAAACAGCAAAGGAACACACACACACACACACACACACACACACAGGGGTTTGACTATCTATGAGTTTCCAATCCATTTACCAAAGCCCTCCTGTGCCTAAAAATAAGCTGGTGAAACTAACCAAGCTGCAGGCTCCATGTTTGAAGGATACTGCTCAGGCCTCTTACACTCAGGGGGGTTTGTAGTCGCTGCATAGTGTGAGTAATTGTGTGTGTTAGGCAGCGGTGTGCACTTACAGCAAAAATACACCAACGAGAGGATGGATTTTAATTTTGATAATAAGCGGTGAGTCTCATGTGTGTTGTTTGCATGTTAATAATAGATAATTAAATGATTTGGGAAAGGATAATTAAGCAAAATACACTTCTTTGCTGATGAAACCATCATCTACATGCACGTTCCCTTCATAGCCAAAGCAGGGCAAGAGCTTATGGTGGCTTGGACCACTCCACAGAGTTTAAATCTAGTTTTAAGCACTCAAAAAATAGAATTACAGCTTTTTAAGAGCTCAGTTACACCAGCCAAATGATTTTAATATATTCAATTTTGATGGCACACCCACCGAAGAGGCCACCTACCACAAATATGTGGGTGCAGGGACAGTTCCACTTTCATTTCGTGAAGGTTTTTACAATCCAGTTTGGAGGCTGAAGCAAAAACTAACTTCATATTAAAAAACAAAGTGTCCTGCTTCACTGAAAAATCATGTAGATTTCATAGGGATCCACAATAGTTTGCAGCCTGACAAAGGAAGCGTTTCAATAAAAACTAGGACTGGGCAATTATATGATCATGATTAATGAACGTGATAAATTTCAGTTTGATCACAGTGATCAGCTGTGAGCATATTAACTTGATCAAACATCGCAGAAATGTGCCTGACAACAGCCAATCAGAGTGGAGCTTTTCCTGCTCACTTCTGTGAGTTGCCGGAGAAGTAAACAGGAGAACTAAACAGAATGAAGTACTTCCCAAGTGATTATGTGGAAAGCATGAAAATGCGAGCGGAGTCTGTACAGCCTGCCACTGCTGACAGCAATGGCAGGCAAATTTATTCAATTTGCTTTATTTACTTTGTATTTTAGTAAAATGTTGAACTAATCTCTAGTTTCTTTAGTTTTTAGTACAGATGCTTTAAAACTGGCAGTTTAAAAAAATGCAAAAAAATAGCGTGATAATAATAAAGAATAGCTGATATGACAAAATATATTGTGATCTATCATGATATTATCATTATCATTTTATCAGATAAAAACAAGCCATAAAAGTTCCTTTGGTTTGTTTTTTCTGACATAATAGTTGGAGGTTCATGATCTGCCACACACAGTAAATATGAGGTCAGCTGTGTGTGTCCATTTTACTGTTTTATCAGAGGAGTTGAAGCTTACATGCTGCAGTTTTTTTGAGAGGAGAAACAAAAGTTTTAACTCCACAAATCTTGAACTCATCGGTACAAACTTGTCTTGAGGAACACGAAGCAGCTGCAGCCACAGCTAGAGCTAGCATCATTAAAACAGCAAGCACCATACTGCAGATCTGAGAGCTGCAGAAAGTTTACAGCAGCTACAGCAATGATTGACAAAATCACTCATTCACAGCGCTGAGGTCACCACTAGTTTCCAGATGTACACTCATCTGCTCTGTGGAATGTGATCTCTTGATAGATTCACATCCTGATCTGCAACAAGTGTAATAGCATGAGTTTTACCCCCAACATACTCTCCTGACATCAGTCCAGAGAGTATGCTTGGCTTTATCCGTCACAAAACTGCTCACAACTAAAGAATGAGAATTCTTTTTGTTTATCGTGCACCATTGGTAGTGATTTCTGTTACAGCATTTGGTAACACTTCATATAAAGCCGCCATATAAAACGCATTATTAGCACTTTAATCAATGTGTGTGTCTCTGACAAGTCAAAAATGAAACCAAATTAGGCTGAAACCTGGTTTCGTATCAGCACTTGAACCCATTTTTCCGTCTTCATCCATTCAGCTGCATTAACTAGAGCAAATTGTCATTAAGAAATAGTAGAAACACAGTCTGGGCGAATGGCTCAGTCAGCTGTGTTCAGACAGCAGCAATGCAGCCACCTGTTCCTCTGCAAAAGCCACCTCCGCACCACCAGTGAGAGCCCTCTAATCTGTGCCAATCAGATGACGCTAAACAGCCATTTGTTCTTGAATCAGGCACCAGTACACGCCCCCTTCTCCTTCCAACAGACCCAAGTGAAATGCTGGCAGTGAAGGGAAAAGCCAGCAACGAGAACTAGCAGAGTGGTGAATAATAGAGAAAGAAACCTAAGTGTGGTGTAATTAACACAGTGGCCGAGAGCTGATGTTCTGGGAAGAGATAAAGAAAAGGGAAAAAAGAGAGAGTGCTGAGGCAGAGGATGGTGAGAGGATATGTAGAGATGAATTCAATTAATTACAGAGCAAAGTTTAAGAAAATAGCAATTTGGAAGAAAGCAAAAAAAAGAAAGAAGAAAAAACATCAAGTGAGTGTGAGGGCAAAGCAAACCACAGCCTTGTTATCAAGGCTAAAAATGAATACATTCCTGGTAACCGCAGCAGGGTGTCTTTTATATTTAAATGACATGACCTGGTTCAAGGTCCAGACAATGTACAAATCACCAATTATATGTTTAAATCTAAAGAAGAAAAAAAAAACAAGTCTGAGCTGCTGCTTTAAAAGAAAGTCTGTTTAAAGCCTCACAAACACTAGTACAGTCAGAGATGAATGTAGAAGATAATTACGTTTCATGCCTACATAGGTCTCTCTGATGCTGCTTTAACACTGTCATATTATTGTCTTTCTTTACTGATAGCTGACTGTCATTTTTGCTTTTTCACATGAAACTGCCGTAGTAACCACAGGGAGAAATCCATGGATTCACAGCCTTCAGAAAGAAGCTGCAGATTTCCAAAATGGCGCCGCTCTGCGTGGGCAACACTGAGCTGAACAGCACTGCAGTAAGAAGAGGAGTGAGTGGGACTGAGGGCTGAAAAGCAGCTCACTCTAAACAAGGAGTGGAGGATAGACAGGCAGACAGAAACATGGACAGCAGAGGGACAGTGACAGGCATAAAAATTACAATTACCGAGGAGAAATATGAATGAATCCTCTGTGGATTCAACCCACTCCCACCTGAGCTCTCAATCTTATATTACCATCCGTGTTCAATCTGTTTCCCTCTGTTCCAGCCCTCATCCACGCTACAAAGCATTCCTCGCCCAAAGGCTGAGCTTTTCCCAAACACTTGCCAAAGTGGGTAAATCTTACAAACACTGGGTTTGTGTGCACAGAGCTTAAACTAAACAATGAGGTGAGCTAATGCAACGTTCTTTTACTAGGTGTAAATACGTCTGAAAACACAACATGAGTATTACCTGACCACGTAAATACTTTACCTGTTGACACTGTGGCAAAAACACTCGTTTACATCTCAGCCTGGTGCTGTTTGTTTTTGTTAAGAGAGGAGGAAGCCAAATTTCAAGTTAAACTAAGAAGGAGTGGATGTTTATAGTTTGATCTCAAAAGTTAAGAAAACTTTTTTTGTTGTTGCGCCAGCTTTCCTCTAAACCGAGGAAGCTGTCTCATACTCCAAAAGGGAGCACATCTCAGCCGCTTCCTGTTTCCTCTGGAGGAAGTGACAGGTCAGCCAGGGAATGGCTGAGCCAGTCACACTCCAGACTGGAACTGGGCTGGGAGTCATTTTCAGGAAAAACACTGAACCGCTTACAAACAGGTCTGGCATTAGCTCAATAAAAGCAGATAATCTGCTTGAGTGTTGTGGTGTGAGTTAACACTACTCTGCTGCTATTACACCTCAAGCTCTCCTTTCATTAAGACTGCCTTCTGCAGAGGCAGCAGCAGCATTAGCAAATTACACTAATGTGGGTTTAAGGAGCTGAAGTATAGAGCTACAATACTTTAACTCCTAGATCGAGGTTTATAAATGCCCTCTGGCTTTCCAAATTCTCATTCATGAGTGTTTTTACAGGCCTCAAAATAACTGTATTGTTACATGCTCGACCTCAACTTTCAGGTTTCAAATCAAGCTCCCAAACAGGTTCCTTCTATTGACTCTTTTGTGGAGTACATTGTGAGATAAGCTTTACAAATACACTTTATTTACATGTGGCATAAGAGAAGTGGATTAAGTTCAACTATGAATTCAACTGGTTTACCTAAAACTGGTTTTACCACTTCCCAAACAAGTTTTTGCACCAAAACACAAGCTGTAAAAATAGAACAAAAGAAACAATATGAACTGTAAATCCAATGATCAATCTCCTCAAAATGTTTCCTCACTTTTTGGCACTATTCTCATTCACAAAGGATTTAGGATTTATCATTTATTAATTTTAAACGGGACAATATGCATTAATTAACATTAACATGTAAATGTATGGGATTATAGCCAAACAGCTAATTTCCATCCCCAGTCCCATTAGCAGGTTGGTGTCAATACATAAAACGAAAAAACAAACATCAATAATAGGAGTGTGAGTGTTTGCGCTCTTTTGCTTGCAGAGTCATTGTAACATGTAAATGTAGAAGCTGAAACAAAGCGACTTTCTGATGGTAAAATGAAGCACTGGTATCAGTGGCGGTTCTAGACCAAATTACTCCCCGGGCGAGCACCTCTCCAAGTGCCCCCCCCCCCCCCCCCACACACACACACACACACACACACACACACACACACACAAACACAAAAAGAGATAGAATTTTGAACAGATAGTTTTGTATTACTATGTAGTATTATTATTATTATAACAACAAAAATAAAATATTTCTCAATTGCAGAAATCCTTCAATAGAAAAAAACACAATCCTGAGGGCCATTTTGAGAAGGGCCCCCAGATCCTGAGGTTTTCTGAAGTGTTAAGGTTTACAAAAAAGATGCTATCTCGGCCTCTGTAGTAGATAGAAACAAAATTCAAAAAGTATTTGAGAGCTTAAACACGTGGCTTTCAAGAAAGCTCTCCTTTAGTTTTGCGAACCTTCATCACATTTTGAAAACCTTGAACAAACAAACTCAAATGAAATAAAGCGGCTGTATAAATAAAAGTAGAGGCTCTGCACTGGAGAATGACAAATAATTTGCTTTCTGTAAAACAAGTGGCAGTCATGACAAAGTGTCCATTCAATACAAATGTAAATATAGAAAATAAGGTGTTGAAAGGGTATACAGCTGCCCCAGTATAGTGCCAGTACAAAAGCAGAACTAAAAACTAAAAAATGAATAAATAAATACGTGGCTGACAGTGTGTTCATCTCTGTTCTCACCCAAAGTCATGCAACACTCAGAGAAAACGCTGATAGTGTGAGCCACAGCACTCCATATGAAGAGGTTGTTCACACTGCTGGATGTTTCTCCTCTGAAGCTGCTCTTTGCCTCTGTCTTTGTTTACTTCACTCATGAAGCTCATCAAGCACGTAGCAAGATCCGAGCATGAACCCGAGCGCTTTATTCGCCTATCAAAGGCAGACGGGTACGGTGATTTCATTCACCGCGACTCCAGAAATGATTAAAAAACTACAAAATGACGTATCCGCGCTCCCGCTGATATGCTGACATGCGTACACAGAGCAGAGCTGTCCCCCCGCGACTCTCTCCCCGCCTCGTCTCCTACAGTCTGTCAGCCTCTGTGCAGCACCTTCGGAGCAAGCAGGGGCGCCTACAGCAGCGGGGGGTGCCAATTTGACAACAAGAGTTAATACAAAACCGCTTTTCGGTTAAGATTTATTATTATTATCTTTTATTTTATTTTTTTGGAAGTGCTCGTGCCGCCCCCCATGAGTCATGACACAAATGCCGCCCCGGGCGGCTGCCCTGTTCGCCCGTGCCTAGAACCGCTACTGACTGGTATGTTTCTAGACAGCAAACACTCACACCTGCATTCAGGTCTAAACTGTTAGTAGCAGGTGGATAGCGGAGCTTTTCTGCTGGTACTCTGCCCAATTTTTTTCTACGACAGGAGCTGAACTGACTAACACACATAGCATTGACCTGTGTACATGCTCATGCACTTACTGCGTGTTAACGCTGGATGGTTATTCCAATTTTGATTACAGTTATGGCCTCAAATGATCATTAAAATATGACAATAGAGACTGAACGGTGTCAGTTGCTTATTACCCCTGTTACATTCTATACATTGAATAAAGCAGCAGCTACATGTCAAGAGAGGAGAGCAGGGAGAGGAGCAGAAGGAGACAGGCGTGTCTGACAAAGCTGAGGGAAGGATGAGCACAAGGAGAGAGAGGCTGCAGCCATCATGTTTGTGCACATGTGCAAACAAGCTGATGTGTACATTTGTGTGTTTGTGTATGAGTGTAGGGCTACGAGAATTCCTCAACGTTGACAAAAATTGATAATGAAAAAGTAGACAATGAATTCCATTGTCGACATATTTGACTAATCGTTTAAATAGTCGGTGACTAGTCGACTATTGAGATAGTCGTTAGTTGCAGCCCTATACAAGTGTCAGCTCAACCTCCAAAAGCCCTGACGTGCAGACAGCAGAGCAGCAGGAAGAAGACATTGCAGCTTTAAAAAGCGCAGTAAAACTCTGCACAGTCATTTTCAATAAGGGGGCTGTTTTTGTACAAACAAAAGTACTCATCCAGTGACGAATCAGATAATCTTGTAGTGATTTTTGTTGTTGTTTTTTGTGGGATATTTGACTGTGTTGCCACTTCAGAGTGGTTTGCTCATACTTGTACTGTTTGAGCTCCACACTCGCTCTGGTAATTTCAGGGGTTTTGGATCATTTTTACTTCAATGACTCAATTTGAAATTAGTAATTAGGACTTGTTTTGCTCACATTAGTTGTTCTTATAATTACCACAAACACAATTTAATACACTACTAACAAAAGCAGACTCGCACAATACCAGACCTTTTTCTTTTTTTCATATTATTACTGTTGAAGGCAAAATCCCTCCAAATACTAAGATGTTTCCGTCAATACTTCACCTCCTACTTAAACCAATCATATGCAACACAATACCTACATCTTCCTATTTATTGAGCCCTTCTTCATAACAGCTTAGCGATATCTGCACATGGTCAAGCCCCCAGTCATGGCAGAAAGAACAAAGCAATAATAATAAGCTAAAAATAGCTGAGTTTGACCTAGAGACATTCACATTTCATCTATCTTACTGTCTGCACAGAAATTGGATGAGGTAGCAAAGGTGATGGTGGTTTGAATAAGATCCAACTCCCCAGAATACATCCATTACTGACACCGACACTCGGCAGCAGTGACCCACAGTTACTTGGAGGTCAATGTCAAAACCTGCTCTCTGCTAATAGTGCCTGAGGCAGTAAGGAATAAATTGTACCATTTGTACTTGGGCCTCTAGTGACAGGTAGGCTCAGGTTTTTGCCCAATTACAGGAAGAGAGGGGTGCGGCAGGGTAAGGTGGGCCACTAGAATCGACCTAATGAGGATGTGGTGTGACTGCTGCGGGACTGCAGACCCTCACGTTGATTTGTGCCCACTGGAAGCGTGTTCGATTGGTAGAGGATGGCCAGAATGAAGAGGCAGGGAGAGCGCTTGAGATAGATAGGGAGAGATAATGGAAGTGAGAAGGATTGATTCCTCACTCAAAGTGAGAGCATGTGGGAGGAGATGAGAAGCTGAGACTGGGAGTGGGAATAAGAGAGAGATGGTTACAGAACGTAAGTGAGTCGTCAGTCCATCAAGTCAGCTGTATCCTTTTTCTCTTTTCTTCCTCTGCATCCATCCATCACAGTCTGTAAACGACAGAGACAGCACTGGGTGGACTAAACCGAACAACAAAGGTGCTTTAAATTGGTGTGTATGGAATTAACCTCCTTACATAGTATTGGAGAAATTAGGAACAACCTCTACACACAGCTGTAACAAAGAGGTATGAGAGATGATCTCGTGGAAGAAATCCTGTGTTTCTTCAACAGTGAAGTCAAAGTGAGCCCTTGACAACCCTCCACATTTTGTGGTACTTCCCCACAGTTCCTGACACTCTCAGCAACTCCATGCCATCTGAACTGACACTCACAGCGCAGTGAGAGAGTCTTCTGAGCTGTGAGGGATAGGAAGATATTATGCTACAGTGCTCTTCGAATTTAGCGAGGCTCAAATCCACATGTAACCTGTTTCAAACTCATGCAGCACCCTTAGAGTTTAAGATAACAGAAAAGGCAGGTAGTTTTCAGCTTGGGGATACAGTGTTATTCTTTTTTTGTGAAGCTGAATGGCGTCATGATGAAGAAAAACACACTTGATGAGCAGAGACTGTAAAGAGTGTTTTTAAAGACATGGCTTTAAATGGAATATTTGAAATGGGATCAACTCAGCTGTGTCAAAGTTACTGGCATATTTGGCAAAAAAACACATGGTTTGGTAACTGTTTTGCTTGAGATTTCAAACAGATTTCAAGGGACAGTATGTAAAATTCAGTGGCATTGAATGGAATTGATTCAATACAAATGGACTATTAAAGTCACAAGTTTGTTTTAACCTGTGTATAAGCACCTACATCTGTAAATCCTGTTGTTTTGTTCACTTTAAGCCTTTCATATCTACATAGGAGTGAATTTCCTTACATAAACACATGATCACACAATCTGAGTGGTTATATGTGTCTTCTCTGCTTGTTTTACATCCTAGTAGTAGAGCATCATGACATTATGGCAGCGGACTTTGACCACAGCTACCTCTTTGGCTGGTAGCTCAACAGCTTACACGAAAAGTTTGACCTGCATTTCGAACCTACAACAGTAGAAATATGAATAATTTTTTGCTTAATTGACTCTTATTTTCGCATTTTGGGATGTAATCGCTTGGTCACCAAAACGTGCACATCCCTTATTATAAGCAGCACAATTAGAGATAACTTCCAAGCCCCTTGTTGCCTTAAGAAAAGTGTCTTCTACTCCTTCTATTATCGTCCCTGTCTCTTTCCTCTGGTGTGTTTTTCTTCCACTCTTCATGCTATCCGTCATTCCTTGTCTTCCTCCTCCTCCTCTCCCCTCCATATTTGTGAGAATATAGTAGTGTCTGTAACAGTGCTGTGTGTCTTTGTGTGTGTGGGAGGAGAGGAGAGCAGCATTGCTGGCCGGAGGAGGAGGTGAGAGAGAGAAAGAGAGAGAGAGAGAGACACAGAGAGAGAGAGAGGGAAGCAAAGCATTTACTGGAACAAAACATTCTGTTTCAGTCTTAAAGATAAGAGCTGCCCCCTCACAACTTTTTATCTCAAAGCAGTTTACTCCTTATTCTAAAATCAATATTATTCCCTCCAAAGTTTTTAAAGTCTTAGATCATATCATGCAAACTTCTTCAGTTTACTCTACCCAAACAAAACAAACAGTGTCCACTGGCTTTTTGCCACCATCTGAACCACAGTTTAGCCAATAGACCAACCATCAGTGTGTGTTTAGTGTAACTCCATCACTGAAGGAAGGCCCTGAGAATAACAGCAAACTATGAAGAAACAGAGTAACACACCACCAAAAAGAACCCTCTATCAAGTTGGGAAATGATGCAGTAAAGTATTATCCACTAAGTAGGTTTGAGTGAGAATATTGGTTGATCATTAGTTAAAAGGCTAATTTAAAAAACAGGAAAACATGTTCGTCTTTAACAGCTTAATGGAGGACAAATATCCATCATCAGCAAAGTTCACTACAGGGGTCAACAGTACCAGAGGTTATAAAAGGTTCTTTCATCAGTGAAAGCTGTGTGATACATGGTCATTCATTTCAAGGCAGGAAAACAGTCCCCTTAACTGGTTCTGCACAAACCTCCAGATGAGTTGAACCTGAACTGAACCCATCATAAAAACCTGACTACTCACTGATGTCTGCAGAGGCTTGATGAGGTCAGTGAACTGAAGTGACACAGGCTGAAGCTCTCCAGTGACCCTGAAATGAGACAATAACCACAGTATGAACAATGACCTAAAGTCTAATTTACAAGAAAAAAACAGTGTTCACTTAGAGATTCAAAACCATGAAAATGTAACAGCTGATGTTTGCCAATGTCTTGTGTGATAATCATTGAAATAGACTCCTGTATCAGATCTGAATCAATCAAAGCATCTAAGTGTGTTTCTGGACATCCTGATGATGCAATAATGTCACCAAAAGGCCAGACTAGATCTGGTCAAAGTTACAGATAACATTTGTGCTGATCCGGAACAATAAGAAGTTTCAGCATTTGGTCGACTAAACTGTTAACTGTAGTTATCCCGGTTGGCACTAAAAACTGTGGGTTATCTATTGTTTGTATTTTTGTGATTTAAAATGCTGGTCATAATAATAGTAATAATAATGCATCAGATTTTATAGCACTTTTTGTCAGTGACCTCAAAGCGCTTTACATTGGATACATCATTCATTCGCTCACACAGTCACAACCTGGTGGTGGTAAACCACCTTAGTGGTCACAGCTGCCCTGGGGCAGACTGACAGAAACGTGGCTGCCAGTTTGCGCCTACAGCGTCTCCGGCCACCACCACACGCCACTCACATTCATACACCAGTGGAGGACACACACTGGGAGCAATGTGGGTTAAGTGTCTTGCCCAAGGACACAACGGACAGACTAAGGATAGAACAGGACTCGAACCGCCAACCTTCCAGTTATTGGCCGACCGCTCTACCTCCTGAGCTACTGCCGTCATATATTTTGTCTAAGCTGTACAGTTAGGGCTGCACGATTTTGGTCAAAAATAAAATACAGACTTTGCAGCGGGGAGTGGTTTGCTCTTCGTACGAAACTGTGAAGTCGTACCAATTCCATATGACTGACTTGCTCTTGCCCCTTTCAGCCACGAAAATATCGTCCTCTTTTGCAAACGCCATGTTTGTTACTACTGGTGTGCGTGGGAACTGGGGAGCGCTACCTCAGAGAGGGGGTGGCCTGGAGGGGCAAGACATGATAGAGAGGAAAATCAATTCGATGATTTAAATTTTTTTAACACCATCATAATCAAATAATCTGACTACAATTTAAAATCAATTAATCCTGCAGCCCTGGCTATAGTCAATGATTACCACTATAATGCTGATCTAGAAAATAAGGATGAAGTTGTGTGTAGGCCTTCCTGCATAATCAGATAGTTGTAAGTCAGTTAAAAGCAGCAACATGACATGATCTCAACTTTGACAGTCAGGCCATATTTTTTTTTCTCAGTGCATGCCAGTTTATTTTCTTTTAGATCTCAGGAATAAACACTTCCAAAAGCCTGACAAGTAATTTTTATCTCTTTTGATTTTGAAGAAAACTTTTTTTTTTGAAAGAAAAGTCTTAATTTGAAACCATTTTTCCCAAAAAGAAGAGGATCCCACTGTGAACAAACACTTGCTGATGAAAACGACTAAAGAGGCAGGAGGAGGACCAACAAAAGCGTGGGCGTGTCTTTTGATAAAGCAAATTCTGAACCAAGGCTAGGATGGCAAGTTAGTAACTAAATGAAAACCTCTTGTTGTCAGGAAATAGGAGAGTCATGGTTTAAATCTCAAAGATGCAATGTGGGGGATGGGTTGGGTAAGGAGTTTATGGTATACAGATATTGATACCCATACTGCAAATCAATACAGATACTTTCTGATACCAACAGTTGTTTTTCAGTTTAATGTGACTTTTGACAGGACCAGTCAAGCACCAATCACAAAATGCCTGTTCTCATAAACACTGCATGGTAAATCCTAGATCCAGATCCATCAGAGACCTGCTGTACTATGAAGACTGGTGAAATACAGGTTTTCATTAGTTAGATGCACACCATTCATTAGGCTAGAAAGACAATTGTCCACAGTGTGCACAGCTCAAACAAGTCATCTGGAGCTGTTTTTGAACACACACACACACACACACCACATGTATATTCAGTTCCTCTCTGAGGAGGTTGGCTGGATTTCCTGGAGAAGCGAGCCAGCGGCCGCCAACTCTGCTGACTGCAAAAGACACTCGTTATGGATTCAATCTGTGTGGCCCTGTGAATTCATCCGACTTGACCTGAAATGTGATGTGTTCTCTCAACGACCAACTTTAACATTTTGCTTCCCACCAGATATAATCAATTGAGGAATCAGCCTGTAAGTCCCGGCTCCCCACACCAAAGTCTGACACATCTGACAACTCAATCTGTACGGCCTTGACTTGATGTGACTGAGGGCTTAATTGGACCTGCTGGATTCAGTCTTAAAGAGAGAAAATGATCCAGCTGAGAGGTAAAAACATGAAGTGGTATGATTTGAAGAAGATTACTTCAAAAAATCTCTCCAAAGTTAACCTAAGCAGATTTTTCGATTTTCGGTCCGGTAGCTTACTTCACGAATCAATGGATTCATTATCATTAGTGATTACTCGACACTTATTGTCCCCTGCTTAGTTTCATCACACCGCCCATCATGAGCGAGTCCAATGAAACATCCGGCAAAAGAACAACTCCCTTTTTGAAATCCTCCACACCACATTTGAGATGTATCCTCCAGACCCATTTGTACAGTCTTAGCGTAAACCAGTGCGCTCCACTACCCTCGCTCTCTGGGCCAGACTATTAGCACAGACTGCCGACATGGACCTTGGACCTCTGCGTCGTCTGTCTCTGCTGGCTGGCATTCAGCCTAATGAGGCTTGCTAATGGTGCGCCCATGTCAGTCTGGGAGAAACCTCCGACAAACTGGAACAAATGTACACAGTTGCTCAGCACGCCCTCCCACTTTCTACCACTCTCCGCAGATGCTTCATAGATAAAGGGCAAACAGAACCCAAACATGAGTCAACTTTACACCAAACCTCTGTCCGTCTGTCAGCCTATAATTCTGTTTCTCACACTATCCATTCATCCTCTGTTGCATGGCGGATATGCAGCTGATAACTGGAAATGCTTTAGTTCTGTTACACAGCTCAAATCGAAGGGCAACTTCTTCAAACAAGTCAAGGCAACAAGTCACAGAAGGGAAACTATTTACAAGACTTGGGGCCAGAAATACGACCTCCTCTTTTCTTGATCTTGTTTCTGGCTTTCTAGAGTCGGATCAGTGTTTGGAAAATAGTAAACCCATGTGATCAAACTTTTAGATGAAAGAAAAACACTAAAATAAGCGTGTTAACTTGAATTAAACACAGTACAGTAAATCATTAGACAACCTTTAGTTCCCACTGGGACACGGTTTGTGACTGCAGCTGCACGACCCAACCCTGATGAGCTTAGCAATGCCTCACTCTCACAGTCCATCAGTCATGCTCTGTTGATATTTCTGGTTAATGATTGTGAACCCTCGAAGTTCGGTTTTAGTCTGTTGGTTCTCATGAAACCAGTTTTGACAGCTTTGTTTCAGAGTTCATGAAAAAAAAAAACATCTTTAAGGGAGTCAAATGACCGACAAGTTGAACCGTTCAGTTTTATTTAACATTGTAAACCATGAAAGGAATGCAGGGAGATCATGCTTGTAAGGGGAAGCTGGGAGATTTTTCTGCTATGACCAATACTGTGAATGTGACTAGATGTAGATCAGGAAGCAAACTATACAGTGATTCAGACGGACCGAGCTTGAGAAAAATCTCCAGAATGCAATGAGTGGAGAAAGCTCGATCCAGAAGCCACAAGAGCTCTTCAGGTGGCAGATAAATAAGAGAAAGGATGCAGGAGAAGGAAAGAAGTCAAGGCAAGACACTCCAGATGAATGTACATTGGCCCCTGGAGCGAGACTAAAGGCATCTCTCTGGACTTTGAAATCAAAACAGATCTTAAAGTCTGTGTGAGAGATGACTTATGATTTCAGGATTTTGTCCTCTGGGTTAAGTCCAGACATAACATCAAAATCAATCTGTGAAATCTCCCACAAAGTGAAGTTTGCATGACCCATCATTGATTTCCTTACGCCAGTATGATGTATTCTTACTGAAGATGTGAAGCATGTTCTATCCATTAGTCTTGGCTATAAAACAAAAACACAATATAACAAAAAAAAAGACTGTGATGAAGAGGAATGTGTATTTTGGAAAGGTTTTTAGGAGACAACTTGACAATACAAATCATGCTGCGGTATCCTGGATTCAGACAGCGCATTAGCTCAACTCGCAGGCCGTAGAACAGACAACGTCCAGATGTTTGGCAGGGCGCACAAGAAAAAAAGAGGGGTGTTTAGGGAACTATCTTTCTTTTCAGTCTGCTACTGGTGGTCATTGTTTCTTTTCTGGACCTCATCCTTATTAGAAACCACACAGAAAACACCAGAGGGTTCACAGGGGACTGATGCAAAGTTGTTTTTTAGAGAGTTGAATTGGCAAAACATCATATAGATATATATTTAAAAAAAAGACCAAAACCAAAGAAGAGGTTCTTTAGATCAGCTTTATCCGCCCCCTGCCCTTTACTCTGCACACTTAAAATACTAAAGCCTGAGACAGGGAGAGCAGCAGCAAAGACCCACAGGTGCTTGCTGCTGCAAACAGAGTGTACACCTGTGAAAACCAATTGGACAACTGGAAAATCAGGCACAGAAAAGAGGAACTCTGGAGGAGGCTAACTGAAAAGACTTAAACATACAGGATCTGTATTTAGCGCGTAACGTCAGCATCACATATCACACAGCAAATAGGTTCCCATTCTAATCAATGCAGCATCGCATACAGGATGTGTATCAACACCGTCGCAGCTCCTTGTTTGGGAGAGAATCGAGCACGGCTCTGCTGAAGATACGCCCAATATCTATTTTTCCTGCTCTGCACTTCCAACACTCGTCAATCTACACAGACAAGATCGTTCTAGACAGGATGTCAAGTAAGAAAACCGCATGTCATCTGGTAAAGTTTAAAATAAAACATCATATGTGGAATCCCAATTGTGTATCAGTTCGTGTAGATGAGAAACTTCCTGGTTATGGATTTATCAGTACCACAGAAGAATCTGATGGTCAATCCCTGATCCATGTGGACCTCAACAGGACCTTTAACTGCTAACTCTGTCTGAAGGTAACAGCACAGCATAAAGGAACATAGTTTACTTTTCTAAACACGAGTAAACCTGAAAAAACTGAAACTGTAAAATCACGTTGCTTTTTCACATAAAGTAGAGGCTCAACATAAAGTTGAGCCCAGCTGACTGGAGCTGCCCTACGCTGCTGCTAGGCTCCAAAAATGCATCCTGTGTGTGATCCCCAGGGCTGCTCTATGAAGCAGACGCTGACGGAATGTGCTCAACGCGAATCCTGTATGTTTTTGGCTCAAAGCTGTTTGCAGGACGGCTGCCCAACCCCCCCTGTTGGTGAAGCGGTGAAGGCCTCGGAGGACCCGAAGCTCCTGTGATACATGGTATGATCCTCCATTTCTAAAATGTTACAGCTGAAAATGTTTATTTCTAAATGTTCTTTTGCACAACTATCACTGTCTTCAACAAAACAAGCTAGCTCTATCATGCTTGTGAACATTACAGTCTGTTTCTATAACATGTTTTGATAAATGCAGCCAGTTACTACACACTACACCTCTGCCACAATCATCCACAATGGAAAACATCTGACCAACATATGAAATTTACGACACACTTGTTTGTAAAACACTCAATACTCAAAAGATTTTTTTTTTTACCTCATTCAGTATCAAAAGATCTTTAGAAGTTCCCAGTTTAGAACAATGTCTGAATAACTTCTTCAGGACATGACTAAGTCACTGCCACGCTGGCCTTGGGTCTGTCACAAATTTACTATGTCTGTCTTTTCAAACTAAGACTGTCACGGGCTCCAGGGAACAAAAGACAGATGACATTAGAGACTGGAAATAACCTTCTTCACAATCGCACACTTTCTCCCGCTCTTGTCCAATCATGGAGGGGACTGATGAAAGCCTGAACCTCATGCAAAACAGACAGGAGGGGAATTACTAATCCTGAGTGTTGTGTCTTTTAGAAAAGAATTAAACTCATATGAATGAAATCAGACCAAAATTAACCTGCCAAAACATGGCTTCTCCAGCCCCTTTTCTTTGACACAAAGCGCTGCCACGTGTGTCGCTAGGATCCCATTTCCTGTTGACTTAAGAAGAAGGATTTTAACCTGAAAGAATAATTAGCACCTTTTAAGTTGGTCTTATGTAACCCACTCTACCTAAGCCCGGGCTGTAATCTTCAGCTGGAAATGATTTACCAATGCCAAGAGTGTGAAAAGAGAAACCGCACGGATGTAAAATCATCACCTTTTTAATGGCCCATAAAAATACCATCCTTGCACCCCTTGCTAAGAGAACAACTCACACGTGATCAAGAGGAACTCTATTGTACAAAGTTTCATGGAGGTGTATGAAGAAGCTCTGGAAATTTGCAGAAACTCAAATACTCTGTGAATTGCATTTCAAAGCCGGTTCAAAGCCGCCCAGAGCCAGCATAAGCAGCTTTGTTCCTCTGCCACCTTTCCTCACTTTTCCTCATCCTAAACCTATCTCTTGGTTGTTTTGGTCACAGTTCTTTCTATCAAGTCTCAGCTGCCTGCTTTTTCACATTCCTCAGTCTCAGGGACGTAATCTTCAGTTTTCCTCTCCCACACTCTTTAGCCTTTTTTAAAAAAAAATAAAAATAAAAAAAGGGATTCAGGCTGGTGGGGCCGCTGGATCAAATCTATTTGTCTGTTAAACCTTCTTGGGAGAAAAGCCTGGATTAGGACTGATTTTAGCTGCTGCTTCTTCTGCTGCTGATGCTTTTCAGCCAAACCTTGCTTGCACCAATGACCAGTAAGCTTTGACAAGCCCTTGACCTGCCAGGAAAAGTTCACTTAGCGGTTCTTCATCAGAAGTGTGTGTAAAAGACAGTGAACGTCTCATCCAGCATTGTAATTTTCAATAAGCACTAAACTAAGAGCCTATTAAGAGAATTAATGTTAATCAGAGGGGAGGATGTTGATGTGGCAAGGCAGTGACGTGGTTCGTTTTTATCAGAGTCTCACTGCCATCGAGCCAAAAAGACGAGTTGAATCAGACGTGATGATGTGTGTGTCTGAAGAAGCCTGGGAATCATCTGTGCTCAGAAGGGAACTGGGAAAATGTGGCAATGAAGAGAAGCATGACCAAAGTAGCAGATCCTCCGCCTGGACAGTAAATCACAGCAGAGCTCAAGCAAGAGAAAGAAAGAAAGTGGTAGAGAGAGGTGAAGAATCTGAAAAGTTATCCAGGAGGTGAGGTAAATCTGAGAGAAAAGAGAGGGGTCAAAGGCAGGACTGTGCCGCAGCTCAAAATAAAACAAAATAAAGGAAGACAGAAAATGTTGAGCTGGGATTTGACACCTCTCTCTTTCTTTGAGTTCACAAGTTCAACTGGGAGACCTTCCCAATCTCTCTTCTTCGTTTCCCCATGTGTCTGCTCTCTACAGCACACACAGGAATAGAAAAATATCTCAAACTCAGGTAGCCAGGAAAGTCTGTGTCTGTGAGTCTTTTTGTAAAAGCCTGCCGATGTGTGAGTGTGTATGTGTGTGAGCTCTGTCTTAAAAAGCCACACAAACTTCACCTCCAGATACAGACCTGCAGCAGCATTAACATTTCATTTTGTCAGAGCAGCACAAAAGAAAGCTTTAATTGCTCGGCACTTCTTTCTCGCCACAACTCCAGCTTCCACATTTCTATCAAGTGTGTAGGTATGTGTGCAGTGTCCACTGGGAGCCAACAGTGTGGTATAACCATGATAATGAAAGCTATAAATCACCACTACCATGCCCCCAGTCTCAAAGCTCATAAAACTCCAGCCCACAATAGCCTGGTAACAAAAAATGCAGTTCTTCTGTCTTTTAAAGTTTCTTCTCAGTCTTCTTTTCTTACTTCTGGCATTTCACACTTTAAACAACAGCAGAGGCAGCGGTATCCATGGCACAGCCAAGCCTCAGCCAAAACTTCAGCCTCTTGTCTCGCTCTGTTACATTTGTCCTGACACTTGAAGAGGCATCTTCATCACACTTTTCACTAGAATTCCTTAAAGGTGTTTTGTTGGACTAAAAGGGGATTTTTGAGCCCTGACTGAGTGTTAGAGCAGAAAAACCTCAAGAAGAACTTGCAATATTTTACAAGGGGTGGGAATCACCAGTGGCCCCACGATACAATATTATCACGATACTTGGGCCATGATACGATCTAGGCATGTGCTGATATGAAAAATTTGATATCACGAACGACATTGGTGGCCCAAAATATCGTGATTCACGATATTATCACGATATTGGCGCATTGCTTTTAACGTTATTAAAAATGGCAAAAAACTAAATCACTTCTCTGTGCACAGCATGACCACACAAACAATATGAGCAAGAGGCAGATAACGAGACGTTGGTAGCTTTAGCTTTTTGCAGCTTAAGTTAGCAGAAATGTCACTAACGTCAATAATAAGCAGTAGAGTAGACCAAATTTGTTGCAGTCATGTTGTTTTTACCTTGATTTGGGCGAATGATGCTGGATGGTGTTCACGGAGGTGGGCATGTAGGTTTGAAGTGTTAGACAACGGCGCTGCAACTTCATTACGGCATAACCTGCAAATTGGTGTCAGGTTTACCTGCTCCGTCTGTTTTGTGAAGCTGTAAAACGTCCATACTGCCAACGACACCTTTTTAATAGGAGGATACAGCCGAGGCATTTCGTCATTCTCCGTTGGGTGGATTCAAAAGCGTGTGCCTTTAGTGATTTCATTCAGACTATTCAGATAAGCCGAAAACAATAGCCCTCTGATTCGGAATATTTGCTTTTTTTTTTTTTTGATATGGGACTACTTTTGTGGTGGTTTGTTTGTACATTTTGCTACAGAGGCTTTGACACCGTGGGTAAGACTACAAGTGGGTTAGGTTGGTAAGTACTCGGCTGAGTGACGCTGCCACTCGTCTTTAACTTATAATTGTGGAACGATTTTTACAGTACCTTCCGATTTCATTATCGCGGCCGTTTAATATCGCATATCGCAATTAAATTGTATATCGGCACATCCCTAATATGATCTTGTGATTTTTAACATTTTGCAATACAGTAAGTATTGCAAAACAAATTTTGTAATTTATACAACTGTTTAGCTAAATTAACATTTGTCTTTCCTTTAGGTTTGTCTTATTTACACAGTATTTTATCTTCATGCAGCACACCTTACAAACCTTAAATATATTTGTTGCTCTTACTTTGATCTATGAACTCTGCTCTATGATGTCACCTCTGCCAACCTCACCAGACAAACAGTTAATTTTATTTTTCCATTATCATAGATTTGACTTCATATTAGCAATTAATTTGAAAAATCAATACTTGGTCAATGAGATGATACAATATATCACCAGACAAAATATCGCAATACTGTGCTGTAATGATTTTTTCTCCTACCCCAATTAATTACATCCTCAAGAAAGGTTCATCAGCTGACTGTATTTGCAGATTGTAATGAGGGCATTGTTAACGTTTGAGCCAGAGTGCACTGTGATTGAAGACTTTCAAAGTGACTCATAATAGGATGAGATCTTATACAAAACAATCAAAGAAGATCTTAAGAGACAGTGTGGTGCCGTTAGATACAGTGCAGTGTGGTGTAGTGATGGGTATCGATCAATTCTAATCGATTAGAAATGGTTCAATCCATCATCATCATAAGCCTTTGTGCTTAACGATTCCCTTTGCACTACACTGGAGTGGCCAGACCTTATGTACCAAATGTGATCTCAATAATATCACAATCCAGTCATTATGGAATAATCTGTAAACTGCAAAACAATGGTATAATTTTAAAAAGGCAAAGCACAAGGTGATCGTATTTATTCATTGTACTTCTCTCATATTTTCTTCCCAAAGTGAAAGCACATTTCGTGCTAAACTGATGAAATTCAGGAACTGCATAATCCTGCATATGATCCTTACAGATTATATCACAGTTAATTGTATATTATAATATAATGACGTGTCATTTAAAACATTATAAAGAAGGAATCACGTTTAGCCCACAAGGCTGAACTGTCAACCTTGGACCAGTAAAAATTCCTTAGATTACTAATAAAAGGACTAAATCATATGTGCTGAGTCTGCTTTCCTCATGGTACCAAAAATAAAGCAACCCGAGACTTTAAAACTGTGAACCAAACCAAACCAAAATCATTCAGTCATTTTGATCATGAGGATTGATTTGAAGTTCAACATATTATCTACACACTTCCTGAAAAGAGAAGAAAGTCAAAACAGGAGCGACTTCAGAGTTAAAAATTTCATATAATGCAACAGAAAAGGTTTGGTTACAAATATGAAGTCGAGAAAGATCATGCCCTCTGTGTGATCAACTTTATTTAAACAAGTGGATAGACTGCAGCTGCGTGTGTGATCTATGATCCAGGATAATGATCTGTCAGTCAACCAGTAGGCTTTGTGGCACATGAACCGCAGGGTTTGTTTATTTGTGTGTGTATAATGACAAGATGAAGAACCAGCTTTTAATGAGAGCAAGATCACTTTGCCAAAAGATCAATTTCTGTTTCTTAACATGATGCTCAGAGTTTTGCCCTCCTAGTTAAAGTCAAAATTAGAACATTATTTCATGGGACATAAAGTCGGGGAATTTGCCTTTCAGAGATGTGTGCCAATTTATCAACCACAAACACACATATACACACACACACACACACACACACACGCACGCACGCGCGCGGGTGCAAGGAAGAAGAGCTCTGAAACATGACTAAGAGAAACTTGCAGCTCTTGCAAAGGTAAACAATAGAGAGAGACAGAGGAAGTGAAGGCTGATGCTTTTAATCCTGACATCTGAGGAGACGAAAGCCCAGTACTTAAAGCAATTAGCCCACAGCCTCGTTCTCACTCTTCTCTTTGTTGTGCTGACACTCCAAAGAGTCTGAGCCCACCAGAGGTAGTCCCAGGTAGCATCATTAACAGGCAAACCAAATGCAGTGTCTGACAGCTTCAGTGGGCGGACAGCTGAACCTAACTGATCAGCTGAACAGGAGGGAGCGGTCATCGGTAAACGTGATGATTTATCTCTGGGAATCAGAGTTAAAACTTGTCCACAGCAGAGCTTACTTGGACAAGTCCAAGCCTTAAAGGGATATTCCGTAGCAGTGTTTCCTTTAGGAGGGCAGGCTTTCCGAGGAGCTGTGGCGATGTAAACAAATGACACTTGACTGCAGATTTTAATTTTACAATGGAAATACACTGAATTTATTTATTATGTTATTTCTTATTTATTGAACAGTGTGGTAGAGCCATGATTGGAACCGGCTATTTTTTCAACCCATTTAGAGTCCCAGCCTGATAGCCTCCCTTTTGGTTTTTCTCCTCTACTCTCATCTCTCTCTCCTGCAGTATCACTTTGCTCTCCTGCTCCTTCACTCACCCACTCCCCTCCAGCGGCTGCTGGTTTGTGGGGGACATACAAGAGACACTAGAACTCTGATTGCATTTCCATGAAGTAATAATCATAAATGTTCTTTCCTGAGCTGCGAAACTCCACTGCACTCTGTGATTGACTCGTCAGGGCTCCCCAACAAACAAGCAGCTGCTTGAGGAGAGCGGTTTAGTTGTGTTTAGTTTCTTTGCTGAAAAAAAAAAAACAGGCAAAGCTAAAAAGATGTTTGATGGCTAGTACTATGGCTGGGACCCTACATGTACTTTTGATGAAGTTAGGTGCTGTTCTGAGCATTATTTGTGGCTATAGAGTGGCTTTTTGGTTGAGGTTTACACATGGAGATGTAGACCACTGTGTACTGCTATTGTGTGGTCGTTACTTAAGTTGGTGTAACAAGAGAGGCAAGCAGTCGGCCACATTCATCTCTCAAGGCGGTGTCTAACTCTGTGTTATGGTGTGTTTGTCCCTAACTTAAATTTACGCTGCAATATCCCTTTAAGGCTACAGACAGAAGCCTTACACACATATAACTGCTTTATACATTTTCTCTCTCATTTTTTGTATACTTTACTTCATCACAATTGTTTATGTTGTTAAACTGGCGTACTGTTATTGTGTCAGTTAAGACAGACAGACAGACAGACAGACAGACGGGTGCTGATGGGAAAAACACTAAGGGGAGGCAACAAATACAGATCAGCAGAAGATGAGAGGCATGCTGTGCCATCTCCGCACTCTACTGTTTCTAGCTGATAATTACAGGAAAACCCTCAACAATTAATTAACTTTGCGGCCATATAAAAGCACTAAATTTAGGCTCCAACTGTTGTCACTAATCATTGCAAAAATTAGCAAAGATATAACAAACCTAACAACAGATTTCATACACAGATAATATAATATATTTGATGTCGGCCTCGGCCTCCTCCTCCTCCTACTCCTCCTCCTCCGCACAGGTGTCAAACTCGAGTGATTGCAGCCCATCTAAAGAAAGCTTGGTATATTTAGGTTTTATTGCAATCAAACTCAACAGCAGCAAATTTGAAATAGCTATCAATCAGTCCTCAATAAAAGCTGGAGTTAAATGAATGTGACTGTTCACAGACACGTGTCACAGAGGAACATAGTTTGAGACCACTGATGGAGAAAATCTGCACTTGTATTGATTAAGCATGAAGCAGCTAAGAGGCTAATGGCTGTAAGCCGTTGGTCACAAGATGAGAGCAGATTGACAAGTGCATGTTTAATGGCCGTGAGAAACAGTGTGCAGGGGTTCCTGGGTAATGGCTGTTCTAGGGGATGGGAGGAGTGGGGGATTGGGCTGTAGACAGCAAGCCCTGTGACACTTTTGGCAGATGTGAGGCTTTGCACCACCCAAAGGGGCAGCACAGAGAAAGGGCCTTTGAATTAAAGGTCCGCTGCTAAGCTTTCTAAGCAGTGCCCTCAGCCCTGCAGCTCACAACCAAAGAAAGGGTCAAGCCGTTGCTTGACTACAGGCATCTGGGGCTCTTCCTGGCAAAAGAAAACAATTAAGTGCGGGGGCTGGATCTTCTTAAGGTTCACCTTTCCCTCTCCCTCTCTCTCGCACTCAAGACTCTAAAAGCTCTGCTCTTATTTTACTCGTCCCTCTGCCTTTTCCCCCTGCATAGATCAAATGTCTTTTAATCTCCTTTTACCCTGCTTTTTCTCTCTACCTCGCCTTTTTGCCACCTAAAGCTCCTCTTCTGCCCATGTTTTTCTATGTTTTTTCCACTCTCTTAACTAATCTCCCTCTGTATCCCACCCTGTCTAACCGCCCCAAACTTATTTGAGGGTTCAAACAGAGCTGCAGGGTAGGCTTTGGATGTAAGCAGTCAGTGCCAGAGGCAAAATACAAACTTTTGCGCAGGATACCCAGAGGGTGTCTGCCGATCTTCACCATGCTCCTCTCGGATTGTCAAAGTCTGGATAAGCTGGGATGGATGAAAAGCTAACAGAAGACAAAGTTTCTGGGCAACATTCACACACTGATCTATCAATCAGTGCAGGCTCCTCTGGGTGGTCAGATTATGTCTCTCACAAATGTGGAGCACTCTGGAACCAGCGAAAAAATGGAAACAGTGTGCTTGAAGGTATATTCCAACGTAAAATGAAGTTAGGGGACACTATATATACTGTTGATGAAGTTAGGTGATGTTCTGAGCATTATTTGTGGCAAAAGAGTGGCTTTTTGGTTAAGGTTTGCGCCATAGACTGTATGTAGAATGGACAGCATCTGCCTCCTCGCTGTGTGAAGCCACTCCGAGAACAGCACACCCTGGGGACAGGCTGCAGTATAGGTCATAAAAGTATAGGTCAGTTTTAAATTGTAAAGCACTTTGTGCTGCATTTCTTTTTGCCTGAAAAGTGCTATACAAATAAAGTTTGATTTGATTTGATAAATCTCACCTCTGCCAGCCATCCTAATGGAGCTGTGGACAAACTTCAGAAATTAATTACGCAGAACATGCATTTTTCTCCCCCTTGCTTGTGATGTTGACATGTAGTAACTGTAGGACTGGTTTGTGCTCAAGTCTCTTTTTTTCTGTACAGCTCCATTTCTAAGTTATACGGGGGGGTTCGTGTTTTCTATGATTGACACTTGATACAGCCTATGGGCGTACAAAGATTGCGTAGCTCACCCGGGGGATACGCTGTTTGAGCCGAGCGTCATCACAGCGACTCTTCCACCAAATGCCCACAATGCTACTGCACAAGTGGTGGAGTGCGTACAACGCTACTGCACAATGTTAGTTTCAGGAAGTGGAGAAAAAACGCAGAATTACTAAGAGCTTTGCAGCTTCAAATCCATATACTGTCATATGTAAGGCGGAACCAAGTTGTCCATAGTATACAGTCTATGATTTGGGTGTCGAGACGTAGACTGCTGTGTATTTCTATCGTGTGGTCTTTACTAAAGTTGGTAACGAGAGAAGCAAGCAGTCAGCAATATTCATCTCTCAAGGAATATCCCTTTAACCTCAAATGTAACATGATCAACACAGACATGTGGCTGGTGGTGCTAGCTCTGCTAACTCTAGCCAAACTGAGTCATTTTATCAGACAAACATGTTCTCTTGTTTGTGTTTTCTACACGTAAGTGAAATGAGACGCAGCTATCCATAATCAGACATAAATTTGTTTGACAACACAGACAATCAAGCCATAACTGCTTGTGACTCAACATCCCAAAGTATGTTGGGAAGCTCGCCGCCTGCCCTCAGGGTGCCCAGCTGGCTGCTCTTTTCGCCCAGCTGGACAATGTATGCTCTAATGAAAAACACTAACATCAAAAAGCAAACTTCAGTGTATCTATTCTACAGATTTGACAGATGGAAGACATGGCAGATCGCTGTCAGCGGTACTCATGTCTCTCAACCCCTGATTGCTGATGATAGGAGATGTTCACCAATGGCATGTAGGTTTGTTCAAACTAAATTCTATTTAATGGCACGTGGGAGAAAATCTTGCTGTTCTGCCACTTCAGAGACAAAGAGCTGAAGACAAAGCACAGACGCCTCTTCCTTTAATTACAGAGGTCTGGGAGGCCAACATGATGAGCTTTTAATGATAGTGACTCTGATGCAGGCTTTTTAAAACAGAGCTGGTGGGTCGATAGGCTTCTTCCTGATGGACACCTTTAGTACATTATGCAGTCTTTATTCATGCTGCCTGCATCAAAGAAAAACACCCTCTGGCTAGGGAAATTAGCAATAACAACGTCTTCACAGAAGTTCCTGTCCATAATCACAGCGTCACACGTTGCCTTCATGAGGGGAGCAGACAGTGTGCGGCAGTACTAACGAGTGGCTAAGCTGTCTATGTGGACAGCATATGATGAAAGGATACTTCTCCTTAGTGCACTGGAGTGGCTGTATGATAAGAGAGAGCGCCACAGGAGGAAACTTCAGTCGTTCAAAAGAAGAAGAAGAAGAAAAATGGCTTCTAATTACCATTATTAGAACCCAGCATTATCATTATTACACTGCAAGGTTTCTGACAACACAACAACTGTGCTGCCATGGCAACACAGAGCCGGAAGAAAGACGTGGATGCTGTCATGTCACGTTTTCACAGGCTCCATGTGATCAGTGTGTGCAGCGTCAGTCTGTTCATCGACCTGTGCTCTGGTCCTGTACCCACTCTGAAGAGCACAGGTGGACACATCAGTCTGCTTGGCTGGCACCGCTTCACCCATGGGCTAAACAATGCAGCACAGCTGGGTTCATCTGAGATTATGTAACGCAGCACCACCCCCGCAGGCCCTGTTCACGCTACCCCTCTCCTCCCACTCCGCCTCCCACTGGTGCACCGTTGGCCATTTGCAAGCAGAGGTGCATTGTGAGAGAAGAGTACTCTTTCAACCTGTGTGGATATTTGTGGAGGATTGAAAAGCGGTGAGAAACTAAAATATTTAAGAAGAAACCTTTACATGGAGAGAATCTCAAACATCTCCAAGGCCCTTTCTCGATTTCTGAATACCTGTTTTTTAACACAGTTATTTTCTCCAATTACCTTCAATCCATATCTCTGTAGAAAACAAATCAATTCATCACTTTAGTTTTTATCTGTCACTGCATTACATTTCAAAATTGGGTGATTAAATTTCAGAGTAGTATCCATCATTGATCCCATGAGTGATTCTGCCTTTACTCCTTGGAAACAAATTTTGTTACTAAGCAATACTTGCCAAAAGTGGAATGGCACCCGTTGCCTGGCAACATTAGCTTATTGAATCTCATATCAGGAAGCGATGAGAAGCCCTGCTGCTTTGAGCTACAAACCTCTAGATATTCTTCACATCCCAGGTACAGGCTGATGTCCATCCACATATATGACACCCCATTATATCTCCACACATGCATTCTTATTATCCTACACACAGAGACATGATTTGATCCTTTCATTCATTGGTAAAAAAGCATCCCTATAAAGTGTAAAGATCTTATATGTCTGATTTTGAGACTTAGGAAGATTCAGATGCAACTATCTTACTTCTCTGTTCATCACTTGACTCCTTATCTGAGCAAAAATGTCAAACAACAGCTGCTCTATTTCTTTATCATCATAGAAGAAGCAGAGAAACCTTTAAAAGACACCACAGTAAGTAATGTTCACACTTTGAAATCTAAGAAATTAAAAACTGCAGCCTGCATTGAATGGTTAACATGTCAATATCATCGATACAAGATCTAAGCACAGATCCGCATCATTAGCTTCACAATGGACCACCTTGATCGGGGTTTGTTAAAGAGAAATATGTTGTCAGCCCATCATTAACCTGTCAATATCAATGTGGTCAGAGTCAGAATTAGATGATTCATTTCTTTTAATCACACTATATTGTCGGTCTGCTCTTGCTGCAACTCTAATATAAAATAACACCACTGCGCTCAAGAAAAGCAAAATTTCCTTTAGAAATATAAAAATAGTGAAGTTTAAAAGTTAAAAAGCAACAATCTATGAGTTAAGCATACAGGTGTGACTTCGAAGACAGATATCAGCAGGCAGCTGCATCGCAAGCCAGCAGGGCACTGTTTGGAAGTGTTCGACTCACCACAGACTTGTGGATAAAATCAAAGAAGTAAACAGTGCTACAGCAACCAAAGCAAATAATATTGTCCCCGATTGACTTTTGAGTTTGCTGCCTTAGTTTCCCCAAGATAAATTCATGACTTAAATCTGCGGGTTATTTCGTAAAGGTGTGCTCTAGAAGTCACTGATATCACTATTTTAGCAGCCGATACTGATACTGATAATGAGCGAGCCGAGCTGCTAAACCTTGTAGTTGAGGTTTTTTCTGCATTTGACAAAATAAAACATGTTGCCACAAGAGAGTTTTGGATTTCTGCCCAGTTATCTAAAATTATCAGGAAAGGAAAAAAACAATACAAGTAAACAATAGAGTTAAAACTCTTCAGAAAAGAAAGTCAGTGGAAATATGTTATTCCATATGCATTAAAATCTGTTGCTGATAACATGTTTTATATTATCCTATTTATCCCAAAACATGGCTGATATTTCTTTTAAACTGCCTTATTCAATAGATTATAACAGGGTTCATGTTAAACATCAGCCAGAGACTGTTTTAGATTCAATATGCTGTCATTCAGGATGGGAAAACGTGTTTTTATTGAAGAAAGACAATGGTAATTTCTACTTTTTGGTACCTATTATGTCAAAATGCCATTAATCGTCTGACTTTTAAATCAGTGTGCTCTCTCATGTTTGGTTACTTAGTGAATGAAAAAAATCACGTGGAATAACTACAGGCTTATTCTTTTGAAACTAATGTTACTGAGAGTCCATAAAATAAAGAGAATAAGAGAGTCACAGTGAAGCAAGGCCCTTCATTTCAAACTCTTCTCAACCATGGCTGTTTTCCCCAAGTGCTTTATGAGATGTTCAAGGACTTCAGGCAGTCATTTCATTAAAACCACACACCCTGCTGTGGGCCATCACTGGAGAAGCTTTACTTCTAAACTGGCCTGTTGTCATTAGAAATAACCATCAGAGGAGTCGTCTCTGTCCCATGCAGCAGTTACTTCTTAATGAAAAACAGCAGCCTGCTTAAGCCTTCACATCCAGAAACCACAGATTGTGCCTTCCTCCGTACAGCTGGAGAGACCCAGCAAAGGCATTAGCGAGGAGTTGTCAGGACGCCACTGGAATGGATCAAAGCGCTACGTGGTAAGCCGCCTCCAATGACCATTTACAGCACTTGCCATTGAGTGGTTCGCTTGATGTGAGTGCCTAGGTAACAAGGCAGTAACAGTGTGAGATTATAGTGATAGGGAGGGATGAAGGTGTGAGGAGGAGGAGGAGGAGGAGATGGGAGCCTGCATGGGAGGCTTTGACAGTCCAGGTTAAAATTACTTGCACCCTGAATCCTGTGTTTCTCCACATGATCACATGATGCTGAATACGATTGCATGAAGTCCCTGTGACAGGAGGAAACTTTTGCAATGACAGGTACACACTTCCTATGCTAGGCTGTCGTGTTAGCTATTTTACTATGAATCCATCTATCATGTTTGAAATGATCCTATTGAACTGATCGAAGTGTGTGTTAATTAGCATGTCAAGCACCATGACAATCAACTTTTTGAGGCTAAAACTAGGAAGGTTCCCTTTAACTCACCCAAACACATCAGTGTGTGTATGTGCGCTGCAGGTGTAACCACTGAGAATAAAGAACGGCAGCATGCACAGCATGCACGCTTGGTTAATTGCTCATGTATGTGGCTACAGCATCAACAAAGGTGCTGATAAAGGGGACAGGCCACTTTACATAACCTAGCATTAAGCTTTCAGCAAGCAGCAGCATTGTTTCCTTCTCCGTCCTATCTCCAAAAAAAGACATAAAAGGGGAAATCTGCCGATAACTTTCTCTACAAACTAGTAGGGGTGAGAGAAAACAATTGATACAGCGTAGTATCGCGATATTTTGTCTAGTGATATATTGTAGTATGGATTTTTCAAATTAATGGTTAATATAAAGTCAAATGTATGCTAATGGAAAAATAAAATCAACTGTTAGTCCAGTGAGGTTGGCAGAGGTGACATCATAGAGCAGGAGAAAGTTAGTACAACAAATATATAAAAGGTTTGCAAGATGCTACATGAAAATAAAATACTGTGTAAATAAGACAAACATGAAGAAAAGATATATACTTAATTAGTTAAACAGTTGAAAAAATTATATCAATCGCAATATATTGTATCCCAATACTCACTGTATTGCAAAATGTTAAAAATCGCAATAATATCGTATCATGGCCCAAGTGTCGTGATGATATCGTACTGTGGGACCACTGGTGATTCCCACCCCTACCAACTTGACCTTTTTTTTCCTTCCACTACAAGGGTGCAAGATGTCATCTCTAATCTCTGTCTAAAATCTAGGAATATCAAGTTTAGCACCATGTAAAAAAAAAAGTTTATCAGGACATTTAAAAGTCATTTTTCAGTTATCACTTTTTTTGTCTTCAAGGGAAACGGGAAAAAAAATCACAGCAACTCATAAGAGGCTTTTTCTCTCCATCAAGCTTTTGTTATTGAAAGTGAACGAATAAAATAGCCTCGACTTTTTTTCAGTTTACAAGCTATCTCAGAAAAAGGTTCGCCCTCTAACCCTCAGAGGGTCAGCAAGGTTGGGGCTGCATTCACTACGTGACAGCAGGAACAAAGCCCATTGGAGTCGGTTTCTCAGTGTGTGGAGCCCAACGCTTCCAATCCTGTTGTTCAAATAATCATTAACCAGTTCAGCCCTTGGTAAATATTTTAAGAACCTCTGTAAACTAGAAGGTAAACACACACCTCAGAGATCAGAATGTAAACACGCACATATGCACACAGTGTAGGTATGACGTGGGGATGTGGGCTAATGTGGCATGAAGATCTCATTGTTCTCCAGCGTGTAGAGCTCGATGGAAGTTCAAAACAATGAGGTCATCCCTATTGTGTACACACGGCATTCTCACACATTCCTCTGCGTGCCGTAGAGCAGCCATTGCTCAGCTAAAAGCATGGTACGGTGAAAGTAGTAAAAGACACTTAAAGCAAACATTTGATCTTCACAAAGCCATGAACCTGAGATCTATTAAGCCTAAGACTGGAAACTCCACTCCAGATTGTGAGGCCATCACCTTACACACGAAAACACTCCCCTTCTTGGATGAGCTCTGAAAGGTTGCAGTGAGGACTACAGATCATGACAGGCCACTTTCCTGTTTGGGTTTCTGCTTCCACCACCTGCAAGCCAGATGTGGTTTGACTGGCTCTTGTGGCCTCCCAGGAAAATAGTCTTCAGATCCACGTAAGCCAGTCTAGTTTACTTTGGACACTGGGTTAGATACTGGACACGAGAGAATAAAACAATGACTCAGCCACTCAGTGAGTCAGTCATTTTCATGAATCACCGTATATGTAATTAATAATATATATTATGATGCCAAACATTAGCTGCTCCAACTGTTTCATTATCCTCCGTTATTGTTTTATGGCACTGTAGATGAATGCATCAAAGTTTTGAAGACCAAAAAGAAAGTCCCGTCCTCCCCACAAATGAGCTTTATATCCGGCCTCTATCAAGTGTCTGTGAGGAATTCTCTGCTATCAGCACTATCTCTGGCTCTCTGTCAGTACGTGGAGCTGCGAAGCAGGAAGACTGTTGAGGATTCAGCTAACAGCTGCTGCAGCTCTCAGTGCATCAGGATGGATTTATGTGTTTACCTCCTTTGGCACAGTCTAGGACCTCCTGAAACCCTCAAACTCAAGCAAGATATCAGTGATTACAAGGATCCACCAGAGCTCTTTTATCCTAAAGCAGCGTGACTTAGCTTGACTTGACATCAATGCTAATACACTCGGTTGCATATAACCTCATTTTTCATTCTTCGTGTATAAAATACCACTTTCTCAGAGTACCCTGTAATCCCCGCTCTGATATGGACAATCAAATTTTGTACCAGTGTGTGTTCTGCTGAATGACAGACGACAAAAATCAAGACAGGACCCGCTCTGCAAGCGCAAGACATAATCAGCTCTGTGTTTGCTTCCTCCAGTGTTTGAGGTTATAGGTGTACTACGTTTCATCAAATATTCAGAGCCTGCCGGGTAAAGCTTTAACTCTAATTGGGATGGAAAAGACAAATCTTGTCGGAGCTGTCAGTCAAATGTGATCAAACCACATCCAGACAATCCTGCAGCTTAGCCTTCTCTGTGAGTGCAGCAGACTCTAGATAGAAACACATTTAAGACAACTTATAATTAAGATTGTTGTTAATTTAATGATGAATATTAGTATGCAGAGTAGAAATCCAATCCAACATTGGATTTCAACTATTCTCTTCATATTTCAGCATGTAGGAGACATGTGTTTTACATATAAGACATCAGAGGAAAAGACTTCTCCATAAACAACTCCACCAGTCAATCCCTGAGATTTTAAAGCCTCCAAAGCCAATTTGAATCAGAGACTGCTTTACAGTGTTTGATCTGGTTTTAATTACAGGGCCTATTTGTATTGACAAGAAGGATATCCCTGCAAAGCTGAAATCACTGGCTGAAACCTATCCTTAAAAAAAATCAAAGTACTTAATTCAGGCTAGACTTTCCACTCCTGATGTCTTGTGCTAGCTGAACAAGATTCATATTAACATAGATTTTGGCAGGATCAGCTTTAAACCCCCACTTTCAAAACAGTCAGTAAAATGGTAATTAGAAAAAAGAATTGGATTGTTCATAAGTGACTTAAACCCGAGCAACTCATATACAAAACATGGGATTGGGGCACCTGTGCTTTGACAACAGCTTCCGGTGTTTTGAAAGTAAAATGCTGCTCCGTTCTTGCCTGATTTATAATTTCATCTGCTCAGTAGTTCAGGGTCCTGTATGAGGTACTACTGTTTTATCTAATGAACCAGATATTTTTAATAGATGAGACTACAGGCAGGTTAGCTCAGCACATGGACCCTGCTACTTCAGGGCCTGTTGTACTACATGCAGACAGTGGTTCATGTAGACTAATGCTGCGTTCCAGTTACCTCGGAAGTCAGATGTCGGAGCCGGGAATGACGTTACACCGGAGTTGACAGCGTTCCAATGAACAATTCTATTTTATTAGACCAAGTTTACAGCTTACCATGCTGAAGCCATTGCAAAACATGTCGTTGACTTTAAGGGAGCAGCCCTGAGAAACAGCAAAATTATCAAGAAGCTTCATTAACGCAGCAGACTGATTTTTGTCTTCCAGGAGTGCAGCTCTACTTGAGATGTGAGCTTCAGTATCTAAACATAACCCTCAGAGGACAGCTGTATTACCAGAGACGTAAACATGGGCACAAAATAATGGGTTTAGCTTGTTAAGACTCAGTGGGACATTAAAGGTGAGGAACAGAACTCAAAGTGACAACAAAATCACTGAATCTGTCAATTATAGCACAACTTAATAAATCAATTTCAAGGATAGGAAACAACTTGAAAGCCTGCAGAGTTTAAAGCTAGATTCCTCCCTCTGAACCTACTCCTCACGCTGCTGCGGCGGCTCTGCGATATATGATATGACATAGAAGAACACAACCTCCCTTGCATCTTCTTTAGCACATAAAACAGGCAGCTGCTTCAAACCTGGGTGAAAGTTTTAGACTCTACATGTGGTGGAGATGGGGTTTGATCAAAAGGAAAACTTACTGCAAACAGATGACAGCTTTGCTAACTCCAAGTCGTAACAGTTTCCTTCAGATCAGGGAGGCGACTCCATCCAGCAGTGATGAACAATGACCAGGATATGTCTTCTTTTATTCCTCTGCCTCTGTTTCCTCTTCTTATGTATCTGTCGTCAGAGGACGTTTCCCTACAGCAGCATGTTAGAAAAGCAAGAATATGTCAAGGAAATCATAGATGTGATTTTTAGCCTACGGACACAATCCAAACTCATCTGTATAGTCTTAACTCTTCATTGACTGATTCTTTTTTTTCTAGCAATCTCTAAACTTGCCTTATCATGCTAGTCCTGTCTGAATATACAGAGTGTCTGGACAGTTTGTACCCAAAAACGTGATCACTGGCTACAAAAGCAAAAACTGCCAACCACCATCAAGTGTATAGATTCAAACACAGAAAAGGTCTACAGAGCATCGAGAGGGCAGGGATGTCATTTTAAATATCTGAACTGGGTGGATTATGTAACAGAATTAGCCATGAGTAATTCAGGCATTAAATTAGGTGGCCTCTCATGCCATCATGATGCTTGAATGCCGACACAGTCCAATGAGGATGGGTCAAATGTTCCAGGAGGACATGGGTGTTAAAAGTTGGCTGTGCTCATTTCCAGCCGGATTGTTTTGCATCATTATATTTTGTTAAAATTAGATTAGTGACCATTTTTCTAGGAAGTGCATCATCAGTGGGCTGGCTGAATTTAAGTGGCCTCCTAACTAAAATTGTCACAATGCCAGAATTTTAAACTTTGATTCAATACTAGTAAAAATTAATGCCATATACAACAAAAATCAAACTCTAAGAACCGTGAGTATACCCCCTTGTCTCATGATCAGACTTCAAAAGATGCAGGTTCATGCACAGATACAGAATCCCCTGTGTTTTACTCAAAGCCTGGTTGAATAAAAACAACTGGGACTCCAGTGTGGATCTACTTGGCTTCAATCTCATAAGGTCAGACAGAGATGCTAAAGCTAGTAGCAAGAAGAAAAGAGGACGTCAGGCTTTGTTTGTTAACCAGAGATGGTGTAACCTTTCACAAATAACTGTCAAGGAGAAGTTGTGTTGTCCAAATATTGAACTGTTGGCATTTGCTCTTTGGCCATATCATAATATCATGTTCCAAGTGAGTTCAGTTATATCATAACAATACTTGTACACATCCTACTAGGAATGGGCATTTTAGGAAAGTCTCTTGATTGATTAATCATACGAGCAATCATTAATTTGATCAGTTTTTTAGGCAAATGGCAGAAAATACGCAAAAAACGTGTTTTTCCTCATTAAAAATACCCCCCTCAGCTCAGCTAAAAGCTACATGTTTTCAAGACATTTAATCTAGAGCCAGACTTTCGGTGTCGAAACTCTGGTACCATTTTCTATATAAATGTTTGCATACATTTCAGGTAAAGGCTTCACACACTCACTCTGGTTCACCTAAAATGACACAAGACAGACAGCAGCAAAGTACTTCAATCACCAATACTAGCCCTGGCGGCAAACAGTGGTGACATCCCTTTAGTCATACAGCAAGACAGACATATGAGCGCTGTCTGCTTGGAAACAGATGGCAAGGCAGTTGGTGGGAATGTCGGCAATGCTCCCATGCATGTTTGGGGATCAGATTTACAGTTCCCCGCTCACAGTTGCGTTCTTACGATGTCATCATGGAATTTAGGGGAGGAAGAGCCGAGGAGATGCTGAAAGACACAGTCCTCCATTTCTCACTCAAACCCATTTTTGATGCAGAATACAGTTCACACTTTTACCTGCAGATCAATGTTTTATAAACCGGAATCTCTCCTTGCTTCACTAAACTTCTTCTGTTTAAAAAAGTAGTAAGAGTCACATAATGCCACTATGACAACATGAACTATTGACTTTTACATTTTACATCTTAAAATAGCAAATGTGTATGTGGCCACCTAATACCCCGGCAGTGTTGCATTAGTAACAGCTTGATACCCATATTTACTGCAGTAATTTTACCACATTACAACCTTTTACGCAGCAAAGTTTAAAAAAATCCTACAATCACTATCAAAGTCAACTTATAATACACATTTTAATATCTACATGCATTTTACGACAGCAGTGGTAGGTTATTAAGTAAATAAACCTGAACTGTTGGCAGTTACCCTTTGGCTATATGATGTTCCAAGGGAGTTCAGTCATATCATAACAATACTTGTATACATCCCACCCAAGGCAACGGCTGAAGTTCAGTGTGCTGTTCTCCATGATACCGTTCCTAGGATACAGACTCAACAGCCTGAGACATTTGTAATAATATCAGGAGGCTTCAATCATCTTTCTCTTTCTCCCACCTGATTTGATTTACACAGTTTGTTCACTGTCTATCCAGAGAAAACAAACCCCTGGATCTGCTGTATGCGAACATCAAGGAAGTTTACGTAGCCAACATCTCACCACCACTGGGCAGGTCAGATCATTGCTCAGTTTATCTGCAGTTTTACTGAGTTTCCAGACGAATTAATTCTCCTTAATGGGATAAATACAGTCCTTGCATTGTATTGTTCAAATGTGCTATGATTAGGGACAAGTGACCAGCTGGGGGGGTTACAGGCCATGGGTTGGTGAAAATAAATAAATGTTAAAAAAGAGCTATACAGCAAGACTTTGTTGAAACCAATATCGAGATGCATATCCAGGGGTGAGCAGCTCCAGGCTTATAGACCCCTCCCCAGGAGCAGATGCAAACACTGGTTCATCCAGGATCAATAAATCAGTGTAAAGAGGTCTTCTGCAGCTACACGAATGAAAAAAAAAAACTAAATGAGAAGTTGGGTAATATATCTTCAACTAAATCATCACTGCTGCATTGATCCATCCAACAGACATCAGGGTTAAACAAAGTTTAGAACTGGATCCACGTCCCACTAATACTTTATGTTGTCCAAACATTACATCCAGAGTCTTTCTATCTCAAATTGAAGTTTTGACTGTTGTGGTCGTGTTAACTATTGTCCTCAGCTTATACTATAGTAGGAATTATGATTCTCAGCTAGAGCTGACAGCATTTATTCATTCTCATAGTATCTCAGCTGTCTCTCTTTCTCTCTCTCTCTCTCTCTGCATCTGTACAGTATGTTCCTTCTGTTTACTTCTGCGTGGATTAGCCTGCCTAGTCATTGTTTCATCATGTTTTTACAGATTTTTGCTCATCTGTCACAACTGAAACTGGAGGGGAAGGGGAGAAGGAGGGTTGTAATCCTTTCTGCTTTCATGTGCTATAATCCCCTATTGCAGCCCTAATTAAGAAGTTACTTTCCCTTTAGTGAAATAGAAAAGGGATACAAGACAGGGACATTTCAACGTTTTTAGTCCCCTCACCTCAGTTGCTTCTTTTGGAGCCCCCTCTTCCCTTCCTCTGATTGAAAGCCTCAACGGTGAGGTGCTGCACAAGACCACGGATCAAAGAGATATGCAGTTTCACATATCAGAGAAAACACCGCGAGGGCTGTTTGTTAAGCGAAAACAATATGCTGGCTTGCACTTCAAATGTGTCAGGGCACACACAGACCCAGTCTTCCTAAAAACACTGCGCTTAACTCTTCAGGGATTAAACATTTAAAAATACTTTCCTGATTTTGTCATGATGATGGCAAAGTACCCAGACAGACCAAACTATTTTTTGTAGTAATAGAAAACAGGCAGTGCATTGGCTGTGTAACCACTGAAGATAGGTGGTAGTTGGATATGTGGATGCAAAGCTAAAAAACAAAACCATGGGATTTCAAGGTTGGATGTGGGAGTCTAACCCTTGAATCTTTTCCTCTTATTCCAGTGAAGATCTCCTCACAGTTTTCAAGCTGCGTGCTATAAAAGGTCTGTTTTTGTATACTGCTCTGGCTGGTAGCAAGCAAAACAATCGTTCCCACGGACATCCAGCTTTTTGTTTCATTTGCCAAGGTGTGGTGTTGTTGTAATGTTAGCTTGAGCAAAATGAGAATTACAGTTATTGCCTTAAACTCAGCATGTTAGATGTGCAGGAGAAACTTCAGTTGCAGTTTGATTGTTCACAGTCTGACTAACACTAGATTATTCACTGTGTCATTGTCTGGTCAAGTTGGGGTTTTTTTTTTTTTTCAGTTTGGTTGCATCATAATACAGTTTTAGTCATCTTTCCTTAAAATTCCACACCCCTCACTAAAGGTCAGTTTTATGTCATTTTTTAAACTTGTTTTATAGTTTACATCTGCAGTAGTTATCCTTCCCTACAACCTAAGAGTCCATGATCTTTAACTCAAGATTCATCTGCTGTTTGTTGTCACAGTGCAACAGTTCCAATGACTGGGCGTATTACAGAGTGAAAGCATTTCCAAAAAATAGTATTTTTCCATTTTAACCGTGTAAATAGAACTTGAATAAATGCATCAATTTTCAAATATAGAATTTAAATTCTGTGTTGTTCTGCACCTCTGCAGAACAGGTGTGTCTTTTTTCCAACGTCAGCCCTCACCTATCTGTTCCCAGGAAAATCAACAATTGTGAACTGAAGGACACATTCACAGCAAAAATGTTGGTGCTTTCAGTCCAGGCTGCATCGTCAGAGCATTTGTGCTCTATTCTGTTGACTGTCAGGCCTGACAAAAAAACCACACTGTGTTTGCAGTGTGAATTATGCTTATAATGGGCAGTACTAATTAGCCAGTGTGCTATCCTGGAGTCATCCTGGAGTGAGTCTGCTGATGCAATTACAGTCGGCGATGATGCATATAACACAACGCTCCTGAAATATGTGTGATATCACATTCACATTACGGTAGTAATCTGCACAAGATGAGAGTGAGAATAAGAAGGCCACCTCTGAATTCTTCTGCAGGAAAAACCCTCATCTATTGGGACCTGTGGTTTTATTAAATCACTCCGTCCTACAGTGGGATCTAGTCACTGTTAATGAGCATTTTTTGCTCTGCTGTTTCTCAAAGCACAGCCCACCCCAAGACCTTAAACAGGGGGAACTCACATTCCAATCTCCAGCATGCAGCGAGACAGAGAAGAAAGGGAGGGGGAAAGAGAAACAGAAAAAACACACAGAAATGATACAAGAGAGACAGAGAGAGGGAGAAACGAGGGAAGAAAAGATAAGGTGAAGGATGTGGACAGAAATGGCCAGAATGTCAGAGTCCTCCTGGCAGATTTCCACAACAGGAAGGAAGCAAGACAAGAGGAAAAGGAACTGTCAGTGACGGTAGGAGGGAGCCGTGGGAGGTTGAGTGGAAAGAAGCAGTAACAGAAGCAAGACAGAAAGAGGAAAGGAAAGACAGATGCAGGAGAGTGGCTGGGTAAGAAAAAAAAAAGGGGGCAAAGTGAGGCTAATGTGTGAGGCCATAAACAGGTAGGACCCCATTTTCAGCTCCTGCTAGTGTTTAGCATCACATCCAGACACAGTGAAAGCACTAGCTAGCCTGCTATGGGATTGAAATGTCCTCCTTTTTACTGACTTTGCACTCGCCAGATTTCTGTGTATGTGGACTGCCAAAAACCTTGCCTGTTCCAGACAGGCCTGGGCTGCACATTAGAGAGTTTTTGAAAGAGTGACCACATCCCAATCACAGTGCATCTGATACACATTTAAACCATAGGATGTTGTGAGCCAGTCAGGTTCAGCTACAGTTACACATATTTCTTTTCTTTTTCAGCACTGACTTTGATTTCTGAACTCAAGTATTCAGCAAAATGAGTAATAATCTAATCCCACTACAGACCAACAACCCTGCAAATGCGATCGCCATTCTTACTATTGTTGTAGGACTTGAATGACTTAGAACACTTGGTGAATTTGCACCCTTTCAGCTGTGTTTTTGAAGCATAAACCTTTTCCTTAGATTTTATTGCACCTTACAACTGATGAGAAATATCAGATTGTAGGTCTCATAGGTAGTTGCCAGTACACCTTCAGAGTTGCACCTAAGCACATCTTGCTAGATTAAGCATAAAATCAGTTGAGGCAAAAAAATGATAGCCATGCCTTCAAAGAGCCCACTGTCCTTAGAAAGGAGAGGCAGCAGCAGCAGCAGGAGTGTTACAGCCACATCCAGGAGCTTCACCCTGGACCACCTGGAGAGATGTTTCTGCCGCCCTCCATCCAACAAGCCTTTTGATTATCTTACTGCTACACAACAGGAACCCCTACATTTTTATGTTCCCTTCCCATTTCTCCGACCTTCCCTTCCACTCAGCAGCTACATGTGTTACAGAACATGTGCGCTTCCACCTACACACTCAATTTCAAAAGGCGACTTAATATTATAAATGCAACGCAGCCTCCAGATCTGCACAGCCTTGGCATTCACAGGGAACACTGAGGGAGGGCTGTGTGACATGAGATGATCGGCAGCTGATAGATAGGCGAGTTTTGGGGGAGTTTTTGATGATAGAGCTGAAAAGCCACAGCAAGGCGGACAAAGCACTTGAAAGAGTAAACCTCTAATGCCGCTGTTGTCTGTTGTAGTTGAGCATTTAACCAACCCAGGACAGCCGATGAATACAGGTGTGATCTCTTTGACGCGTCTATTTAGGAGGAAGCTGTGGATTTTCAGTGTGTGTAAGCTCCCTGGCGGGCTGAGGCTAGCAGCCTTGGGGCAGACTCCACAGGTGGAGATAGCTGCGATAATAGAAGACAGAGGATCTACAGGGGGTCCACTTACAATAAAAATCCCTCAAACAGTGTCATTGGGGGTAGAGGAGAGCCCAGGCACGAGCTCTGACAATTAACTTTAACATAGGCAAACTTTGGTGAGACATTTTCCCATGAAGCCACATCGATGTTTTGGTCCTTGGATTATCACAGCCTTCTTGTCACCTGCATCACTTTAGTGAAGCATTGTTACATCACTGTTCAAATTTGACAAGGCTACAGGGACGGCCATTTTGATTAATGAGTGGTTTTGACAGAGCACTGAGCAGAAGTGATGCTTCAAAATGATGCGTGATTTCTTGCAACTTTCTATTTTTTCACTGTTTTCTCCAGTCACTCGTAATGATTGGCATTTTAATAAACTAGAAGCCTGTTTTAGGAGAACAAAATCCCACAAAACAACATATTTTTAAGTGAATCCACACCCTACAAAGCTTGAGTATAGGGCTGCAAACGTCCACACACAAAAAATGCATGGCAGGAAATTGTGCACAATTGTGCAAGAAAACTATGACAGGGGCATCAATTGCAGGGAAAAAGGTAGACGGGAACTTGAGTATGACAGGAAACCTGCAAGGGAGACTGCAGCTGGCCATCCCAATTACACAGCAGCCACGCAGGGTCCAAACTAAACAACCATTACATTTATCTGATGGTCACTTTGCCTTGGTTTCCTGTGTCTTTAAAAAAACACGTCTGTGTTTTTGACTGCGAGCTGTCCACTAAAGAGGCTACAGGCGACATGTAAATGAATGGAGGCAACAAAAGCCACTCATGTGAAGCCATTAAAGAATGGTTTCTTAATGTGCAACTAACTGAAATGAAAAAAGTAAGACAATGAGCAAGAGCGGTTTTACTAACACTGGGCGACTAGCAGTTAAACTTTTTAGTCAAGTTTTCCCTCCAAAGCGTTACCTGTAGTCTTCGCATATGCAACAAGGGCGCTCACCTAAACACTTAAATAACATTTATCACAAAAAAATATAAAAAACTGACTTTGAATAAAAAAAAACCTATGGTGTTTATATCGCCTGCATGAGAGTAGGGAGACATTCAGGGGAGCAGTAGGCGCACTTACCTTTATCAGTTTCCACCTTGTCGGCGTTTTCGCGAAGAAAAATAACGCTCCCTCTGTTAAGTCTTCGCCAATTTCAAACCGGGGAAGAAAACGAAACCGAATGTAGAGAATTCGTAGCAGAAAACCTATGGGTCTCTTCACCTTTCCGTCTGTTGTTGTCCGTGCTCACTCCACCGACCGCCTCTCGGTTTCTCTAAATCAGAAGTTCATCCAAACTTGCAGCGCTTCGCTCCGCCTCGCGACAGCGATGAGGTCACCGCCTCCCATCAACTTCTCAAGGCAGGAAACCTCGCGATAAGGATCAGAGAGGTCTTCGCTTAGATTAGGAGACTGCGGAGCCTCGCGAGACAGAGAGAAAGAGCGGACTCACAGAATGTATGTGGAAGGATGGGAGAGAGAGGGGGGAGAGAGCGTTGCTCTGGCAACAGAATTGCACAGGCTTCTCAGTGAAGGCTTCTCTGCAAGCAACTGGTGTTTGTGTAGCAGGTCTGGGTGCTGATGAACGCTGGATATTATGAAACTCTCTTTCAGCTCCGTCTGCATCTAATGCAGTATTTATGCATCTATATATAGCATAGCATAAATGGCACAAAAAAGACTACTCAAAGGAGCAGATAGCCAAGCAGAGAGATTAGTCACCCAGAAATAAGAGTCTTTTGAAATCACAATGCTGGCTTATTTATGATTTAGTAGCAATATAATAAGTCATGGTTTTATTATTCAAATATGTCCATAAAAAGACAATTAGGTTTCAGTCTTGTATTTGGTCTTTTAGCTTTTGTTTTGGTTCCCCGAAGAATAAAAGACTGTAGATGCTAGATGTTTGACTTCCTTTGCCAGCCTGCATCTATTTTTGCTTTTGGTACCGTGAATGGAGCGACCTGTTGATAAATTATATAACCCTCTCTGTAAGGCCTACTCACTGCAGTTGATAAGGGTAGTGAAACAGACCCAAAACAGTAGAAGTTGTAGCTCACTTATACAACCTCAATTTTATAAGAGTCTGTGTGGATTTTAGAATAAAGAAAAAAGTGGAGTTGTATTTAAAGTAATGCTAATTTTTTTGTTGGCTGAAATATGTTGAAAAACAGTTGGGACAGGAACAACAAAACACTGAAAAAGGACATTATTCCATGTGTTCAAAATTACATCCAAAAACCAGTGTCTGTGAATACAGTTTATCACTGCGTCCAACAGATAAAAACTCTATCATGCAAAGAAAAAACCTCACTATCCCGTGGCCTGACAAATCAAAATTTGACTTTCTTTTAGGGAATCATGGACCATGCATTCTCAAAAGGGGAGATAGCAGCATCTGTAAGTCTCTTTGACATAGTTAGCTTTGCACATGAGATAGATACATGCTGCCTCAGACAATGCCTTTCTCAGTGAAGACCTTATACTTTGTAGAGCAAGACATTGTCGACTAAATCTTGCATGCATTTCAACTGCCTGGCTCTCAGTCCTGACAAGTCACCCACTGAAAACATTTGATGCATTGTAACTAAAAAATCATGACCAAGGAGACTTCAAACTATGAGGCTGTAGTTTAGAGGAAGTGTGTGGATTGATTACACTATAAATAGAGATTTAAATTATGCTCTTGAACCGAAAGGGTTGCTGCAAGTCTGGTCTCTCTGTATTATCTGTAATTTTTGTAATTTATGCACGATTTTTTTCATATTTTTGTTGTAATTTTGTTGGCTGCTGATGGATACTTCTGCTGGACGAAGAGTTTACTCAAATGAAGAGCTCCTTTCATTGAGGAAAAGCAAATCTGGACACAACATACAATTCCAGAAGACATCAGGAGGTGTGATCGTGGTTGCCGTGCTGGTGCAAAGGTGAAGGCAAAGCTGAATGCTAGGAGGTGGCAATATAAACCCTTTCTTCCATCAATCATCATGGGAAACGTCAACTCTCTGCCCAACAAAAGCAATGAGCTGGAGATCTTACCATGAGTGCAGTTTCCTGTGTTTTACTGAAACCTGGTTGAATCAAAACAACTCAGACCCCAGTGTGGATCTACCTGGCTTCACTCTCATAAGGTCAGACAGAGATGCTCAAGCTAGTGGCAAGAAGAAAGGAGGAGGTCTGGCTTTATTTGTCAACCAGAGATGGTGTAACCCTTCACACACAACTGTCAAGGAGAAGTTGTGTTGTCCAGATATTGAACTGTTGGCAGTTTCTCTTCTGCCATATTATGTTCCAAGAGAATTCAGTCATATCGTAACAGTAGTTGTTTACATCCCACCCAAATCAACTGAAGAATGTTGCAATGTTTTGTAAAATAGTGTTGCCAGGCTACAGACTCAACACCCTGAGGCACTAATAATAATATCGGGAGACTTCAACCATGTCACCGTCTCCTCTCACCTGACTGGATTCACACAGTTTGTGAACTGTCCTACCAGAGAAAACAAGACCCTGGATCTGCTGTATGCCAACGTCAAAGAAGCCTACAGAGCCACTGCCTTACCACCACTGAGCAAGTCAGATCATAATTTGGTCTAACTCCAAACCTGTTACAGACCTTGTGTGCTGATGCAGCCTGTGACCAAAGTCAAAATCAGAAGATGGACACTTCAAGCCAGTGAAGCTCTAAGGGACTGTTTTAAATCAACAGACTGGAATGTGCTACTGGAAACAGATGTGGATAGTATGACCATTGATAAACAGGTTGACTGCTTGACTGATTATGTCAACTTCTGTAGAGACATAGTTATACCCACAAAAACTGTTCGCTGCTTCCCCAACAACAAACCCTGGATCACAAGAGACATAAAAGCAATCCTTTACCAGAAAAAGAAAGCTTTTAAAGATGGTGACAAAGAACAACTCAAACAAGTGCAACAAGAGTTGAAGAGGAGACTGAAGATGGCAAAGCTGGAGTACAAAAAGAAGATAGAGAATAATCTACAACACAGAAACATCCGTGAAGTGTGGAGAGGAATCAGTACCATCTCTGGACACAGCAGTCAAAAGAAAAGATAGCCAGTGGTGGGTGATGTGAAAAGAGCTGATGAACTCAACCTGTTCTTCAACAGATTTGACACTGCTGTCACTCCCACTTCCACTGCTACTCCACCTTCCTCTCCGCAACAAATCTCCACTACAACTTCTCCCCTTCCTGCTCCATCTCATTCAAATGTCTCAACCACTTCAACTGCCTCCCTCCTAGAACACTAGTCCTTGTCTGTCACCGAAACAGGGGTGAGGATGGAGCTTGGAAGACTTTGTCCTGGGAAGGCAGCTGGTCCAGATGGTGTGTGTCCAAGGCTGCTTAGAGACTGTGCTGCAGAACTGTGTCAACCTCTCCACAAGATCTTCAACCTGAGTCTACAGCTGGGGCAAGTACCTGCTCTGTGGAAATCATCCTGCATTGTGCCAGTACCAAAAACAAAATGTCCTGCTGAACTCAGTGACTACAGACCAGTGACCCTCACTTCACACATCATGAAGACCCTGGAGCGGCTGATTCTACGCCTTCTGAGGTCTGAGGCCAAAGAAAAACTGGATTCCCTGCAGTTTGCATACAGAGATCACATTGGAGTGGATGATGCTGTCCTCTACATGTTTCATTGTGCCCTGTCTCATCTGGAGGAACCTGGGGTTTATGTGAGGATCATGTTCTTTGACTTTTCAAGTGCATTCAACACCATCCAACCCACCATACTCAAAGACAAGCTCACAGAGATGGAAGTGGATCCTTCCTGTTTTTCCTGGATCGCAGATTACCTGACAGGAAGGCCACAGTTTGTCAGGCTGGGGAACTGTGTTTCTGGGACATAAATGAGCAGTACAGGGGCTCCTCAAGGGACAGTGCTGGTGCCATTCCTGTTCACACTGTACACGTCAGACTTCAAATACAGTACTGAGTCCTGCCACATCCAGAAATACTCAGATGACACTGCTATTGTGGCATGTATCAGAAATGAACAAGAAGCTGAATACAGAAATCTAATAAGAGCCTTCAGTGACTGGAGTCACAAAAATTGCCTCCTCCTCAACACCTCAAAGACAAAGGAGATGGTCATAGACTTAGGTAGATCCAAACCCCCTCTTCAGCCAGTGAACACCTGTGGAGTGGACTTCGAAGTGGTGACATCATATAAATACCTAGGTGTACATCTGGATAATAAGTTGGATTGGTCTAAGAATATAGACTACATCTACAGAAAGGGGCAGAGCCGCCTCTTTTGCCTGAGAAGACTCTGATCAATAGACATCTGTAGTAAGACGCTGCAGATGTTTTATCAGTCTGTGGTGGCAAGTGCTCTGTTCTACGCTGCAGTCTGCTGGGGAGGAAGCATTAAACATTAAGATGCAAGACGTCTTAACAAACTGGTGAAAAAGGCTGGCTCTGTGGTAGGACTCAAGCTGGACTCAGTGGAGGATGTGGTGGAGAGATCTACACTGAGGAAGGTGGAGACTATTCTCAAGAACATGGACCATCCACTACACAACACCTTGATGGACCAAAGGGCAAATGGTGGTGGACGGCTCCTCTCTCTTTGCTGCAGGACAGAAAGATTTAGAAGATCTTTTGTACCAACAGCCATCAGGCTTTATAACTCTTAAATAATAGGTAACTTTTACAGACATATTACGTGAGACAACAGACAATTGAATTTCCCTTCGGGGATCAATAAAGTTCTTCTTATTCTTATTCTTAAATACTCAGTTTACGTTAGCTTCAAATGCTGCCCAGCACAGCTTTAGTTTAGGCCTTTTATCCAACCATGATGATTGTTGAAACAACACAATCCACTCTGATGACAGATCAGCATGTCTTCTGTTTCAGAGCTGCGCAGCTATTTCCTCCTCCGGCTCTGAATTAGCTGATACCTCTTTAAAACAGAAACCCGTTTTGTCACACTGACAGGACATTGAAAATGCCTTCAGTCCTTGTTTGTCGAAGGTAAATGTCTGCTAGTTTCATGAAGTCAATACCTTTGTTTGGGTGGTTCAATGCCGTTTGAAGTTTGTGCTGTGGGGCTGTGTTATGGTCTGGTTGGACTTTTTCAAGGATTTCTCTTATCTTTGTGCAGCAAACACATACCAAACTTTTAAAAGCTAAACTAGCAACAACAACAAAAAAATACTCTTACGAAACAAAAGAAAATCTGTTCTGTGATCAAAAGTTCTGCTGTTGTTCCCCTTGCACCCCTACATAACCTGACAAGAATATTATCATAAGACTTGCATTTGAGTTTTAAATGAAGGGACTGATGTGGTGAGAAGTG